TATGAAAGTTGGAATTTTTGACCAAAGATCCTTACTTTTTGAAAACCTTCTTGTGTGAAGGAGTATTAGAGCAATGGAGGTTGATCGAGAAGATGGAAGAACACCGAATCAGCTGAGACCACTTGCGTGTTCCCGTAACATCCTTCATCGTCCTCATGGCTCTGCTAGCTGGTCGCAAGGTACTTGTTTCAATCTCCATGTCTCTAAATATCTCAGATGGGTACTTTTTGAATGGGATTGATGAAACTTTCTAATGGTATTGCTTCTTGTTTATATTTCAGGGGATACAAAAGTTCTAGCTGCAGTTTATGGACCTAAAGCAGGAACGAAGAAGAACGAAAATGCTGAGAAGGCTTGTTTTGAAGTCATATGGAAGCCTAAAACCGGGCAGATTGGTAATCTTAAAAAGCATTTAGTTTAATCATGTTTGGATGTTGCTTTGTTGCTTGAGTATGTGGTAAAGGTTATTCTTGGTTTTTAGATTCTGACTGACTTCTGTTATGCACAATGATAGGAAAAGTAGAAAAGGAGTATGAGATGATACTGAAAAGGACAATACAGAGTATTTGTGTTTTGACAGTTAATCCAAATACCACCACCTCAGTGATAATTCAAGTGAGTAGCTATTCAATGTTGTGTATATGGATTCTTATCCGTTTCAGTAACTCCACTCCCTTGTAATAATTGTCATGCATTGTAAGATTCTCAATTTATCAGTTTGGGCTGTATGTGATGTTTTCATTTTTTTTATTCCCGTGTAGGTTGTACATGATGATGGTTCTGTATCCTTTTTCTGAGCCTTTCCCCTTGGTAACTATTTATTGATGCTGTGTTAGTCAAACACATAATATCTGGTATAAGCAATGCCGTTTTGAGCATTTATAGAGTTTTTAGTAGTGAAAGCTTGTAATCGCATAAGCTGGGAGTGTGAATATGTTTTAGTAAAAAAATTGGTGCATCAAAATAAAAGACAGTTTTAGCTGCTTTTTCCTTGATTCAATTCTGTGTAGCTTCTACCGTGTGCGATAAATGCAGCATGTGCAGCTCTTGTCGATGCAGGAATCCCTATGAAGCATCTCGCTGGTACTTCTTCGCAACTTTATACTCTTCTCTAATTGACTTTGAGAATTTTGTGTGTTTCTTCTTATTATTTTATCGGCGTTTTTGTTTTTCAGTTGCTATATGTTGTTGCCTGGCTGATAATGGATATGTTGTACTCGATCCAAACAAGCTTGAAGAAAAGGTTATTTAAAAACCTTGATGTCCATTGTTATCTTTTCTTTTGCGTGTTGGTTATATTTACTTGAACTGCAATGTACAGAAAATGACGGCATTGGCTTATTTAGTCTTTCCAAATACAACTCTCTCTGTTCTTCCGGAAGGATCATCGGTAGCAGAAGGCGAGCCAGTAGAGCATGGGATCATTACATCAGTTACCCATGGAGTAATGTCTGGTACTGTTATAACTTCTCTTTCTTCAATAGAGTTCAGTAATCACCATGCTCGATTTGTTTGAAGCAGTTTTCCATCGACTTTACATTTCATTTGTATGAGATATGTTTCAGTGAACTTGTTAATTAATCACTGCATCATGTGTCATTCTGAGTTCCTTTTGTTTCTGTGTTGTTTCAGTGGACGATTATTTCCTGTGTGTAGAGAACGGTCGCGCTGCTACTGCTAGTTTATCTGCATTTTTTAGAAAGAACTTCCAACAAAGCCAAAGAGATTCATCCAAAGCCGGGTAAAAGCACCAATCCATAATGGTTTGCATGAGATTTTGAACGGTTCCATATTTCTCCTGTTGTAGCTTTTATAGAACCCTTCTCGTCAATGTGACTAATCAAACTTGAAATACTAGAGGCCTTAGAATCTTGTATCGTTAGATATGTGAACAGATGAACCTCGTATTCTTAATACAAATGGTAGCCATGGTTTGACCTGTTTGTATGTCTGAATCTGAAGACTTGATTCATTACTTTCTCCTCTTGAAATTCTTTCTGTAATTCAAAGCACCTGGTCTAGTTTGTGAAGAGAATAGCCTGTGGGGATCAGATTTGAATCAATTGTAAAGAATCGTTACTCTTCTTTGACTAGTATTAGAGCAGATGAGCTATTGATTTCAACGATGGAAACATAGGAAAGATAAGCACACCAAGGTTTAAGAATAGAAAGTAGAAATGAAAACAAATTGGCCTGTCCGATCAATACTGATTAAAGCTGATGGTGCCAGCTCAATACTAGACACAAGTTGTACGTTGATTAATCAGATCATCAGAGGTATAGCACAACTTGGGTTTCACTTTCACGGACAAAAGATCACTGCTTCACCAGCGTTGTTGTTTAAATATTAGAAGACAAGGTAGTCGTTTTCCCTTGAAAACTCTGTTTCTCGTTATTAGTAGATGAGAACTTGAAAAAAAAAATAAAAGAGAGTAAGATTATATACAAAATGTGTACATGTAAAAGACCATTGTTTTGTTTGTTTCAATCACAAGCTAAATAAGTGCTTCTGATATGCTCGATCCTCTGTAAATTTTTATTTGGAAATATCCAATTTGATGATTAAAGAAGTCACATTGAATAAAGAAGTTAAGGGAGACTATGCACAGGTATCTTGACGATTATGTATCTGACCCAGTTCAGTTTTTTTTCTCACAAATTGTATGTTGGAACCAAGATTCTTGAAAGATTGATGCTAAATTTCGTTTTCCATGGATTTAGGCTCCAGAGCGAGACGGGTTATTTTTAGTATGAAATACTTTGCATAAAAGTATTTTGAGGGTGAATGGGAACTAGGAAGAAGTTGAGAGGTATCTTGGAGGTTTATGAAAGTGAAAGATAATGTCTTCTCAATGCATACTTTCTTTGAGATTGGGAAGACGAAATACACTGAAGCTCTTGACTGGTATGAGTTATCTGCATCCGTACATGTTAAAGTGCCTTTAACAAGATTGTTCAAGTTGTTACCCCATTCATGGATGATGGATCTTGTAGAAATGAGAAGACCAAAGCCCACGACATATTGGAGCACGACCTACAAGCCTTATCAAACGGGGAACAATACAAAGACTTGGCTGAACTTTTAACTCTGCAAAATGTCAGGTATGAAAAAAATTTATATCAAGTATTAACATTGCTTTACGGAATGAATGTGCCAACATTGTTCCCTTAGCTGCCAGGATGTCTAATGCCTCTTGTGCGTATGCGGTCCAAAATGAAATAATCAATCTTTTTAATATAAGGTATATTTAAATTTTTTAAAATTATAGTGTAGATTTGTATTTCTAATAAGATTGAAGATAAATACGATCATATTATTCCAAAATTTGTAAGTTTCGGCATATGCATGGAGTAACTATATGTTGTCATTACCATTGATGTTGAGGGTGAACTTCAATCTTTTTCCATTTGCCATTCGATAATGAATGAAATATTCTCGCTAACAAAGCCAAAGGAACTCATTCAAATCCGGGTAAAATTAAGTAAGAATCAACAGTGACTTGCTTGCGGTTTTGTGTTCTTTTGCATTTGACTTGTTGTAGCTTCCAAATAACTTATGCCATTTATGTTTCTACTTTAACTTAAATGCTAGAATATAGTATGGTTACATATGTGAACAAATGAACCTTTTATAACGTAAATGGAAACCCTGGTTACAGCTTCTGATGTCTGAATTACGTTATAGTTGCTCAGCATGATAGCATCACGGACTTAACAAATTATTGCGGTTCATAAAATTCACTGGCAACTCTAGTAATACTAATGGCATAAAACGAAAGAAATTTTTTTCCATATGTAAAAAAAAAAGATACTTTGCAAATTGCAATACACGCGAGCTAGCGCTTAGAAAATTTTCCATATTTGTATATATATATAGTATGGTACCTCGACATGTTCTTTGTGTCATCATAAACTGGGTGTGCTTTGTTTTCTTCATCTGTTGATCCTTTTATCATCAAAAGTTCTGATTACAGGTTAGTTAATTTCTATATTCTCATTCAAAATATTTACCTATTGCTTTTTCTTGTATGGTTTGATTAGATTTAGGGTTTACTTTGTAGGTGTTTTTCCAAGGTTAAGTTTAGGTTATTCTTCTATTGATTAATTGTTAACAAAAGATCACAAAAGTCTTATATACAACATCTAAAATCTAAGCATCAATCTCTTGTACTGTTGGTTAACTAAATTTTGTAACTACTTCGAATTGTTAGTTCCACACACGTAAAGTTTCATTATGTTCATGAAGTTTAAATAAATAAAATAGAATGATTTCGAGATGATTTGTTAATTTATTGGATACAAACTTCTTTTTTTCTTCTTTCTAACAATCGTATATATGCATTATATTAGGAGAATGGAATCATCTTGTCCGTGTAAATGCAAAAGAGAGTGTGCGTTTGTGCCATACTTGCCTGCGGACAAACCGGAGGAGATATATGCATTGTTGACTGAGGCGGGATTTGAAATTGCCACTATTGCTAGGTTTCTCGTGTGTGCTCCTACGCATGGCCATGGGCAAGAATACTTCGACTGGATATGTCAGTTTGCAAAATCTGTCAACGACCCTAGCTTAAGAATCCGTGATCCTGAGTTGATGAAGCTTTCCCCTGAAGAACTTGAGGCCCGAGCGGATATTGCACTGAGGGAATACCCGCAGATCATAGAAGCATTGGATCTTATATATGCTGCAAAGACATGTGACCTTGATGATGATCAGCATCCAATAACGAAGCCATCTAATTAACTATTTAGTCTTTTCATTTTTCAATTTGAATTGTTTTAGTTTTTACATATAGAACTTGATATAATAATTAAGACTTTTGAGGGAGTAGCTAGATAAGCATAAAATCTCCCTTGTTGTAGATTCTATAGAACTCGTGCCATTTATGTTTTTATTTAAAACTTAAATGCTAGAAGCTAGAATGGTTACATATGTGAACAAATGAACCTTTTATCTTTAACATAAATGGAAACCATGGTTACAGCTTCTGGTGTCTCAGTTACATTATAGTTGCTCATCATCACGTACTTAACAAATTATTGCGGTTCATTATAAAAAATTACTGGAAACTCTACTAATACTAATGGCATAAAAACAAAAGAAAAATTTGTGATCATTACCATACCATCACACAACTAGGTGTAAGTTCAAGTATTGTCCTCTTAAGGTCTTCGTTAAAGAGCTTTCCTTTATGTTCTTGAGATGTGTTGAAGCATCAGTTCGTAGAGAGCGAATCCACCATGATGGCAACCTGGCATTCTCGATGTCATCATCTTCAGCTCATCCTGATCGATCATTTTAAAGCAAACCGACATTTATTTGTGATGGGATTATAACTAGAGAGTAAAACATGCACTTGATGGTTTTGCATCCTCGATGGATTAGAGTACTCACCAATGAGACTGTGTGGAGCTGTGTTGACTCAAACCCGTCTGCAGCGCCAGAGTATAACCTTGGAATGTCATCTGAATGATGACTACACTTGAGGTAGAAAAACATAGCTGGTCTTACATTCAGCTCTCTGCGAGATATACCGATGAAGAGAGGCTGGCTCTGTAGTTGTATAAAAGAAACCCCTATCAGATATCACTCAGGGTGCCTAAGTGAGAGACCAAAAGAAATCCTTAAGAAATCCTTCTGGCTTACAAGTGATGATGCCGGTATTCCAGTTTCTTCGACAACCTCACAGATAATGCTGTCAAACATTTCTTGGGTTACCTTCTTGTTCAAAAGCTCGCTGGTTTGAACATCTATTTCAGGCTGATGGTAATCAATACCTACTGCTGTTGGCTACAATGTTAAAATCAAACTACCAAAGAGTTAGAAACAGAGACAATATGATAATGCTTTATGTAAAAAGAAGATGCTTCATGTGAATACCTCTGGATGGCCCCCAGGGAATACATAATGTCCTGGAAATTCCCCGACATTATTACTCCGGTGTAACACGATAACCTTCTTGTCAGAAGTTTCGATAACTGCTCCATTACCCAAAGGACTAGAGGTATGTCGACATCTCATTGAGTCATCTGCGAGAGAACAAAACCATAACAATAAGAAACCTGATCAAACCACCTGGAAGCTCTACAAGTTCCCCAGCACAAAACTAGATAACAAAAATCTCTCGAAGTGTGAGATTTTGCGGATATACCTTCTGATGTAACAATGAACTTCTCCCACAGAGAACTCAAATTTGTTCCTACAAAAGTCCTTGGAAACCATGTCCATGGTTAGTAATAAATTCTCTCCATAAGTCATGGTGATTGCCAGAATTCAATAAAGTTAGAAGCATAATCATACACAAACACTGAAGAGGAAATATAAACAAGAAACCTGTAATCTGTCAGGCCAAGACGAAGACAAACGTGTGGCACTTCATTGGTACCACCATCACCATCTAGACAATATGATCCATACTGAAAGAAAACACAACAATTTATGTGGAAACTTAAAAGACATCAAAATGTACTAGCTGATTTGATTGGTGACTAAGTACAGAACAATTTCAAAGATCATACCCTGAATTTTTGGCCATTGAACAAAGATGAATTGCCCTGTGTTCTCTTATCCCAAACCTAATTTGCCAAGAGTCATCAAACTTCAATGCGGATCAAAATCTAAACTTTCAAATTAAGCCATGAAAAAGTATGATCTAACCAGAGTAGTGAATCAGAACCCAACACAAGTTCTAGTAAAGATGAATCATTTCGGGTTCTCACCTCAGAAATAGAATCCTCCAGAACAGGATCGGAATGAGGAACCCGATCATGAGATTTCGAGAAATCCACCGAGACCTTTAAGCATTGAAACAGCAAAATCATATGATAACGGATACGAAACCAATGTGTCTAAGTCCGATTAACAGAGGAAAAAGGTGAGATAAGAGAAAATTACCTGAGACGGAGAGAGCCCAGAAGGACATGAGAGAAGAATCTGGTACCGTGAACCTTCAGGATTCATCTCTTCTACTAGTTTCGCCATGGAAGAAGAAGCTCGAACACAGCATAAGGCATAAGCAATGAGAAAGAAGAAAGAAACCATTAATGGGCTACACCAATAAATGGGCCAGAAAAAAGAACCATTAATCCAAAGAATGGAGCTTATGGGCCGAAGCTTAAAATTCATTTTTATTTTTTAGTCAACTCTTTAATCTCTTTATTTTTAGTCAACAATATGAAGTTATGAACTTTAGAGATTTTTATAGTCAAAACTCATACAACATCTAATACAGTACCAAACTCTTTTCTATTTATTCACAGAGAGAAAGATCTCAAACTCTCACCCATACATTTCAATGGAACTAAAACAAACCAAAGTGATGATGTTCTCGTTAGTCCTAATCTTGGCATTAATCAACTTTGCAAAATCGATTCGTACATAACAAGAACGCGAAACATTTTCTCGGAGGTCAGTCTCTTGAATCTTCCTACATTTTCAGGGAAAGCAAACAAGTTTAAAGCTCCTTCTTGAATAATCTCGCGGTGAAAGAGGAATCCGCGATGGAGGAGTTAGAGAAAACGTGTTCCGCAAGGATCTTTTCCCCGTAAAACAGAGACCTAACCGCTAATTTCACTCCTTGAAGCCATGATATGATCTTTGTTTCAAGAATCTCCCAGTTCAGTTTTTGTACCTGATGTAGAGTTAACTTCTCCACTCCCAAACTGTGTAGCGTCTCGTCCACGATAGATTTACGTACGGATTTGTAAACCCTAACGCATTCGTTGGCGTGTCCTGTAGAAATCATACATTCACCGATCATTTTCAGATCATCCATGGCGTTAGGATCTCCACCAGAGAATCTATGCTCGTCGGCGAAGTAGCCTTCATCTGTACAACTGGAATCAGAGACAGTACTCGGAGTAGAAACGCTGAATCTTGATGAGTTCCAAGAACGTAAAGATACACATTCAGGATCTAAATACTCTCTATTCTCCTCTAACACACGGCGGAACTCTGATGCGAGAAGCTTCATCCCCGTCTTCATCACGTTTTGTGCACGGTTAAGATTCTCTAATGACTCCGGTGTAACGGAGACTAGACGGTGCATTGAGTTATACAAGTTGTTTACGGCTCGTACGAACTGCTCTGCTTCTTGGTGACTAGTTGGGGAGAAGAGAAAGTGATCAATGCATGGACGACTCTGGAGAAGTTCATTTGGTTGTTATAGAGTGGACTTTGATCTCGTAGTCCTCCATTGCTGAGTCTACGAGCGTGTGGTGAGGCTTTGGTTTCGCCGGTGGAGGAGGAGGAGACGATGATCGGAATAAATGTTTTCCCATTTCTCTTTCTTAATAAGTGAAGACACTTTTATTGATATAACCGAAGAAGATAAAGTGAGAGGAAGGTTACAAAAGATGTATATAGACAAACTAAGATCATGATATATTATAAATGAAATGGGTACGTTACTATATACAAGTGGAATGATGGGTTTCTTCATTATTGAGTAAGATGCGGTATTACAAACAAAAGCTCCTTTTTGTTACTACAACTAGATTTTATTTTTCACTTTAACGTCGAATACTAATACGGGATTATTAAATCTTGTAAACAATATTGATGAATTTGTTGTAAAGTGTTTATAGTTAGCTGTTTTTTTAATATACATAAAAGAAAATTAAAGTGGTATAAACATTGCACTTAACAAATTACGAACCACACAGACTGACCACACTTGCAAAGTGAAGTCGTTCACAAGATGTGGTCGTGTAGGTAAGTCAAGGACATCCAAGAATAGCAAGTTGGCAAATTACGATCGATCACATCATTTTTAACTAACTCTCTCTAGTAGACTTCCATGTTTTCACTTTTAACATGTCTTTTACAACATACGAGACAAATTAATATAGATTTTAATAGTTTTGAATTTAAAAGGTAGATATCTTTAATTTCTTTTACATCATACCAAGCTAGTCATCTTTGTGTGTATCGTTTGTAAAGAACATTTTTGACAACAAAAAAAAAAGACAATTAGTGGATTTTTGTTGTAAGCTCAAGCTCACTGAGGTGTACTTTTGATCTTGGATTGTGGTCATTAGAAGGAACTCGTAATTTCTATGTTCTTGCAATTGGAGTAATTCCGCAAATTGTGAGGTACAAAGAAATTATCAAATATTGTGTTTGATATTCAAGTAGAAATTGAAACTAAAAATTGATTGCAGAAATAAAAAATACTTTAATAAAATTAAATTTTAACCATATGGTCCGGGACATGAGCTGCTGGATTGAGTCGCGGAGTTACCCCTCCGATCTATGGAAATTGGAAATTAAAAATTGTCAACTAATTAAAACTCTTGGTTCATCACTTTCAAGGTTCACCAAGACCAGTCGACATTTCATTTTATAATTATACTGCATTCAGTTGATCGTAAAATTTGGTCTTTCTACACTTAAAAAGGTTTAACATAGCATAATTTTGAATATATAAATGTAGAATAGTCATTTTCATCGTGAAAGGTTAAAGAAAACCTTAATATCGAATCATATAATGTGTATTTTGTAATATATCCAATCATATAATTCGTATTTTGTATATTAATACCACAATTTTATGATATTGTTGTACATATACGAGATTATTATCAGGTTATGTTGGACATTTGTACGACGGCTCTCGATTGTTCCGACGTCGTTTCATTACTGATCAAAGGGACGTTGTTACCTAACGGAAGGCTAAGGTTGCAACAATCGAACTCAGTTTCCAATGGCGTGTTGGCAGACGACGGAACAGGGTCGAAGTCGATGAGTAAACGGCCGGAAGTAACAGAAGTGAGCAACAGAGTTAGTAAGAGAAGTGAGAGTGGTTGCAAAATCCTTTTGAAAGAAGTCATTTAATTTCTACGTACTTATATCTGATATGAGATTGGAGAATATTGAATAATATGCATGAGCCATGCAATATATATGGACCGTGTTATGGATTTGGAAGGAAAATGTTTATTAATCCGTGGGATGAACGATATATATATGTTTGGTTATGGTTTATGAAGTTGTTGAGAAATTTTGGTAAGGGGAGTGGGTCAAAGTGTGTATATTCTCTAAAACAATTATAAATTCTAAACTTTGATTAAATATACATAGATTTTTTTTTAAATAGATTTTTTTAAAAATATGTGAATTTTATTTTTTTGTAGAACAAAGATAGATGATAGACATATGACTTTTTTTTAATAATAGATGTAATACAGTAACGAAAAAGGAAAAAAAAAAAACATACACATTTTAGTATAATGTTTTGGTAAAAATATGCGAGAGTCTATCACTACTGCACATGTTCTATGAACAGACCCCAAATAATAGAACCAATTAATAAGTTCAATAATTTGGTAAAATGTGTCGTTAACCCAAAAAAAAAAGGCTGATAAACTGTAAATACTATACCGTTGAGTGCATGAAAGCTTAACTTAAATTTCAAAGTTCAACCAAAAACTGTAAATATGTAATATATATTTTCTTACAGCAAAAAATATTTTTATTTATCTAATATAATACTTACTAAATTTTTTTTTGTTTTCAATCTCACACAAACGATACAGTATTTTTTTTAATCGATCATACATGGTGACTAATAATATGCATAGACCATTTATAGAAATTATAGTATAAACGATTGCACTAGAATTTAATTTTATTTACGACGCTATTTTGTGGTTTAAAATACATGATCGTTTAGGTTAAAACGGAAGCAACTCACGAATAGTAATTAACCTTGTTTCACAATTTTCAGACAGATAAAACGTCGTGCTTAAATTGGCAAAGTCAAGAAAACTTAACTATTTTGCGGAAAAGTCAACATAAACTTTGTGATTAAAATGACTTCTTAAAAGTTTGGTATTAAAGCGTCCCAAATTTGAAACATCGGGATTTTTTTGACATTTTTCCCATAAAAGAACTAACCCTTGAAGACCCGTGTATTTTAAAAAGAATCATTAAAATGAGTAATAATTAAAAAAAATATATAAGTATAATAAAAAAATATAATTGAATTATGACATAAAAATGAGTATAACTGAAAAATGAGAAAAATTAAATCCCTATAATATAGGAGTATAACCTAGCTTTTAAATTTGAAATAGATGTGACATCATAAATTCAAATTTTCCTATGATAACAATTGTAATATTGATTTACTTAACTAAATTTTTAATTAAAAAAAACTTATGGAGTATACTCTTAGTAAATATAGTGATTTAGTAAATATAATATAAGGGATATTATATGCTTAATATTCAGTTTGAAAAAAAAGTTAATAATTAAAATTATAAATAAAAAAGAAAAGAAATTTTTATATTAAAAGATAGATTTGAAAACATTTTTTAACCTTGTTGTACATACACTTTTTTCAATCTAGTAATATATGTCTGTTTTGGAAAATTAAAATTGCAACATATGTAAAACAAATGTTGGATTTTTATTATACATTTGTATTATATATTGTAATGCAATAAATTAAAAATATGATCACATAAATATAAAAGAAGCATTATTGTTAATTAGTTAGAGAAATATTAGGAAATCCAAATTTAAACAGGGAAATAATATAATTATAGTTACCTAAATATATGTAATGATAGTTGATATGAAAATAAACATTTCTTTCAAAGATCCAATTTAAGAATCCAGGTTATAATTTTTAAATTGACCTGATCCGAGTACTTTTTGTACTTCTCTTTTAATATATAGGGAATGGAGAACTAAACTTTTGTAAAATGTATAGCCAGAAATGTGAAAATGGTCTAAAGTTTTTGGTAGTGCGCATTGTGAAACAATATTTCATAGTTCACTTATTACCATGTGAGGTAGACTTGTTGTATTGGAACTAATTTTTCAAAAACTATAGAGAGAAAGGGATTACTTAAAAAAAACTATCTCCTATAAATACTCAACTTTTCCATTCTCCTAAACTTATGAAATAGAAAATGTCGAAATTTTCTTTCCTCTTTGTTTGTTTCTCTCTCTTGTCTCTGAATGTCTTCTGCTCAGCAGGGAATGACCAAGAAAAACATGTAGCACAACTGTACCCAAGCATGATTATATTTTCCTTTTTTGCTAATGTTACATACGACTCATGAGTTTATGATTATGATAATGTTACAGGTTTACATAGTATACATGGGTGCACGTCCATCTCTCGTTGACTATATACCATTGTCTCATTACACGAATCTCCTTCAAGAGGTCACCACCGAAAGGTATGATCAATGTTGTAATATTAATTTATTTCTACACACATTAATATTTAGTGTTAAGCCAAAAAGACTTTTAAGGAATTGATTTCTACAACATTTATATATTCTTACTGTGATTTGCTCACTCAAAAAATCAATATATTTTCATCAATAACACATCATGCCATTTACTATATAGTTTCTTTTATACAACATATTACAAATTGTAATTTACAATTGTGTATATATATAACGAAATCATCAATATTCAATAGACATAATTTAAGCAAAATATAAGCAAAAAAAAAGCAATAAAGATGTATTAGCTGAAAGAGAAATAAGAAGAGATGTATCGCTTCCTTCATGTGCTATGGGTATATATGTTTTCCATACTCTCTTCTTCTTCTTTTGTTTATGTATATATTATACTATATATGGCGAGGAACTCGTTATTTTCAACAAAAATTAAATAATACAATTGGCATAAAGTACAATAAAGGTACAAATTTTGGTTGTATACTTCATATTTTACTAAATAAAAAATCAAATTACATAAAGTTACGATGGAAAGACACAATACTGGTGACATTTTCTTAGTTTGCTATTATTATATGTACTATAATTTAGGAACTAAGGATAATTAACACACACAATGTGGGAAAAGAGTTCAAAACTCTTTATAATTTTGGACACACAAAAGAGTAGATTTTTTATTTATTACAAACCAAAATATATTATATTTATTACAACTATGGTAGATTATTTGTATTACAACCATACTAGAATTTTTTTATTACAAACATAGTGGTAGGTCTTTTGATTAAATCAGAATATATACAAAAGAGTAGAGTTTTGTTTTATTTTGATAAAAAAAAAAAAAGAAGAAGAGTAGATTGTGGGAAAGAGTTATAGAAACCTTTCTTATTTTGGACATATAGAAACAAAAGATAGGTAAGGATCTCGCATCTCATGGCTCCGGCGATCCACTGATGATATATAATGTTTTTGAGTAGTTTGAAGAGATCTCCGGTTTGAGCCTTCCACGAAAACAGTGTTAACAAAATACACAAGATCGTAAAAAAATAAAAATAAAAGCAAAAGAGGCTAGGTAAGTTGTTGTTGGGCTCACCATAAGCCCTAGCATGGAGTGTGTTTGGAGAAGGCCGTGATCTCGACTTGAACTTGAAGCACATCGTTCACAACAAAACCTTTGCATGGATCTGTAAGATCTGCAAGACTTATAAACTCCTGGAAACCCCATCCATTATTGCATGCTGCATTACGCCATCCCTCAACTTACCATAAGAAAAAAAAAGAGCAACAAAATTACATATAAAATTATAATTAATAACGTAAATTCTGTCACACTACATATATATCGCCATGATGATGAAAGGACATATTGAGTGAACCATGCACTCACGTACCTTGCTTCGCCACGTTGTTGCATGGGGTTTGGTTTAGAACTCGTAGCGTGGCTTTAACGTAATTGATATCATTATCCACACTCAATAGGTAGAGTGACAAATATTTATCCGTTGCACAACGATCTCCATTTGGATACACTTTCAAAACCCTAATCATCATCAAATCCATCATATAACAAACACATACATATTAGCTATATACCATACGAGGGTGCATGTGTTTGCGTAGAGAGAGATTAAGAGAGTCACCAGTTGCTGCCTCCAGAACAAAACGTATCGGATGTGTAAGAGCAATGACAGAGGGTAGAGAAATTGGGAATGCACCAAGGGTAAACGGGGTTGGTGACGTTTTGGTCAAAAGAGAAAATTTCCCCCTTGCGTGGACAAACGAAGATATCTATTCCAAACTGACATTTCTCTCCGTCGTAAATATACCCCGTTTCCTTGACGAACCAGGTTGTGGTCAGAAACTGTGCCACTCCCCACTCCGAATTTTCATGATCAAACTTTACTGTCTCACATTCTATGACCAAAAGAAAAAACAAAAACTTCTTAAACAATTACTTGAAATCCTCATTAACCAAAGAGAATATACATTCGTATGTGGTAGTCTTATTAGAGCATCCTTAAGACAAGACTTTGAAGAGCCACAAACCCAATCTTATGAGACAATGTAACTACGGTTCTCTAGCAAGATAGATTACTATATAAAGTGTGCAAAACAACTCTTCCTCTTCAATCTTATGAAATATCAATTTTGAATCATTGTGATCTTGGTGACAAACTAAAGTTCTTTCTTTTTATCTTTTAGTTTGCATTTGAATAAAGCTCTTCATGAGCTATCTTAATGTCTAAGTTTAATCAATCTTAATAAACTCATTTGAGCCTAAATCATCTTGCTTTGGAATTATCTTTCACTCTTGACCAATAGAGTTGACAACAACATATATAGTAACGTACGGCCAATAGTAGCTAGACTTGCAACACTTGGTTATGTTTCACGGAGAAGAAAAAGAAGATAATAATTTAGTCTTACGTACCAAATAATCAATCCTCTAAAACTAAGTACCTACGTACCTTGACGCGTATAATAGAAACGCGTGACACCGTTGTAGACGAAGAACTTTATCTCCGCATACACATCTTGTGGGCAGTTGGTTGAGTTACATAGTTTTGCATAAACCGAAACAAATCCTGGCTGTGCGTTTCCGTTTGGGTAGATTTTGAACGTCCTTTTTAAGATTTGAAAAGGGATACAATTATAGAAATATATATAATATAAAGTTGTAACAATGGTCTTGATGGTGAAATGACGTACCAAGTATATCCACCGGAAGTGAAAGGAAGGGACTCGTAATATCCATTCTTGACCAGGTCCACCATTTTCGCATAAGACTCGAACGTGATGGTGTAAGACCCCGGAGGACTTAATCTCACATATGGTATTATATCTGTCTTGAGCTTCCCGTGTTCTTGCAACCCTTTACAAGTTTTTCGTTATTAAGATTTTTCCGAGGTTAATTATAAAGTTTGACGAATCATAATTACAACTTTATAAATTACGAAGTATTCTAATTATGTTATATATCTATAGAAACGATTTAAAGTTATAATTAAACAAAACATGATATAATTTTCAATTTTAACACGATTGAGGTTGTTCATCTTTTCGTAATTTATATCAAGTCATCAACGATGCTACCGTACCTTCGTGTGTACCAGAAACAGAATCCTCCTGTATTCAAATGGAAAATCAGAAAAAAAGAATGAGAAGAAAATGGGAAAATTAGCATTATAGTACATTTTCAAAACTTAATTTGTGATATAGTACATTTACTATTCAAAATTGGATAAATAGACAATGGGTCCACCATGTGAGATAGAGAATGTGTGAGATAGATGAGAAAGTGGGGTATAGTGTAGTGGTGGTAAATTACAAAAGGGTAGATGTACAAAATGCATCCGTACAATTCATTTGTACATATAATTTGTGTACAGTTTGATCTGTACAATTGTATTTGTACATATATATCATATTGTACAAATACATGTATAATACAATATAATAGTCAATATACATACAATTATATCTATACATATATCATTGTATATAGTTTTTATACATACATTTTTCTGTACATATAATAAATATACAGTTTGATCTGTACAATTGTATTTGTACATATATCCTATTGTACAAATACGTGTACAATCGTTTACGACTTGTATACTAATATTTGTACACTTATTAAGTTGTACAGATGTACATATGTACACGTTTTAAGTTGTACGGATTAGATCTGTACACTTAGTAAATTGTACATATCTAAAATTAATGAAAATTATTTGTTATTATCAAATAAAATCTTCAAACAAAATGCATATCATATAATAGAGAAAAAACATAGATTTTTATATATTTGAAACTTGTAAAAAAAAAAAAAATTTCATTGACTAGTATTTTAGTTTTTAGATTGAAGGGAGAATGTAATTAAAAAGAAAAAAGAAATAAATGAAAAATATGTGTTTAATGGCATTTGTGTAAATATGAGAAAGTTGAAGGGGTTCTAATGTCTTCCAAATAGTGAGAATAGTAAAAGCTGACTAATTTGCCAATTATAAATAGTGATTGTACTATTTTGCTAATTAAGTTTCAAAAATGTACTAAACTCACAATTATTCCGAAGAAAATTCAAACACTGATCAATATAGATGATGAGTTCATTGATATTGATATCTTTTCCACTTATTATAATCACAAAATTTGCATACAAGTCATTGGTCCATTTCAGAAAAACGACTCAAAGACTCATGATAGGACGTTCTGTTGTGTGTACTTGTGTTTATACATCTTGACTACGGTTCAACAGTATCAATATACCTCACAATCCATCATACATCGCAAAACTTACAAGAAATAAAGAAAAGAAAGAAAACTTAACCCTATGAAAAATGCATGCATGGATGGATCATGCAATGATGGATCATCGCAAAATTTATGAAAATATATAGAAAAGCTCAGTTTTAAGTAATTTGAACCTGATGCGAAGAGTTGTCAGAACTAGGGTCGCTGATGATTAAACCTTTCATCTCTTCTTCTTTGATTGCAATTTGATCCATGATTAAACAAAAAACAAATGATTGGAAAAATAAAACCCTCACAATAAGTCAATAAACACCTTTTAGTACGTCTTAGGATGTCTCTCAAAACTCCCTGTTTGTTTGTGATATTTATTAAGCAAAATTCTCAATTAAAAAAAAAAGACTTTTGATTGAGTCACATATTTATTAAGCAATAATTTCAATGTAAAAAAAAAGACTTTTGTTTGAGTCTATATTTTATTAAGCAATAGTTTTGAGTTAAAAAAAAAAGACTTTTGCTGATAAAGTCCGGTTGCATGTATCATCAACGATTATATTTTAAATGCATAATCATCATTTCTTTTTTAGGTTCAAATAGAAATACCATTTTCTTTTTGTTTATGTACAATTATCTTTTTTAAAATTAAAAATTGTGTAAATTTATAATTTTTAGGATTATTTTCTGTTTTAAATATCATTAAAAATATTTAATCGATAATGTTGACATGATGTCACGACCACACATGAATTATTAACTTTGACAGCCAAACTTTATATAATTAGATAGTTACAGTTTTGTTTTTTAAGAAAAGGATTTTTGTCCGAGTCTAATATTTATTAAGCAATAGTTTTTCAGTTTAAAAAAAATATTTTTGATCGAGTCTGAATTTATTAAGCAACATATATATTCAGTTTTAAAGAAGACTTTTGTTTGAATCTGATAAAATATTAAGCAATAGCTTCAATTTTTTTTTAAAAGACTTTTTTTGAGTCTAATAATTTATTAAGTAAAAGTTTCAGTTTTAAAGAAGATGAGTCTGATAAAATATTAAGCAAAGTTTCATTTAAAAAAAAGACTTTTGTTTTGAGTCTGATAATTTATTAAGAAAAATTTCAGTTCTAAAAAAATAAAGACTTTTGTTTGAATCTGATATTTATTAAGCAGAATTTTCATTTTCAAAAGAAGACTTTTGTTTCAGTCTGATATATTAAGCAATAGTTTATTAAGACAAAGCACCCAAGGGTCACCAGGAAAGCCACAAAATAGTCAAATCATTGAACCCATGTTTTGTTATATCATACTATCCACCTGGTGACTCTTGTTTCCGTCTGGAATCAATGAACTCATGTTTTGTTACAAGCTGTTGTTGTGGTTGATAAACCCTTTTGGTCTTTTGTTATTATTATGTCCATTATAAACTTGAGTTTTTTTTATGTCAATCAATATTGCATTTGCATCATAATAATGTACTTTTTGTTAATAATATTCACTTTGAAGAAAGACAGTTCATGAGTCTATATAACTACAAAGTTATATAATAAAACACACCAATAATAAATATGATCATAACTAAAATCGATAACCATTTTTTATTTTCCATTAATTTGGAAAACGGATATACTTGTATTTCACTTTCCCTTTTCAAAAAAGTTATTTTTCGTTAAAAAAGGAAACAAATCAACTAAGTCGGTTTAAGCCCAATAGGGTTTAGTGAGGCCCAATAAGTATCGTATCTTTATATATCTTGTTTGATAATGTTGTTGCAGATGGTTTTCTCATTAACTAGGTAATGTCCCGCGCATATGCGTGGGTTGTTGTATATTTATTTAATTATTTTAATTTATTTATTACTTATAAAAAATAGATTAAATAAATTTTAATGCTTATGACATTTTTACATGTTATTTATTTAAATCATACAATAGAAGCATACATCCATATCTTTTGAATTTATTCGTTGATTAATTGTTCAATTTATCAATTTTGATAGTAATTTTCTTTAGTAATTTTCAGTATTTTTTGATAAAACAATAATATTGTTAATGATAAAAATAGAAATGATATTGGGAGAATTTAAATAATACCCCTTTAAAAATACCGCTTTTTAAATTTACCCCCTTTTCAAACTTTATCAAAACAACCACTAAAAATGTTGAAATTTATCCAAATATGTGTGTAAACTTATAAATATACACAAAATAACCTTTATTTGTGTATAAAATTTTATTTATTTCATTGTCTTACAAATTGGACGGATCCACTGCCGCCGGCGCATTTTGTTAAAATAATTACATACTTTAAAAATAAAATAAATATACATGAATATGTGAGAAAGAAAAAAACATATAAAGTAAAACAATGAAAATGGTTTATTTAGCTTGATTTTCTTATGGTGCGATGGTCAGAAATCAATATTTTTGAATCCCATCGATAAAGTAATTTCCTTATAGGCATAAAATATTATTATACATATGTATTATACATTTAATAGTATAAAAACAATGAAAAAATGAAGAAGAAATATAATTGAAAACAAAAGTTTTAACCAAATATATAATAAAGCTCTTACAATGATATCTTAATTGAGCTTTCAACCCATGCAAGAACATTAAAAATTAAATAAAGAAAATATTGAGAATATCATATATGGTGGAGGAGGATGTAAAAATGAGTATTTATAGGATAAAATATGATGTAAGTTACAATTCTAAAATAATTTAATCATAGGAGTTATAATTATATTTTATAGTGTGTTAATTGAAGTTAAATGGAGGAAACGAATAGTCAATTGAAAGGTTATATAATTTAAGTTACAATTTAATAGTAAAGTGTGGATTTCAAGTATGGATTAAAGTATATGAATAAATGTGTTAGATATTTGGTTTAATTAAAAATAAATATTATAATTAAAAAATAAATGCTAAATGGACCAATAAGGAGAGAGTGAAACCTTAAAAATTCCCAAAAAATAATTTTATTTTTAATCTCTTTTTATATTCCTCTTAATTTAAGTTATATTTCTAGGTTTAATTATATTTTTCATCCTTATAGTATATATAATAGATAGAAAATGGAATATCAAATTGTTTTTTAGATAGGAAATCAAATATAAAATTCAAAGTTAAAACAAATTATAATGTTCTTTGTATTATTACATGTTGAATCACAAACTAAATATAAGGATCATTATTCTTAAAAGAATGTCTTACAAATTGGTTTGATAATTATATAACAAAAAGTTTATTTTGTTAAAAATTTACATACTTTTGAAAATAAATTAAATATACATGAATATGTGAGAAATAAACAAACATCCAAAGTAAAAGAATGAAGATGGTTTCTTTAGCTTGATTTTCTTATAATCATAAAATATTATTATACATATGTATTACATTTAAAAATATAAAAAACAATGAAGACATAAAGAAATACATAAAAACAAAAAATAAATAAACTTGAAAACAAAAGTTTAAACTAAATAATTAATCAAAATCTTACAATGATATTTTAAATGAGTTTTCACCCCATGCAAGAACTTTAAAAAAAAACAAAGAGAATAATGAAGATATAGATATGGTAGAGAATGATGTGAGAATAGCTATTTATATGATAATAAATGATGTAAGTTACAATTTTAAAATAATTAAATTAGAGGAGTTATAATTATAATTTATAGTGTGTTTAATTGGAATTCAATAAAGAAAACCAATAGTCTTTGGAAATTTATATAATTTTCAGTTTCATTTTAGTAGTAAAGTGTGAATTTAAAGTATGAATTAATGTATATGATTAAATTTGTTTTTTTGGTTAAAAATAAATATTATATTTAAAAAAAAAATACAAAATGGAACAATAAAGAGAGTGCAACCTTACTTATATATATATGATTTTAAATAATTTTCCACCAATAAAGCTTATAAAATTTGTTGTATGATATATGATTAAGTGCTTTCATTTTCTTTGCCATTTGATTATAACTTATAGTGTAATTAAATTTTGTACTGAATGATTGTCATAAACATTTATTTATTTATTAAAAAAATTAAAGCATTAAATATTTTTCCACCAATAAGAAGAGAGTGGAACCTTACCTTTATATATATGATTTACACTTTTTTGAGTTTTTCTTTTTTTCGCTCTCGTTTTTTTTTTTCCGCTGGAGCGCTTCAGAGTTTTGTTATCGAAGGCTATCATCATCGTCATCATAAGGTGCGGATACATTTGTTTAATATTACGAAGAACCTCTTTTTGAGATTTTTGTTTTCTTTGAAATTTTTAAGGATTTAAGTTTCATGATTGTGTTTTTCTTGGGTTTAGAATTTCTTATATTGTTCAGATTCAAAATCCGATTTAATGAAAACAAAGACTTTAGCGAATCTTAGGTTCAAAATCTCCTCTTTTGAAGTTTCGATTAGGGTTTGTTGTTTCAGATTAGGGTTTAAATCAAAATGATTATATCTGGGTCTTAGCTTCAAATTCTCCTCTTTTGAAATTCGTAATTTCCGATTTTAAATTGTTGGATAATTCCAAGTGACTTGGGGAGCAAGTCAAGGGATTCACAAACATGATCTAGATAATGGCAAGTTATTTAGATAAGGCTTTGTGTTGTTTTCCTAATCTAATTAGGACTAAGGTGTTGTCTTGGTTCTATAAATACTAAGCTTGTGAAGAGATGTTTCACAAGACTTGAGAGAGATTTAGTTTTTGAGTAGTTTTCTAAATCAATAAGAAAGGTTGTTATTATATTTTTCAAGCACATATAAACCTAGATAAATCCCCTCTTTTAGAGTTCGTAATTGCGATTAAATCTTTGGTTTCATGGTTTTGTTTTTCGATTCTTTGTTTCCAAATCTCCTTTTTATAATAATTTATAATTGCGATTAAAACCCTCTCATTTTTTGTCTTAGGGTTTCTAACTCTGTCGATGGTTGACACAAGGATTTAAAATCCCACGCGATTACGCTAAGTCCTCACCATCACTGAGGTATTTCTTTAACAACTTTAATTTATTTTTTTTGAAAGTTTTTAATTTTATTTTAAAGAACCCATAAGAGAGCGACGACAGACAACACGAATCATTGTTGTATGTCTGGTTTCTATCTTGGGGAAATGGTTCAGTATCATCTTCAATGTCTAACACAAGCAGACAAAGATATATCTTGAAGTGGTTTCTGAATCAAGTAAGACTTGTTTAGTTATGTATCCAAGATTAATGAATTCAGTATCTTGGATCAAACTAAACACGCATGATCAGATAAAACTTCAATGTATATTCCGTATGTAAGACTTGTCTTTTGATTTTATTGGAAACCCAAAAGAAAGGGACATCAACATATATATGATTGTTGTATGTCTGGTTTCTAACTTGGGGAAATTTTCCTATATAACACAAGCAGACAGAGAGATATATCTTGAAGTGGCCTCTGAATCAAGTAAGACTTGTCATGTTTGTAATCCAAGATTAATGAATTCCGTATCTTGGATCAAAATTGGCAAGCATGATCAGATAAAACTTCATTATATAAAGTATCTCACGTATGTAAGACTTGTCTTTTCATTCTGTTGAAAACCCAAAAGAAAGGGACATTAACACATTTGATTGTTGTATGTCCGGTTTCTAACTTGGGAAAATTGTCCCGTCTATAATGTTGCCTAACACAAGCAGACAAAGATATATATTTGAAGTGGTTTATAGATCAAGTAAGACTTGTCAAATATGTATCCAAGATTCATGAATTCAATATCTTGGATCAAACTTGGCAAGCATGATCAGATAAAACTTCATTATATATCTTGCATATATATATGCCTCTAAGACTTGTGTTTAAGGTAATTCAAGTTGTCTGCTGAGACTCTTTATCTAGCTGAGCTGGGACAGCATATGGTATTCAATTTTCTGCATATATTGTTGGAGGAAAAAATGAAATGATTAAAGGCTTTGCCTAATGAATGGAGAAATGAGTTCAATAATCTGCTTGAATATAAGAATGATGATGTTCAATGATCTGCATATTGATTGGGAGAGAAATGTATTTCAATATTCAATGTTCTGCATGGGATGGAGGAGGGAAAAAAAATTCAATTTTCTGCTGAAAGATAAAATGCTAATGTTCAATGATCTGCATATTGACTAGAGAAGAAACGGATTGTTAAGAAGGCTGTCTAATGATGGTGTTACAGAGATTGGCAAAATTAAATTAAACTCTATATGTAGCTGAGCTGGGACATCATGATGTAATGATATTCAATATTCTGCATGGGATGGAGGAGGGAAAAAATTCAATTTTCTGCTGAAAGATAAAATGCTAATGTTCAATGATCTGCATATTGACTAGAGGAGAAACGGATTGTTAAGAAGGCTTGTCTAATGATGGTGTTATAGAGACTGGCAAAATTCAACGAAACTCGATATCTAGCTGAGTTGGGACAGCATGATGTAATAATATTCAATGTTCTGCATGGGATGGAGGAGGGAAAAAAAATTCAGTTTTCTGCTGTAAGATATAATGTTCAGTGATCTGCATATTGACTAGAGGAGAAATGGGTTTTGAAGGTGGCTTGTCTAATGATGGTGTTACAGAGATTGGCGAAATTCAATGAAACTCGATATCTAGCTGAGCTGGGACAGCATGATGTAATAATATTCAATGTTCTGCATGGGATGGAGGAGGGGAAAAAAAATTCGGTTTTCTGCTGAAAGATAAAATGCTAATGTTCAAAGATCTGCATATTGATTGGAAGCAAAAGTATTTTTATGGAGGTTTGTCTAATGATATATTGGGTGTCCAATGATCTGCTGAAATCTATGTCTAGCTGAGCCTGGACAGCATATGATATAGTACATATTCAATGATCTGCACATATTGATAGAGGAGAAAGGGCTTCTTAAGAAGGCCTGTCTAATGATCTGCTGAAACTCTATGCCTACAATGCCTAACACACTGGTAAGTTCATTTTTCCGAACCGAAGGTAAGTTTATTTCTCTTTTGTTCTTATTTCTACCAAAAGTTAGGTAAGTAAAGAACTAAATAAGTCTCCGACTTATTGTAATATGTATTAATCACATCTTTCTGTTGACTTATTATTCTTAACAGGGGAATTGAGTTTCTGCAGGAAATCAGTTTACGGTTCATATTCTTTTCCGATTTGATCAGGTACATTATCCTTCCCTAAACTAAGTTATGATTTTCACAAGAACTTCTCTTTATATAGTTTGTCATTCCTTGGCTGAATCTTTCTTTTGACAAGGTAAAGACTGATAACTGTTTTGCAATGAGTTATTAGTTAGCTTGTCCTTTTAGATTTGTGTCTCAGGTTTGACTTCTCCCTTTGCTTTTCCAATAGTATTATGTTATGGGGTTCGTTTGAATTATCATAGTAGGAGTTGTGCGAGAGTGCTCTCTATACTCTTTTATACGAAAATTTTAGTTTATGTGGTGACTTTTGGATTTCATAACAGGATAAGGTGAACAAGTTTGGTGTTCTCTTCAACAGTATTGGTGAGCAAGTATTTTTATAAGTCACATCTATACTTTTTTGAGTTATAAGAGATAAAACAAAGCTATGGTTTCTCAGGTACGTTCTTGTCTTTACATTGCTTCTCTGATTTCCAGTGGTACTAGTTATTGGATGCATTTGAATTTTGGAATGACATGAGTTTGTCTTTGGTTTTAGTTAGCCTAATTCATGGTTTCTTGTAATGCGTAGAACATGAGGTACAGACCTTTTTGGCTTGGCATCAAAATATTCTTGTTTGTTTTTTGGTAGGCCATTGAAGAGAAGACATATCACTGAAACCAACTTCTCTTTGTCTTGATTCATTACAGGAAACCAAGTTATTGCAGGAATGGAGTTTTTGAGGATTGATTACATGGTTCCTGCTTTTAATCAGGTCAGTGTTTTCTTATTTAACCAATTTATTACTTTTAACAATTTCAATTTTAGTAGCAATGAGACTAACGTTAAAACTTCAATTTTTGAACTACACTAAACGCAAACACAAACACACATGTGAATGCCAACAAAAACATGAACGTGAACACAGACGGTAAACGTAAACAGAAACAAAAACTCTAATTAAATGTGAAAAATACACAAACATAAACATAAACATAAACATAAACATAAACATAAACATAAACATAAACATAAAACATAAACATAAACATAAAACATAAACATAAACATAAACACAAACACAAACACAAACATAAACGCAAACGCAAACGCAAACACAAACATTAACGCAACGCAAACGCAAGGCAAACACGTCCAAACACAAACACAAACGCAAACACGTCCAAACACAAACGCAAACACGTTCAAAGACAAACACAAACGCAAATGCAAACACAAACACACACACAAAAATAAAGACACACAAACACCCAAACCTAACACGTCCAAACACAAAAAGAAAAAAACTAAGTCTGGGCATATAATCTGAATCCAAGCAATTTGATCTGAAGTGATCCGAAATTTTCAAAATCCAGCCAGATTTGGTAATTCAAATAATTCGAATTGGGTAATACAGATCCAAAGTTGGGTGTAATCACCTAATTTGGATCCAAATTTCGGACCTCTAACCGATCTTTCACAAAAAAAAATATTGTAAACCGATCATAAATCAGGAAAAACCCGAGCATATCATAATTTAGTAGCAATGAGACTAACGTTAAAATCATTTGGATCGAGTAGTAAATTCATTAATCATCAACCATAAATAATTTTAACCAAAATATATAAAATATACCCACGCTCGTGTGGGTTCAAAACCTAGTTTATATAGTATAGATTACAACCAGGGTAGATTATTTTTATTACAACCAGTGTAGATTTTTTAAATACAACCAGAGCATACACAAAAGAGTAGACTTTTGTTTTATTTTGGGAAACAAAGAAGAGTAGATTGTGAGGAAAGAGTTATAGAAACCTTTCTTATTTTGGAAATAGAAAAACAAAAGATAGGTAAGGGTCTCGCATCTCATGGCTCCGGCGATCCACACTGATGATATATAATGTTTTTGAGTAGTTTCAAGAGATCTCCGGTTTGAGCCTTCCACGAAAACAATGTTAACAAAATACACAAGAGTAAAAAAAAACAAAAGTAAAAGCAAAAGAGGCTAGGTAAGTTGTTGTTGGGCTCACCATAAACCCTAATTAAGTGGAGTGTGTTTAGAGAAGGCTGTGATCTCGACTTGAACTCGAAGCACATCGTTCACAAGAAATCCTTTGCATGGATCTTTAAGATCTGCAAGTGCTATAAACTCCTGGAAACCCCATCCATTGTTGCATGTTGCTTTAGGCCATCCCTCAACTAACCATAAGAAAAAAGCAACAAAATTAATAATATATTTATAATAACGTAACTAACCACGTAACGCAGTAATAACATAACTGTCACACTACATATATCACCATGAAGAAAGGACATATTGAGTGAACCATGCACTAACCTGGTTTCACCACATTGTTGCATGGGGTTTGGTTTAGAACTCGTAGCGTGGCTTTAACGTAATTGATTTCATTATCCACACTCAACAGGTAGAGTGACAAATATTTATCCTTTGCGCAACCATCCCCATTTGGATACACTTTCAAAACCCTAATAATCATTCAACCCATCATATAACAAACACATATTAGCTATATACCATACCAAGGTGTGTTTGCGCAGAGAGAGATTGAGATATTCACCAGTTTCTATCTCCGGAACAAAACGTATGGGATGTGTAAGAGCAATGACAGAGGGTAGAGAAATTTGGGAGGCACCAAGTGTAAATGGGGTTGGTGACGTTCACATCATAGGAGAAAACTTCCCTCTTGCTGCGATGAGTAACAAAGATATCTACTCCAAACTCACATTTCCCTCCGTCGTAAAGATATGCCGTCGGATTGACGAAACATGCCGAGGTCACAAAACTCGCCACTCCCCACTCCGGTTTTACATCATCAAACTTTACTGGCTCACTTTCTATAACCAATAAAAATAAAAATAAAAAACCCCTTAAATATATCATTACGCGAATTCCTCATTATACAAAGAGAATATACATTTCGTATGTGGTGGTCTTGACCAATAGAGTTGAGAACAACATATTAACGTACGGCCACTACTAGCTAGAATGATGAATCGATCCTACTAATTAAATTAAGTACCTTGGTGTGTATAATACAAACGAGTCACACCGTTGTAAAGGAAGAACTTGATTTCCGCATACACATCTTGTGGGTTGGTGACGCAGAATGAGTTATCGATTTTTACATAAACCGAAACCCATCCTGGCGCTGCTGCATCCTTCTTGTTTCCGTTTGGGTAGATTTTGAACGTCCTTTTAATATTATTTAAACAAAAACAAAAGAAAAGGGATACAATTATTGAAAGCTATATATAGTTTAAAAGTTGTACGTAATAATGCGTGAATGACGTACCAATTGAATCCACCGGAAGTGAAAGGAAGGGACTCGTAATATCCATCATTGACCAGCTTCGCCATTTTCTCATAAGAGTCGAAAGTGATGCTGTAAGTTGTTGGAGGACGTACTCTAAAATATGCTGCTAAAGGTAACATGAGCTTCTCGTGTTCTTGCGACCCTATACAAGTTATTTTCATTTGTCGTCATTATGAATTACATTCCCCGTGGTTAATTATAAAGTTTGGCAAATCTTAATAACTTTAGTTACCAAGTATTTTAATCATCATGTTATATATCTATATAAAATAATTAAAGTTGGTTTAAAGTTATAATTAAACAAAAAATGATATAATTTTCAATTATTTTAACACGATTGAGGCTGTCCATCTTTTGGTAATAATCACATCAACGTTGCTACCGTACCTTCTTGTATATCAGAAACAGGATCCTCCTGTATTCAAATGGAGAATCAGAAATGTCAGACACTGATCAATATATTATTAGGGATACATGCTCTGATTGGTAACGGTTGTTACTTTTGCCTGTAAAGACTTTAACTTTAAAATTTTAGATGCAGAGAATTTGGCTATAAATGTTTTGGTTGTAAGAACTTTTACTGTTAAAATTTGATTTGTAATGCACCGCTTTTAAAGATGTGATTGTTATTTTTTTATTATTATTTTATATTAATAATAAATATAAATTATGCTACAAATGAATTTATATAGCAATTTAATGACTAATTTTCGCTAACAATACATTTGAACAATAAATTAAAAGATAATAATAATACCATTAGTCGATATAAAATTTCGCTAACAATAATTTTTTGTTTTTGTTTTGTTTTTGGTGATTGATTCTTAATAGATTATTATGTCAAATAATAATGGTGTTTTAAAACTATTTCAAATGTTTTTTGTATATAAGCAATCTGTTAAACGTTAATTAATGCATTGTTTTGAATGTTATTCCCTATATAAACATAAATTTCATAACTCTTTTACATCATCATCATCATGAAAATAAAAATGATTATTATTGAAATGGATCTTAAAAGAACAAGAAAAAATGAGAATAATTAATATGTAAAAATTAAATATTTAAAATATATTTATAAACTTCTAGAATGTTTTAAATGTAATGTGGATGTGAAAAAATAAATAATTTTTAATTGTTTAGATTTTAAATTCAGTTTTTTGACGCTTTTAAAAAAATGAGATAGCAAAAAAAGAAAAAATAAAAGTGGCTTTCAATACTTTAAAAAGAAATAAAAGCCAAAATCTTTGATTGGCAAAATAATTGCTGTAGAGGTTTTAAATAATTTTAGAGCCTTGAAAGCACACAACCAATCCGCCACACAATATCCCATATTGGAAGTTGAGTACGATCCTAACTAGTATATATAGACCTCTCCAATTATTGTCAATTGGTTTTAGGTTAGAAGCCCAAGATCATATATATATATATATATATATATATATATATATATATATATATGCATACAAATCATTGGCCTATGATAAGACGTTGGGTTGTGTACGTATTTGTGTTTATACATTTTGATGACATCGGTTCAACAGTATCATTATAAGATACAACTATGTTTTAGACTTTTAGTATACCTCACAATCCATCATACATAGCAAAACTTACAAAAATGTTAACCCTATATATGAAAAATGCATGGATCATCGCAGAATTTACAAAAATAGAAAAGCTCAGTTTTAAGTAATTTGAACCTGATGCGAAGAGTTGTCAGAACTAGGGTCGCTGATGATTAAACCTTTCATCTCTTCTTCTTTGATTGCAATTTGATCCATGATTAAACAAAAAACAAATGATTGGAAAAATAAAACCCTCACAATAAGTCAATAAACACCTTTTAGTACGTCTTAGGATGTATCTCAAAACTCTCTGTTTCTTTGTGATATTTATAAAGCAAATTTTCAAATTTTTTTGTTTTTTTTTTAGTCTCATATTTTATTAAGCAATAGATGTCGTAATTAAAAAGAAAGACTTTTGTTTGAGTCTGATATTTATTAAGCAATAGCTTCAGTTTGTTAAGAAAAGTCTTTTGTTAATAAAATCCGGTTGCATGTATTAGGCCTAGACATATATATCAACGATTATATTTTAGATATATGATTTTATACTAAATGCATATTCATTATTTTTGTTTGATGTTCAAATAGAAATACCAAATTTTTAATGTTTATATTCGTAGTAAATTTATCTTCTTACAATTTTTAAATTTTGTAAATTTATAAATTTTATAGTTATTTTGGTTTTTTTAATTAATTAAAATTCTTTAATCGATAAAATTCACACGTATCATGATTATTTAAATTATTAACTTTGAAAACCAAACTTTATATAATAAAATAGTTTCAGATTATTTTTTAAAGACTTTTCTTTGAGTCTAATATTTATCAAGCAATAGTTTCAGTTTACTTATATTTTATCAAGCAAAATATTCAGTTTAAAAGAAGAGTTTTGTTTGAGTCTGATAAAATATTAAGAAATAATTATAGTTTTTAAAAATGATTTTGTTCGAGTCTAATATTTATTAAGCAATAATTTTAGTTTTAAAAAAACTTTTGTTCGAGTCTAATATTTACTAAGCAAACTTTTCAGTTTTAAGGAAGACTTTTTTTTGAGTATGATAAAATATTAAGCAATAGTTATTGTTATTAAAAAGGAATTTTGTTTGAGTCTAAAATTTATTAAGCAATAATTTTAGTTTTAAAAAAACTTTTGTTCGAGTCTAATATTTACTAAGCAAAATTTTCAGTTTTAAAGAAGACTTTTGTTTGAGTCTCATATAATATTAAGCAATAGTTTTAGTTTTAAAAAAGACTTTTGTTTGAGTCTCGTATTTATTAAGCAAAATTTCAGTTCTTAAAAAATATTTTTGTCTGAGTTGTCTCATTGACTTTGGCGTTTTGGCTGGCTGTTGCTACCTGATAATACATTAAGCAATAGTTTTAGTATTAAAAAGTAAATTGTTTGAGTCTGACAAAGAGTTTCAGTTTAAAGAAAATATTTTTGTTTGAGTTGTCTCATTGACTTTGGCGTTTTGGATTTTTTAAATATAAAGCCTTTTACCAAATAAATTAAGCTTTTAAAACTAAGAATTTTGAGAGTGAGACATCTAGTTTTCGTATATAGTACCAAAATCCCATTACAAATTTTACACAAGTAACCACTCTACAATAAACAGTTAGGTTCTTGTTTGCAGGAAAAAAAGTAGACAATGGAAACAAGAAACTACATTTGCATACATTAGTCTCTATTCATATGGTGATCTATGACTTCTTCTTGACAAAAAAAAAAAAAAAAAACAATTGATCAACCACTTAGTTTTGTTAGTAGATGCCTCAGCTTCAGAGGGATCATTTAAATTTGGTTGATAACTTTTCAAGCAACAGTGAAGGAAAAAAACTCTCACTGTGCTTTTAAGGGTTTCCCTTCAGAGGTTGAGCCTCTTCGTCCCGTGGAGGTTCTTGAGTTGCCTGCGGCTTTTCTGATCTCTTCTTCACTAAATTTTTAGCATATAGAGACCCGAAAACAATTACCTGCGTCAGTGAAAAAATGGATTTAGCTTTGGGAACAAGGAGAGATCACAAGAGAGGGAAGACAAAATTAAAGAATGGCTTGTAGGAGCTTACAGATCCAATGCACTGCTCCCAGCTAAGCGGGTGTGAGAACCAAATGCAGGAGAGCATGATGCTCACAAGCTTTTTGATTTTCAGACAACGAAGAAAGAATTAGATGGAACAAATTGTAATCAGGAATTAAAGAGTTGACATCAGAGTAACTAACTAATTACCTGTCTAGTAGTCATTATGGCAGCAAACGTTAGAGCACCAAATGTCCTAATAGTGTAAGAAATGAAAAATTGGCTGGCTGTTGCCACCTGCAGAAAACAGAGTTCATCTCTGATAAGTTTTATACTACCTTTTAGTTTTCGTATTACTAGGGCATATGTTTCAATAAAAATTCAACTCTAGCTTATCGCTAACTATAGCTGCTGTGACCACTGCTGCAGTGCTATCATACTCTAATTTGAATATCTTTCCAGAACATGATAACTGTAATGACTACGCAGAAGATTTACGGTGGAAAGTAAAGCGATGTCAAATAGACAATCTCTATGGCGGGAAACAAAGTCCACTGCTGGGAGTAAATGCCCTTGCAGTATAAGTCCTGTATCAAGCAAGAAATTTCATATATGAGTAGCAAAAGGCATGGTTGAGCTGATTTAAAGCTTTCTTGAGGTCCACAGATTGAGGTTTATGCAAGGCAGCTGAATTCTATATCGAAAAGCACTGATGGACTCGAGAATCACAGTCAGAAATAAAAAAAGCGTGAGAAAGGTTCCTACTAACTACAGCGTTTAGCATCTCTAACATATGATCTCAGATGAAGCTTAAATCACAAGTTTACATATAACCAAAGATTGAGACATGAAAGAAAGATGACAAATTTACTCCAAAAGTGATTTAATCAGTAATGGAAAAGCCGAAAAGAATCATCACAGAAGGTACGACATGGTCCGAGTCCAAACAAAATGATTTTAGTAAAAGAGACAAAAGAAGCACAAAGAGAAGTTCTCACCAGTGAAACTGAGAATAGAGGAACAAATTGTTGTGTAGAATATCTGGTTATGTATTTCCATATTATAACCTTTAAAGAGTTTGTCTTGGAATGTGCTTGTAAAGCCATCAAACCTGTTAGCCAGTTTACCAATACCCGATTATGGATATACGAAGACAGTATTGAGGTTCCTATCTTAAAACTAAACAAAAATAAAACGAGTAAAAAGGATATGTACCCAAGATAACCAACCATAAGGGATACACCCCAGACAGTGTTTTCTCTTCCCTTGTTGTACGGACTAATTTCATCTCCTGCCTACCGCTCAAATACATAAACAAAACTCCATTACATCTTATCTTAATGTTCATAGTGATAGCTCACTATAAAAACTAGCATAGATCCCAGTGAAAAGATTGCGTCATTACCGGAAACAGAATAAACACAAAGCACCCAAGGGTCACGAGGAAAGCCACGAAATAGTCAAATCCCCTATACCTTTTCTGCATAATGAGGGTTCCCCAAACCTGTAACAAACCACATAGATAAGACAGTGGTGATACACTCACATGTACAAAAGTTTCCTACTTCACGTAACATAAAGTTAATAACTTACCATCACAGGTATCATCTTGGCACATTTAGCCAAAGTTTGAACTGGGAAACTCACATACTTGAGAGCCTACAGACATCACAGTTCACACATTATGGTCAAGCAAAAACGAAAATCACTGAGATTAAGGTGAACAAACCTATCACAACTCATACCTCATACTGACATGTAGTGGTTAAGATGTTAGTTACTGATATGAGACAATATTTATAAACCGGAGCTACAGGATCCAAAACTTTCTTGCTCGCCTACGAACACACAAGGATCACAAAATCAAAAGCACACTTCTTTAAGAGCATTGAGATAGTATGAATATAACAACAACTCAGGTTTTGATAGTTGTTACCAGTAAAACACCAGCAGAAACAGCTGATGTAGTGAGACGATTACAGAAAACAAGAAACAAAGAGTGCTTAAAGTACTCTTTTTTCAATCCATAAGGCACTCTCATGATCTTTTCCTGAAATTACAATCACAAATTTCCAAAACCCAGATCGTTTCTTCAATCAATTTGAACAAAGAGAGACGGATTCGAGGGGGAAGGAACTCAGAAATATAACAACTGAGAGAGATAGAGATAGAGAGAGAGACCTGAAGAAGACCATAGATGACGAGAGTGATCATAATCCCAGAGATAGCGAAAACAGCTTTCCATAGCTTCTTCTCCTTGGCTTCGTTTACAGAATCAGGTTCTGCCATTGCTCCATTGATCCGCTTCTCTCTCTTCCTCGCCAAAACAAAAGGAACAATTAACCAAAACATTCAATCAGGTCCACCGAACCGAACCGGAATTAATCTAAACCAATTGGTTATCAAGTTTTATTTCTATTTTCTATTGTAGACCTTTTTGTCCCAATATATACTTTTACTACTTAACGGCGTCGTTTTCTCGTTATCTTTCATCCAAATTCGCCAATGGCTCCTCGCTTACATTGAACCATTTACAATCTAATTTGTTCGGTTTACACTTAACCGGAATAGATTATCTTAACTAATCTATCAGAAAAGGGAAAAAATGTTCTAAACCACTGCTTCTGATTTCTGATTCTTCAACACTATCCTCTGCTTCTTCTTGTCATTTGGTGTAATTGTCTTTTGCAATTTGGAGTAATAAGTCTCTGGCAATTTAAAAGTTGATTTGTCTGAGCTAGGTGGACAATTTGATCTATGTCTCTTTGCAACCGTTATTTCCTAGAGTAAGTGGCTTATGGTTCACAATTCTAAACACTTGCAGGTGACATTACTAAAAGGCCAAACACTAAGAAGACTCGGGGGGTTAAACTTTCAAGAAGAAGGCTAACAAGATCAGAACCAAAGTCACATTTTACAGACCAATGACTCTGATGACTAACCAAACTACCACAGGATTATAGAATATCTAGAAACAAGCTTGACAAATCTCACCATCGACTCTGTGATCGAAGAGAAAAATACCCTTGTATTCATTGTCTAACATCTGAGCTGACAAGAAGAAGATGTAAAACATCTTTGATCATACTTTATGGCAAGAAGAAGATTATTTGAGGGTTGAAGCATGATTGTTATGTGTTGGATGGCTACAAAACAAGATTGGAACCTTTGTCTCAAAACAGAACATGTATGGTTTTTTTTAACATCCTAACTTGACAGAACATTCTTCTTTCAGCTTCTGTAATCAGTAGTAAACTAGTAATAGTAATTCGTTTTGAAATAATGGAAATTTGCTTTAATTTCTATTGAAAAAAAAAAATCAATAATTACAGAGCACCTGAAACAAATTTCACCTTACAAGAATCATCCTAATTTTGCAGATATCAAACCAATAATGAAACAAGATTCCAAAAATAGTGAATTGACACATAAAGCATCTACTTCTTTTATCTTCTTCTAAGTTATAGATCTTCGTCCGAATCCTCCTCTTTAGGGTATTCTTCATCAATTTCAATTGCTTCTTCTCCTTCCTCCTCCTCCTCCTCCTCTTCTTCTTCTTCTTCTTCTTCAAATGCAGCTTCAACTTCTAGATTTGCTTCATAAGCTACCACCTCAGGATCATATAATTCATCATCTTCATCTTCTTCTTCTTCTTCATCTTCTTCTTCTTCATATGCTTCCCCATCTTCTTCCTCATATTCTTCTTCTTCATCATCACCATCAGTCAAGAACTCATGTTTGATCAAACTGTCAACAGACCACCTTTTAGCAGGGTCTCTCTCCAAACACTTTTTGAGAAAGTCCTTAGCCTTTTCAGACAAGTAATCAGGAATAGAGGGAGCTAGACCACTTTTACTAACAAGAGTAACCCAATCATCCCAATCAAGCTCACCATACTCTCCCCAAACCTGTTCTCCACTCAACATCTCAAGCACAGTACACCCAAAAGCCCACACATCTGCACCATAGTCCAAAACCTTCTCCCCTATAAGCTCAGGTGACATAAACCTTGCGGTTCCACTCCTGTGATACCAGTTTTCACCATCCTCAATCCAGCCTTTCTCCATCGCGTTACCAAAACCAGATATCTTAGCAATAAACCCAGAAGCCCTAATTCGTTTATTCGCTGGCTTGAGTAACACGTTTTCTGGTTTGATGTCATGGTGAATGATCTCTTCTCCGTGTATACACTTGAGACCAAACAAGATATCACTAGCGAATCTCTTCACATCATCAACAGGTAAGCCTCCTTCGTTGGACCTGACGTGCTTCGCAAGGGATTGGCCAGGACAGTACTCGTTAATTGTGTTGAAAAGCTTCTTGTCGTTTTCCTCATCTGTCATCTCGTGGCCGTAACAGGAGACGATGAACGGGCTTTTGAGACAATTTAAGAACTTTTCCTCGTTCATGAGATATGCTGATTGAGAGAGCACACTAGACTTGATGACCATCTCGTTAGGAAGTTTGTCTTCGTCTCCGTCTCCGTCGGTCTTTCTGACGGCTAAGTAAGCAGAGATGTATGAGTCGCTTCCTAGATAACGAGTCACCACCCACGAATCACTTTCTGGTGCTTTTATGATTGAACGGTTCCTCTTGGTCGACGAATCTGCATCATCCTCTATCACGTTCGTCTCTGATATGGTTGGTGAATACTTCACCTTCTTGTGAGGACGGTTCGAGTCGTCGTCCTCCCACTGACCTAATCGATCAGAAGATGTTGTTTTCGACATCTTTCTCTCTTTAGAACTCTGTTTCTCTCGCTCTCTAGAACTCTGTTTCTCTCGCTCTCTAGAACTCTGTTAATTCTCTCTATCTATCTATCTCTTCGTCTGATACTAAAACGACTGATACTAAAACGATGAGACAAAGAGAGGAGGCGATAGGTTATATTTATAATGCATCTGTTGTTCAGTTTACTACTACTTGGGACTCAAGTTTCCTTTTTTTATTTGGACTCAAGTTTCCTTTTTTTTTTATTTGGACTCAAGTTTCCTTTTTTTTTCCTCGGCTAAAACGGTCTGAGAGAGTCAAAAAACAAAACCGTAACTCACCCTTATCTTTGAGAGAGAGAAGGAGAATTCCGATAAACCGGAATTTTCTTTGGTTTTTCTTTTTTGTTTTGCTCTTCCGATTAGATCGGATTAGTCTTTCCGCTTAGGCGGATTAATCTCCGACTTAGTTTAGATTATATTCTTGCTAAGTTCGGTTTTTTTGTTTTCTCATCTTTCTACAAGAATTTCAGTCTTAACCCCGTTTTATTATCAGTTGGTTTCTCTTTCAAACGTCGGTCTTAACTCTTCTTAAACGATAGAGTAATATCTTCGCTGTAATTTCTTTGTTTTTATGCAAAGTAGACCTCAAGTTTAGGTCATAAAGCGGAGCTTCTATCTTTGAGTTTTGGGTTAAGATGAGAAAGATCTGAATGTCTCAAATTATCAAGTAGCCTGCGACGTTGCCAAATCTGATGAGGCGGTTAAATCTGTAGAAAGATTTATCAAGTGGATAATCGGAAAAGTTTAGCTGATTATGCTTAAAGAATTTTGGATCTGTAAGGATATCAGCTTTGGTGGTGAACGGTGATGAGAAAAACGGAGCTAGCGGCGGAAGGCTTCTGTCGGCAAGCTTTGGAGATACAGTCAAATGCGTTACACACGTCCCACACGTGTCCTATGCTTGGGCTTTTACTTTGTAAACTATTATAAGATATTTTATGTTTTAAAATATGTAAAAGTCCAGCTTGTTGGGCTCAATCCGAAAAACTACCACTTGTAATATCCTTTATGGGCTTTCCATATTAATGGAATTTGGCCGACAAAAAAAAAAACAAAAACAAAAACAAAAACAAAACCGTACCAAGGTTCGGTGATAATTTTAGAACCTTTCATTTTCTTCTTATGCCACGTGTAAAATCTTCAGTGGGCTTAAGAAAATTTTAACAGAAGGGTTGACTAAAAATAAAATTAACATTCAGAATTCAGAATATTCATTTATTTAAATAAAAAATATATGGCATAACTAATTGTGAATTTAGTAATGAATTTAGTAATCTATTCAAAAGAAGAAGCATAGTAATATTAATTAGAACTTTGAACATAAAAGGATACATATTACATTTATCTTTTCAACCAGAGCCTTTTACTTTTATTTTTTTAGCCTTTTACATTTTGTTATTTATTATTCATATATCATTTGCATTAATTGGAAATTAAAAAGGATAATGATGATTACTTAATCCCAAATTAAATCTTAGTCGTCCAACAATTTTTAAACATCCAACCTGAGAAATGGATGGTTCAGGAGTTCATTGATCCCCGACCTTGCATGAGGATCCTTGACCAAGCATTTCTTGAGAAAATCTTGTGCTGCAGCGGATAAAAAATTCGGAACATAGGGCACGAGATTACTTTTACCAATTAGATTGACGAAATCATCATAATCTAAGTGGAGATAGTCAGCCCAAACACGTCTTCCGCTTAACATCTCCAGAAACGAACAACCAAAAGACCAAATGTCAACACTGAAGTCCACAATACCATGGCTTAGTAGCTCCGGAGCCATATACCTCTTAGTACCTCTCCTATGACCCAATGCATTTTGGTACGCCACCGTCCCTTTCTCCAGTGCTAAACCAAAATCCCCAAGCTTCATTAAATACCGGTCAATCTGAAGTACTTGATCAAAAACCATGGTGAGTAAGAGATTGTCCGGTTTGATGTCACAGTGAATAATGTTTCTGTCATGAATATATTTCAGACCAGACAGAACATCTTTAGCGAACAGCTTAACAGGAACCTCCACTAACAATGAGACAACATTCTTGAGAAAATCTCCCATGCTTCCGTTAGGGCAATACTCAAGGACCAAGTTGTAATGAAAATCATTCCCTTCACGTACAATCTCCTCGCCGAAACAGCCGACCACGAAGGGAGATTGTAAACGTCTTAGGATCTTTCCTTCATCCATGAGACTCAAAGCACGTGAGATATGTGCGGTTTTGATAGCCCTCTCTTGGTTATTGCACTTCGCTAGGTGAACAGAACCGTAAGCCCCTTGCCCAAGGAACTCAGTTTTGACCCAAGGGGAAGACTCTTTTACTTCTATTAGGCTGCCTTGGTGGGTGAACATAACGGGAGGTTTCTGAACAGCTGCGTTGATTGATTCTTCCCTTATAGATTCCCTCTTTCTCTTGTTCTTGGAACAGTTTCCTCCATCAGAATTGGTCGGAGGTAGGTTTAGATCAAAAGTAGGTTTTTTGGGAAGAGGAGGGATCTTTGTGTCGCTTGGTGAATCGGAGGAGTTCTTTGTGACGACGTTCGTAGTAGGACACATGAGCTTTTTGCCAGACTGGTTCGAGCTCGAGCGATCGTTGAACTTCACGATATGACCATTAACAGAATCCATCTCGCTTTCTATGTAAAATAATCTGATATAGGGAAAGCAAAGACAAGACCAAGGCACAAGACAAAAAAATTGTATAAGATCGTGCATGTATTTTATGTATTCATTTTAAAAGAGCATAACATAAATATGTTTTGAGTATGTTGTCCGAGAAATTAAAGACTTAAAGGTTGAATATAGCATATTAATATATGGTACATAGCTGATGAAATATTTGAGATCTAAAAGTGATTATCATGAAAATTTGATATCAAAATGCAGTAAAGGATACCTCAGCTTCAATAGTTGAGGCGATCGAAGTTGTTGAATAACCAAAATGTGTGTCTCTTTCAAAATTGGTTTACTTCAACCTTTTGCACGACTTATTGTATTATTATTTTTTTTGTAATTTAAGAACTGAAATAAGAAGAGAAGCTCTGATATGGATAGGAGGTAGAAGGTATGTCAGTATTTATAATCAAATAGTTAAAGTAACAGACAAAATTATTCCAATGTCTTTGGTAACTTGTTAAAATCTATATAATATTTAGTCAATGTGTATTTTGTAATTCAGTCAACTTCCCCGCCTTATCTAATTTGTAAATCAGTTACTTTTTCGTAATTAATGTTTAAGACTTTGATAGGTTGTTTGATATTGAGTTTTGGTCTATGAGAGAGAAAAAAATTACATTTTTTCCTAAAAATTTACATGTTGCAGAATTAATTAACTTCTATCATTTCACATATTTTGCAGTTATAAATTCTTTGGTGATTGTTAGGTTATAGGCATTTCTAAGAATTCAGTCAACTTACCCGTCTTATCTAATTTGTAAATCAGTTATTTTGCGCGCGTAAATAGTGTTTAAGATTTTGGCGGGTTGTTTAATATTGAGTTCTGGTATATGAGAGAGGAAAAAAATCACATTCTTTCCTAAAAATTTACATGATGCAGAATTAATTAACTTCTATCATTTCACATATTTTGCAGTTATAAATTCTTTGGTGATTGTTAGGTTTATAGGCATTTCTAAGAATTCAGTCAACTTACCCGTCTTATCTAATTTGTAAATCAGTTATTTTGCGCGCGTAATTAGTGTTTAAGATTTTGGCGGGTTGTTTAATATTGAGTTCTGGTATATGAGAGAGGAAAAAAATCACATTCTTTCCTAAAAATTTACATGATGCATAATTAATTAACTTCTATCATTTCACATATTTTTTGCAGTTATAAATTCTTTGGTGATTGTTAGGTTTATAGGCATTTCTAAGAGCACCAAAGCTCCATTGTAAAATATACAAAACAAAATCACTTCTAATGAAATAAATTTAAAAGTAAGGAAAATGATAACTTAAAAATCATCAGCACAATCAATAATCATCTACAATTTATGAAAATTTTATAGAGGGTAAACTGTTTTAAATAAATTTTTGTCGTTGATTTTTTTTTTGTCTACGCATTGTTTTATATTATACATATATTACAAAATTATTGTTTATAACAACAAAAATATTATTTTCAGATATCTTAAAGTTGCTGATTTGCTTTAATCAGCCATAATTTTGTTAGGATAACCAAGAGTAATTTTGTCAAATCATTTTGGAATTTATCCGACAAAGCTACAAGAGACGACACATACCCGAACTTTAATATCATGCTGAAAATGTTTAAATTTGATCTCACAAAAGTAATTTAATCTTAAGATTCTGAACATGTTTAAGGATGGACTTGGAAATTAATTAAAATATTCGGATTCAAGCTTTTAACGATCCATATAATGTAGCAATTTTTACCCGATCAATTAAATTATCGAACCTGAAGGAGCAATTAATTAACACACCAAGAATACACAAATTTGCTTAATCTAACCTTAATAAGATATTTGATTTGATTTTCTAAATTTGACTAACAGTACAACTCAAACTAAATGCAAAGCAAGACAAGAGAAAATAAATATTAAAAGACTAACAAGATTTAAGATCAAACAAAGCGAGAAATAGTAAATTACTAAGCAATAATTAAAAGACGAATTCTCGGGTTAAGACAATTAACTAGAATGAAAAAGAGATGGGTTATGGAGGCTCAACCAACTTCTAACAAAGAATGATCCTTAGGCCATAAAACACTGAGCAAGACTAACACATTTTCATGACATTAATCTCTTTACTAATCAATCAATTATCAACTTCTTTCAAAGACAATTTAATGATCAATAAGCATTATAAACAAGTCTATCTAACCACTAATCACCCTAATCAACAATTTCCAAAGGTTAGGAATGAAAAGCACTTAAAAGTTTTGGTTCGGGAATTTCATCGAACACCTTCCGGGCGTGAAATTCCTAAGCTCTAAATCAACAAAATCAAGATTGATTTAGCCTTATTAGCAACCAATAAGCAAGGATCTTAAACAATCTAATCCTAAACTCCATAACCCAACTACTAAATCATCCTAATTTACCAAAACCCAAGAACTCTAAAAGACTACTCACTCATGATCATGTAACCACAAAGCAATGAAATTGATCTTTGAAGAAACATAATTAGAGAAAAGCGAGGATAAATCTAAGAGAGAACAAGATTAAATTGCATAAATGTACTTAAGATTCATACAAAAATTCCAAAATAGAAAAGAAATTGAAAACAAGCACGAAAGATAGCATAAGTCCCATATTTTTAGGTCTTGAAACACTTATATAGTAAACGAAAACGATCCGGGTCAACCCGAGATGAACCGGGTCAAACCCAAAGTCTTTGTATCCAACCGATCGATTATGAGGTCGATTGAATACTTTTTTTGGCGTCTGCTTCACTCCAACCGACTAGTCAATCGACCTGTTGGTCGATTGGAATCCTCGGTGGCTTCTATCTTCGTTCTATATGGATATACTCTCACTAAATCAGTCATAACTCATGAACCATAACTCTGATTGGCCTGAAACCACCACCGTTGGAAAGCTAATTCAATTTCCTATCACTTTAGTTCAGAGCTTCAAAGCTAAAGCACAAGTTCAAGCCTTCATATGAGTCGATCTTTGAGGGATTTCGAACTGGATCTGCATCATCAATCCTCCACTTTGCATTCAAACATGTGTCTTCTATTATCTTAACCTGAAATAACTTAAAAGACACACAAAACACACTAAAACACACTCAAAGACACTATATTACTTCTAAAAAGCAAGAACGCTCATTTAGACACTAAATGCAACAAAACACAATGAAAATACAATTGAAACATGATAAAAAGGATAATAAAACCTTTAATAAAGCTGTAAATATGATGTGTATCACCATACATCACCGTTTTAGATATGCTTCTTTTTAGATGGAATGAGAGTAGATCCTGAGAAGAGGATTTTTGTCCTATCCTTATTGCTCCTTCATCAAGTTTCAACGTTCTAAGCAAGATCCGTTTGTGAATCTACTTGGAGATTTCGTGTTCTCGTTCGTTATATATAAAAATTCAGCTCTCCAAAAGAGATTATCACCAAAAAGAAAGACTCTTAAAGTAACATATAAAATTTTTTGAAAACTGAATAGTTAACTTAAGAATTAGGGTATTGACTTGTATTATACATTGACAAGATAAAAAATAAAGTGGGATCACAAGACTTTATTCTTATTCATCTAGACACAAACTTAGGCTAGTTACTTACTCCATATAGGATGATTACAAAGTCCAGACTTGGGATGTTTTTGTGTTCATCAAACAAAACTATTACAGTCATTAGGTTTTATTGTATTTATTATGTATTTATAAGTTATATAACAGATTTTATCTCAATGAATTAAATCTTAATTTTAACCTGACGACCAAGGTGATCTACTGTGTTGGAAACAGAAAGGAAACTGATCATTTCCAAATGAAGACGACATCTTACTCTTATCTCCATCCATGTTCCATATGGAATCCAATGAGCTCTCCCATGTTGGAGAAGCCAGAGTTGAGTAACTTAAGCAATGGCTATGTTCTGAGTAGATGTCTTTAACCGGTTTGATTGTGTTCACCGGGGAGTGATCAATCTCTCTCCATATGTCATCCATTGAGTATACATCTTCAGTTTCTTGATTCATCATCATATCCCCCGTGGACCGGGATCCTCCAGTGTCGTAAAAGCTCACTTTCCCTGAAGATTTACGCGAGTGGCACGATGTATCTTGAGTATTGGTGGTGGTAGTGGTCATAGATGAAGAGCTGCAGTTGGAAAATGAGGAAGTTGGTGACATAGGACGCTTCTTTTCTTGAGCCTTCTTCCTCATATGAGTCCTCCAGTAGTTCTTGATCTCGTTATCTGTTCGTCCAGGCAATTTCCGAGCTATCTTTGACCACCTACATACATATGAAAAAGATTGTATAAAGATACAGTTACAAAAGTATGTGTTACTTTGTCAAGATGGATCAGACCTGTTTCCCCACTTTGCGTGAAGCTCAAGGACGAGGCGCTCTTCTTGAGGAGTCATCTTGCCACGTTTGAGACCAGGATGAAGGTAGTTAACCCACCTAAGCCTGCAACTCTTTCCTGTTCTGTTCAAACCTACAACCAAAACTAGCACATTAATGGAGGCTCCTTACCTATTCTTATCTTTCTCCCTCCACCTTCAAACCTGATACTTTTGCTATAAAATCCCATCTTCGATCTCCAAATAAGTGAACAAAATTTACCAGAAGTATGTCCTCCTGTTCTGTCCATGGACCTTTTCGGTTTTCCTCTTGCATCATATCTCTTTCTCTCTTATTTTTATCTTTCTCTCTTTACCTCTCTTGTTTCTAAAAAGTTCTTTCTCAGCTTGGTTCACCATAGCATCCTTTGGCCACTATATATATAGTATAAGCTAAAACTTTTTTAACACTGTGCTGTATCTATGCGATATCACACTCACATTAATATTAAAAACACTAATGATATCTCTTTTCTTACCAATCTTTAGTGTCCATATGTTTGAGGGATTATCCTATTGATAATGTAGGGTCTCTTTATTGTGATGTCACAAGGCCATTATATCAAAAAAAAATTGATCGATAGAGAGAGTGATTGGTGTTACTGATGCAACACTCCCATTATAATTTCTGCCTTTTCTTATCTTTTGTGCCGTGTGTGATAATAAGAACTCTTTCTTATATATTTTGGCAAGGCACTATCTCGAACATGGAGATCAACAGGATCAGAAAAATCTCTTTAAATTAATCCAAAATAAGAAAAAAGAATAAGGTATGTTTTTCTTCTATAGTGTCTTGAAAAAAACTAGTACTATTAATAAAAATTTCTATGGTGCTAAAAAAGATTGAAAAGAATAATATAAAAAGACCCTAGATCTTTCTTTTTTCGTGGGGGATAAGAGAGAAGTGTCTCTTGACTTTATTAAGGGTTATAATGGTAGCAACTGTTGAATCTTAGAAAAGGAAAAGAGAGAAGAAAGAAACAGACAAAAGCTTTGACAGCTTTAGAAGTCGAAATTGTTGTTATGGGGGCCTGATAAGTGAGTTTTTGTATCTAGTAGCAGTACCTGAGATTGGAATTTGATACTTTCTAAAGATTCTTGAGTCTGTGGCTTGTATTTTTTTTTTCTTTCTCTTAGGCCTGGTCAGGGTTAACATTGTCCAAACACACACTCAAGTACAACAAAATCAAGTTGTGGAACTTTTAAGTTACATGTGTATATGGCATGTGGATTCTTGTAGATGCATAAGCAAGATTAGGGCGCATGGACATAAAAAGCAGAGACTTTATGTGTTCACAAGATTCGTTAAGCATGGCTCTTACATGATATAGGGTACGTTGTATTGGCATATTCTGAACAGTTGATATATCGGGACTTTGGTTATGAACATATGGGGTTAGCAAAACATGTATTGAGAAAACAGGTGATTGATGTACTGACGTAACAAACCCATTAGTTTTTGTCTTTAAATTTTTGGTGGGTGTGTGTGGTAATAAGAACTCTTTCTTATTATTCCATATTTGCTAGTGCACCATCTCCTATGTCATAGTCAATAGTTCAAGCCAAAAGCAAAAAAGAAAGAAAGAGTATCTTTACTAAATTTTCCTGTTAATTAAGACAGAGAAATTAAAGTACTAAATAAGGGGATTAACAATTATAAAGAATTTTAAAGAGGCCATAAATAATTATAAAGAATTTTAAAGAGGCCTAAACCATTCTTGAAATTAAGCTAGAGCTACATATTTCCATTTTTTTAATATAAGATTCATAGGAATGGATAGATAGGTTCTTATATGAATTACGATATTGGAAATATTAGCATGAAGTGAGCTCCACTGGCGGTGTAGCTTCACATAGGGGAAGAAGGAGATTGACGGCGAAGAACGAGAAAGGAGAGTAGTTAGATCTAGGGACCTGATATTCTAGAGGTTTTACGAGATCGACTTTGATGTGAGAGGTAGTCTCCGATCTGGTGAAGCTAAGTCATCGTCGAAGGTCTATTATTCTACTCCCTATTGTTTTTCTCTCTCACTACTAAGCAAGAATCCTTCTCGACAAAGGAAAGCTCGGTTCCCTTCCTCCTTCTCAAAACAGCTCTACAGTGGCGGGATGGCAACGGATCTTGGATCACCATCTCCATTCGCAGATCTTATGGACGGCGGCTGCAATGTGTTTTGCATTTGCAGATTAGGGTTATAACTACCGATTTAGTTTGGTTTGTGAATCCGGTCGGTTTTGTTTCTTTTGGTTTAGTTTGGTTTGATGTAAATGGATTGGACCCTGAGGGGATTTATATGAGCCTAATCCGGAAATAGTCCTTTGGGCTTTATTTTATAAATTGAAAGTCTTTTACAAAAAAAAAAAATATTAGCTTGAAGTGTTGATTTTTTATAGGCTTTGTTGAGTTGAAGTAAAATGTGTAGCCAGCTAAAAGAGGAGGACAAAAAATCTAAGAAAATGATGAAAGGTGCGACACCTATTATGAATTTGATTTGGTTCCAAACTTTAGTATTGAACATATAGTGATCCCTTATTTTTGGGTGGTTCTTCCAAGTATATGAACATGGACAGAAGGCATTATTATTGTATTGCATATGTGCAGCATATCTCCTATGACAAGTTTGGAAATATTTCCATTTGTATCAAACCAAATTAGTCCATGGACCATGATTAGCGTGAGGTTTCAAAACTTGTTCTTTTTGTTAGAGAATAAATTCTTTACAACTTAGTATTCCGCACAACTGATTCTATCTCATAAATCTAAATCTTATAATTTTACAAAGTCCATATTGCAAAAATGATGTGGTTAATTAGATTTTGACATTAATTTATGTTTACGATTTCACATTTTAGTTTTGCAACTAATTAGTTTCTTATAATTTTATCTATCTTTATATCAATGGAAAGATTTTGTTGTCTAGTTTCCAGAACATATTTCAGATATAAAATCCGAGGTCTTTAGCCACACAATCAACATAATCAAATAATCTCAATTCATCAATGCAAAACCCATCAAAAAAACACAATCAACTAATCTCAATCTATGCTGAAACAGAGATTGAGAAAATTATAGAAGAAGATCCATAATAGCTTACCAAGATAACAAAGATGAGAGCAGAGGAGCAGAAAAATCGAATATGGAGCTCTTCTTCTCTTCTTCGCCGTTGTTCTTCTTCTTCTCTTAGCAAATTAGGTTTAGATTGATTTGTAAAACATTGAACAAAGCAAGGGTGTTTTTGTCAATTCCAAAATTGAATGCAACATTTTGGTCACTACCGCTAAAAATAACTAGCGTTTCAAAATTTTCGCCGCAGAACACTGCGTTCTGACGCGGCTCTTGTCGGTGATCAAGCGAACATCTTTACTTGCGTAGCAGCCGCAACTAGCTGCTGCGGTGAAACGAACAACCCCAACATCATATTTACAATATTTTATGTTGTATTTAAACCCCAAAAACCGTCTAAATTTTGATTAATCGGTCTAAGCACTAAATATTGGATCATCGCCTCCTTATCACCTAATACTTTCTTAATTGACCGTTAACCGTTAAAAAGATCTTATATAGATTACAAAAAATCTTAATTGGCCTTTCTTTTTTAATACTCGATTAGATTCGGGTTCTAGGGGTTTATCATTCATGCGTGTTGATTTGGAATTCCTAAATTTGTCCTTTTATCTAAAATATATTCTACACAACACACTCCACACTCTGAAAGGTACTGCATTCGAAGTGAAGCATGACTATTAGTTGGATTTGACCACTTAACATGAGGCAATTATACCAATACATTTGGAAGAACATGATTAGGAGATGATTGATAAACAAATATATTCTATTGTTAGTTGGTTTTGATCATCCTGTCAAGCTATATATATTCTTTTATGAAATAATTAGAAATCTAACGAATATTTTACTTAAGATTATAAGCTTAAACAAAACGAACGGAGAGGATTGTAAATTGATAACATATTCTTTATAGTGGAGCCATATTAAGAAATGAGATTGAGGGACGTGGACGTCACCAACACACACCACTCTTTGGCCCATCTCCACTATAAAAATATTTATATCATCATCGCCTCTTTTGCCTTGTGACTCCCACACGCTAATATAGTAATACCTATAGTTTCTTTTAATCACCGTTGCTAGTAGAAATATGTGAAACTGGTTCGGACCAGCCTTGCCAGTGATCCGGACTATGTCTGAAAAAAAATGATTTATTTGTTGAGCCGCTAGTCAAAGGATATGAAGACTCTTTCAATGGTTACATATATAGATGATGGTCTCTTGACATTTATTCAAGTTTTTAGACTTCTATTGTTGTAATCATTTCTTTCTTGATTTCAAAATGTGTATTTCTTTAAGATCTCGTCACTCCATACGTACACTGACATGGAAACATGCTTGCGTTGCATGTGTGTATTTCTCAATCTTCATGTACCGCGGGTAGTTGTAAAAGACAAAAGAGGATCGATGCGGTGGATATTCTTATGAACATGACCACACACCTTAAAGGTATAAAGTCCACTTCCACATCAATTATTACGTATGCAATGATATGTGATCCCCCATATATGGAATAATATAGCTTTACGTATGCATTAAAATGATATTTCATTGCATCAAATATTACGTACGTACGTATGCAATGATATGTATATACTAATTTCCATTTCTCGATCTATTAGCATCACAATACATGTAGAAGTAGAATTCTATATCATCAGTCATGTTGGGAGTATTTTGAATAGATTTAAGACCGCTTCAAAAACATAAGAACCATCAACCATCAATATATTGAGATGTTAATAGATTCCAAAAATGAAGTTACTATAGCTAATTTTGCTTACTTTTTTCAGTTTTAGTGGGATAACATGACTGCAAAAATGCATATTGATATGAATGGATGAAACACATATTGTCTCATGGATCGTGGTCTTACCTAGTGATCCATATCACCCCATCAAAAGGGATATGAAAAAAAAGTCTTGGTTGAGTTTTAAGATAACTTCTAACTTTAAAAAATATTTGTAATTTAAATAGACATATCCTAAAGTTACTTATAGATAACATATATATATATACTGTATTCACTAAAATTTATTTTTATAGAATTTGCAGGCAAAATTGTATAGCTTTTATAATGTTTCCTTTATATTATGTCAATTGGTACTAATTAAGATTGTAGCTGATGAATAACTTTCAACAAAAGAAAGAAAAAAAAAACATTAGATCCATAGTCTATGGAAAATGGAATCCATACCTTTAAAAACTCTTACATCTTTCGTCCAAAAGAGTAAACTCTTGTCTTAAACAAAAGAAGATGATTGCATCTTTGTGTCTTTAATTATATATTCCATTCCTCTCTTGGTAATTTGGACAAATTTGTGCAATAATCATCACTTTGCCTTGTCTTGGAACAACTCTATAGGGGCAGCTTCTATATTTTACACTAGTTAGTAATCCAAAAAAAAGTGTTCTCCATTTAAGCAATGACTAGCTATTTATGCCATCGGGTGGAGATAACGATTTCATCAGCCATAATCTACAGCCGCATATAAAATAAAAAAAGAAACCATTAAATTTTACGATAAGTCCTTTTCTTAATTACTTTAATTATCTATCTAACAAAGTAACAAGTATGCAACTTTCGTTATTTAATTACAACAAATATCCACCTTTTATATAGATCGATTTATAATACTTTTTACGATACATTATGCTATATGTTTATACTTTTTTTTATAACCATATGCTACGTATATTAGTGTTGCAAAACAAAACGAAAACAAAAATGGTAGGTGTAATTGTGACCGATGACGAGATTAGTTCACAACGGCTTGAAATGGTTCTTTAAGAATATCTGCGTTTGTGAATTGTGTGATTCATTCAATCTTCTTCACTTTTTATTAAAAATGTTAAATTCACAATTAGGAAAATAATCTATAATAACTACAATTCTTTCACAATTTTGTTATTATTAATCGTACTTTCTCTTTATTGTGTTTTAATCATAGTTGGGATCACATTTCTTTTTATATCAAACTCTAGAAAGATTTATTTTTAAAATACAAAGAAACAAGATCTTGTTCTTAACAATCTTGAGTGCTAATACATGTATTTTAATGGTCGTGCCAATGGTGTCAATGCAGCCTCATCCATATATATATTCGTTAGGCAAAAAAAAAAAAAGAAACACCATGTTTTCCTCAAAGTCAGAATCACTCCAATGTTCAACTTTATACCAAACTCAAACTCAAACTACAATTGTAATCACACAGAAATCGGGATTTAGTTATGATCTCTATCCATCCTAATAAGGCCTTCGTATTCTTTGCTAATCCATATGCATATTGAGCCTCCCAAAACCTTTTGCCATTTGCATCCACTCCAAACTCCATTATGAGCAATAGGTTTCAACCCAACTAATTTGCATCTTCATCTAGATGAGTTACACATTTTTCTTCAATCTTCTCATAATCGTTAGTAACAATAAGTTGTACAGCTATATGAAAATTTTGAAACTTTTTCTCCCTCTCTAAAACTATTCATTCACACACAATAATGTTTATCAATGCTTTTATTTTTAATATTTTAGCATAATATTCAAAGTGTTAAACTGTCAAATTCGATAACATGATATGTAATATTAATCTTAGTATATATCTACTAAACAAAAAAAAGAAGATAGAATTATTAATCTTTCACCATAACATTATTCTTCAAACATTATCTTCAAGTATTTCCTAAGAAAACTATTTATAAATTATAAAACCCTAAAACATAGAATATTCCAAATACAATATCACATGGGAATTGTCAATATGCTTTGAATTTTTTTTTGAATATTCAATTGCGGACTCCTGAAAATTTGACCCAAAAAAAATGAGAATAGTCAAAAATGTATTGAAAAATATTGAAAACGAAAGATTCCCCAAAGAATAATCATATCAATTCATATTAAACACACCAAACGTCAAACTACAACATATTTACATGTAACATTCATACTTTGTATTTCTTTACTCACCCAAAAATATATATATATAAAGAAAAAAACACCTCTATGCCATTTTGCTATATTCTAGTAATGTTTGTATCAAACACTTGCTTCGGCTTTGGCTTTGTTATGATCCACCATGAACTTTGTGTTTCTCGGAACCAAGTTAGCCCGAGCCACCTCTTCCTCATCTTTATCCTTCGTCATCCTCATCCTTAAACTCCTAAGACAAACATTAGTTGATTAATCCATCCATTAGAACACCTAATTACCAAAGTCATCTCAATTCTATAGTTTAATAAAAATGACTTAATTAGCTAAAATTTATAATGCCAAAACGTACTTCTACACATTTTACTCACAAAACAACCAAAACTATACTGGCATGTACATGTTCAACTCGAAAATGCGACTTCAAAGTAAACAAAAAAACATCGTGCCGTTTAACCTATAACAAATCGAATTGCATGTCGTTACCTATCAGTATTGTAAGAAGAAGACCTCATCAAAGCAGGAACAACTTCTTTCTTACTCTCATCAATCAAGCTACCACTAAAATACTCTTTCTCTTCCAATTTTACCCTTCCAAAACTCCTTAACTCCTTCTCTGCCCTCTCCAGCCTATAATTCCCTGTTCCACGTTCCACCGTACACCTCGTGCTCCCAGTCAATAGCGTCGGCGCACATTTCTTAAATGACATCGCACCGCACGATATCAGTTGCATCAGGACAGCAGATGGTCGTATCTTCTCAACCGTTCGATCTTCTTGACGCATCATCAACCGTCCATCTGCTTTCATCAATGATTCTAACGTTTCTGGACTTGAATCTGACGGTGGAGGTGAAGTAATCTCTTCTCTGCTCAGCTCAGTGATCTCATTCACTTCTTCCACCTCTTCTTTCGCTATATGTTTCCTCCGCCGATGATTGTCGGTCTGAGTGGAAGCATCCGTCGCGAGCTTACGACTCGATGACTCAGCTGACGATTTGTAGACTTTGTACTGATCATTAGAGCTCCAAGACTGGTTACGCCGGTGAGTGACGACGGCGGAGATGTTAGATTCTTTACCGGATTTGTCATCAAGGTCGAGAATTTGAGAGCCTTTGAGTACATATTCTTTGCCATGAACAGGAAAAATGAAATCTTCTTCAGATAAATCGTGCCATACGAACCCGTTCTTGTAAGTTCTGAGATTAGAACAGAGTATAAGTAAACAAGAAGATCGGACGGTGAGAAAGATTTACAGATCCGACGGTGGGGAAGTGAGATTTTTACCGTTTTGAGGACCAAGAGTAGAGACAAGCCATTCCTTTGCCTCGTAGCTCGTTCAATCGATTGATCACATCTGAGAAGAGGAAATAAAAATCGAAACTTTACGAAATCAAAAACAGAGCAAAAACAGAGCAAAACAGAGCAAAATATGAGATTTTTTAATACCTTTGAGATAGAGACCGTTTTGAGAAGAGAGAGGTACTTCAATGAAATGTGGGTGATCGAATTGACCATTACGGCTGAGATAATAAACCACGGAGACTCTCCGGTCGCCGGAGGGTTTTGAGTCTAACTGGTGGTGGTGATTTAATCTGCTAGGAACCATAATGCAGTTGTCTTGTGTTGTTGTTGCTCTTGAACTCATCAACGCCATTAATGGTATCTTGGAGCTTTATTGGATTTGTTGTTCTTCTCGGAGTGAAGAAGAGGAAGAGGACGAAAAGTTTGAATGTATTAAAGAGAGATATCACAACACGAGAGATTTGAGAAAGAGAGACAAAACAGCAAATAAGACTTTTTTGTTCCTCTCTTTGGTTTTTTTTAAGACCGGCACTTGTACTTCTACAAAATAATCATTCGTGCAAAGTTACTGTCTGAGATAAATGATGAGTTTTCTAAATTGGTTTGATTTTTGAATTTGATTGTATTGTGAACATAATTTGAAAGTTTCACTCAGAAAAAGTAGTAAGTTTATGGATATTGTGCCCAACATTACGTTAAAAACTATGATGAAGCATGAGATTAAACTATAGTAAATTTCAAAATATAGGAGGCAAGTATAGTCAAAGAAAAGTATTGTTATAATTGAGAGAATTCAAATATTTCTTTGAGTTTTTAATGAGTCTACTTAGAGTCACATATCCACACCTAACTTTGACTACATGTCTAACACGAGAAGCACCAGTGGAGCCTGCTTCAACGTGTTCATAGTTTCACAAACCACTTAGCAAAATGTTTTAATTGGCAAATGTAAAATTTTTGTTTTTTTCTCCTCAGCTCACGGACGATATACATATGTGGCCCCTAATAAGATTTGAGAGATTTTATGAACAAAAAAACAATCAAGCTCGATTTACACGTATCAAACAATTCATATTTCGTACCATTATAGAGCCCATTTAGAGCTTAAACCAAACCAATTGGGCTTTCATTAGAAATGTTTTGAGCCCATTAGAGCCCGTTCGTTCATACTTGTTATCTCTTTCTTTTGATTCTTCTATCTCACTCATTTGAAGAAGCATAGAAAAGAGAAGAGATGCGAGCAATTCATAGGATCGTGACGACGCGATTGTGCTCGAGCTTCAGGCCTATTCTTGTTGACTTCGTTTCTTGTTCGCCTCTTCGTCAGTGCTCTATCCCTAGGCGCCGCCTAATCTGTGCCGCGGCGGCCAAGGCCAATGGAGGAGGAAGGTCAGGTTCGATTGTGGCTCCTCCGTTGGTGAGTGAAGAAGACTTTCAGAAGATCGATGTCAATCCTCCTAAAGGAACTCGTGATTTCCCTCCTGAGGATATGCGACTCCGCAATTGGCTCTTCAACCACTTCAAAGAGGTCAGAGATGAACTCTACTTATTGGGTTTCTGAAAATGTTCTTTTGGTTCGATGAAATTTGAATACTTTGTTCACTCTGTGTTCAAAGTTTGATGCTTTTTTTATGTTGACTTTGCTTCGAAGGTCTCACGGTTATTTGGGTATGAGGAAGTGGATTTTCCAGTACTGGAGACGGAGGCATTGTTCATCAGAAAAGCAGGGGAAGAGATTAGAGACCAAGTTAGTATTTTTCTACATTTTCATTCTTTAGGATCTTTATCTGCAGTTTAGGATAGTGCAGTAACCTCTGTGTATGTAGAATTGTTAGAAGAATTTAGTTCCTTAGCTTGAACTCTTGCAATCTTTGTTATGTGTAGCTTTACTGCTTTGAAGATAGAGGAAATCGCCGTGTAGCATTGAGGCCTGAGCTTACACCTTCGTTAGCCAGGCTTGTCATACAGAAAGGGTAATAAACCTACAAGTCTAAGAATTGTATTTTCAAGTCTTCAGAATTGTCCATGGAATCTTCAAAGGACAGTTTATTTATTTTGTTTGTAAAACTCTTGTATCCAGGTATGGATGTGAGAATGTTGATTCCCATATTCTTTTTGGTCCAGAAAATCCGTTTCCCTTCCATTGAAGTGGTTTGCTGTTGGGCAGTGTTGGCGGTATGAGAGAATGACAAGAGGAAGGCGACGTGAGCATTACCAGTGGAATATGGATATTATTGGTGTGCCTGAAGTAACAGTATGTATCTCTCAAGTCACATCTTCAATCACTTGCTTGCGAGTTTCTTGCTATATTAACCTCACCTATGTTTGTTTTTTAACTCTCTAGAAGCCGTGCCGCTAATTTAGTTCTTAAACCTTTTCTATTAGGCTGAAGCAGAACTCATTTCATCTATAGTCACCTTCTTCAAGCGAATTGGAATCACTGCAGCAGATGTGGGTTTTAAGGTTTCAAGCCGCAAGGTATTTTTGCTTATGTTCTCTTTTAATATGGATTATATGATACAGAAACAAGGAATTTACTCGCAATGGCAGACATGATTTCAGATTTTTTTGTACTATTTGCAGCATGTGTATATATACTGTAGCTATCATCTCCCATAACTTCTTCCTTGTACAGGTTTTACAAGAATTGCTAACAAAATATGGTGTACCCGAAGGCCTGTTTGGAAGAGTTTGTATCATTATAGATAAGGTTAGTAGTCTAAACATCAATATACTACTGCTTTGAAACCAAGGCTACTTCACCTGCTTATATCAAAAGATTCTCCAGCTTTACGAATGTTTCTGCTATTGCTGATTTTGTCACCCTACTTTTTTATGTTGCCTGCTAAATAGATAGAAAAGATTCCAATTGATGAAATAAAAAAGGAACTTGGGTTCACGGGAATGTCAGAAGATGCTATTGAACAGTTACTTCAAGTGCTTTCTGTGAAGTCCTTGGATGATTTGGAAGGTATGTCCTCTCATTATTTCTAGTGAGACCCTTTCTCCGAAAATTGTAATTAATAAGAAACTCTTATTTGTATAAGCAGATATACTTGGTGGAGCAGGAGAAGCCATTGCAGATTTGAAACAACTCTTCTCACTTGCTGAAAAGTTTGGTTATTCAGAGTGGATACAGTTTGATGCATCTGTTGTGCGCGGTCTTGCTTATTACACTGGTATCGTTTTCGAGGTTAGATTTTATGACATAATCTTCTGCATACATGGATACTTGTCTATAGTTTGTTTTTTTAGTAACTGATAGAAATGTTTTGTGGCAGGGATTTGATCGAAAAGGGAAGCTGCGAGCTATCTGTGGTGGTGGGAGATATGACAGATTACTCTCTACTTATGGAGGGGATGACATTCCGGCTTGTGGTTTTGGTTTCGGCGATGCTGTAATTGTTGAAGTAAGTTAAACTTGCTGGTCACATTTATTAAGCTTCTATTACTTGTAGTGAGAACTTGTGTGGCTCTGAATATCTGGTTCTAATTTCCCACTTTCATATAGTTGCTCAAGGAGAAAGATTTGTTGCCAGAACTGGGACAAGAAGTGGAGAACATTGTGTGTGCTTTGGACAAAGACCTCCAAGGAGCTGCAGCCACCGTTGCAACCACTCTCAGAGACAAAGGCCAAACCGTTGATTTGGTACTGGAGAGTAAACCGCTGAAATGGGTGTTCAAGAGAGCAGCTCGGGTAAACGCAAGAAGGCTGGTTCTGGTTGGGAAGACAGAGTGGGAAGATGGTTCGGTCAGTGTGAAGGTGTTGTCTTCAGGTGAGCAGTTCCAAGTCAAACTCAATGACTTAGAGTAGTAGTATCTACGGCTTTTCATTGTCTTTACTCCTCATGATCGTCGAAATTTTCTTTATCAAGTATCTTATTCATGGATCTTGAATATTTTTTTTTTCCTTTAACTATAATAATGATCACAAAATAGTATATGTTTTGACTACATACAAAACAGTATAATGTTTTTTTTTATAAGAATCTGTTTATTCATGTCTGGTCCAGAGACTTACTAATCGTTAAGTATGAAAAGCCCACTTATAGCCCAACACGTCATCATCCGCCGCATGATCCAAAACCCTACCGGCCTACACCGCCTACTGTTCAGTTCTGCATCCTCAACCGCCGTGTAATACCAGCATCTTGGGCTTTTCTTCGTTTATTAATAAGTAAACCGGTTGGGTTCGGTTCGATTTTGATTCAAAACCGGTTTTGAATTAGAAAGCCCTAGTCTTGTTCAGTTGACGCGAGCTTCAGTGCTTTGCTTCAAACTTGTTGAGATTTTGCGTTAAGAGCGATTGAAGTGCGATTTTAGCTTCGAAGAACAGCAAAAATGGAACAAGAAAAACGGTAAGTTTTGTTCACGTTTAGAGCATTTTGAAATTCCGATACATCATAGCGGTCTTAATGTGAATTCTTTGATTTTTGTTGGTGGTGAAAAGATTGAGAAGAAATCGAGGTGATGATGAGGATATGATGAATCTGTTGCCGGAAGCTTTGATTCTGAAGATATTGTCTTTGCTTCCGACGAAACTTGTCACAGCCACGAGTGTTTTGTCTAAACAATGGCGGTCCCGTTGGAAATCGGTGCCAAATCTCGAGTTCGATACTGAGGATTACGAAAGTGAACACCTTTCATTTTCAGATATTGTTTGCAAGTCTTTCTTCTCACATGAAGCTCCGGTTTTAGAGAGCTTTCGTCTCCGATTTGGATCAGATAACGTTGCCCCTGTAGATGTTGGATTTTGGGTTGGAACAGCGTTTTCTCGGCATTTGCGTGTATTGGTGCTCGATTTCTTCACTATGCATGAGATATTCACATTTCCGAGTAGCTTGTGTACTTGTACCACACTTGAGAGTTTGAAACTCGTACTTTTCATCGTTGTTGATATACCATCACCAGGTCTTATGAAGTCTCTTAGAACTCTGCATCTTGAGTTTGTGGACTTCAAAGACGATGCATCTTTCCGTAACCTTTTATCTAGTTGCCCTAGTCTTGAACAATTGGATGTGTATCGAAGTGACAGTTGTGATGTTGGGACTTTCAATGTTGAGTCCCCTTCTTTGCAGAGGCTAACGATTCATGATACCAATGATGGACCAGAGTTTTGGGGATATTTGATAAACGCTCCTTGTTTGAAATACTTGCAAATTGAAGACTTAAGATGTCCAGGGTTTTCTCTGAATGCGCCTAAGCTGGTGGAGGCAAGTATCGCGAATGATACATCCGTAACCAGTGAGAAGCTTCTTGGATCTGTCACTTCTGTCAGACGTCTTTTATTGGATTTATCACTCTTTAAGGTAACTTTGCGGGTTTTTTTTGTATCGCCAATTGAGTTTTCGTTATCCAGTTATCACATTGTTTATGTACTCTTAATGATTGGTCTCATGGATTATGGATAGATTACATATCCTAGTGGAAGTATCTTCTACCAGCTGGTATCTCTAGAGATGTATACACGTAAAGCAGAGTGGTGGAATCTACTTAAGCGCATGCTCGAAATTTCTCCTAAACTACGATTTCTCAAGCTCACTGATGTAAGAAATTTTCATTATTAGTCAGCTAGCTGTATTTTATGGTTTAGTAATGCTGCTATACATTGACTGCCCTTGTCTCTTTGGTCGCAGAAACGTAATTTTCTTAATGATGATTTGGTCGGCTGCAAATGGAATGAGCCGAAGTATATCCCTGAATGTTTGTTGTCACAGTTAGAGACATTTGTGTGGAGAAAATTTGATTGGAGAAGAGAAGAAGAGAAAGAAGTGGCTACATACATTTTAAAGAACGCAAGACGATTGAAGCAGGCAACATTTTCAACAAAAACCATCAAATCGAAAGAGCTCAACAAGTTGACAGAGAGACGTAAGGTGCTCAAGGAATTGGATGGTGTGGTCAGGGCTTCAAATTCTTGCCACCTCGTGTTCAAATTCGATTCACCTTCTTATCTTTCAGACTCTTCTTTGCACATAGAGCCCTTTTAATACAACCGGTAAGAGGGACTTAGATCGGTGTTGGTCTTGGGTATGGTGCTAGTCGTTTGTGATCGGAGTTGAATGTTATTTTGAAATATATCTATCCTTGTGATGATAAAATCTTGGATTTTTATGAATATGATTTTGTCTCGCTTGTTCCACCAGTATATGAATAAAGATGTGGTTTGGTTTGCGGGAAATGGAATGAACCAAAGTATATTTCTGAATGTATGTTGTTCTCAATCTTAATCAAGTCGTGATGCGATAAATGAATCAAGCCGTGTCCAGATAATGAATGATGTACATGATGACCTACCATACAATGAAAGATCTGTGCATGAAGTTTTCTAAAAGCAGTTTAGAAAAAGTTTCCTCCATATAAGAAAGCTAGAAGTGAGCATGTAATTTGAACAAAGATTTTGATGAAGTGAAGATGGTATGTGTTATGAGGCTATGACATTGGTTCATAGTTTAGGTATGAAATGTGGTTTTGTGCATATGTCCAAACAAAGGGAATAAGGGATGGATTATACGAAACCTTTCGTAAACAAAGTGAATAAACGATCGCGGGCTAGTCAGATCACTGTGTGGTCTGGACACTGGGTTATCAAAAAAAAAAAAACAAAGTGAATAAAGTTTGATGCATCAATATGGAGCGAGAATGGTTTTGGTTTAAGTTTTTTTTTGGCATTATTACCAAAAAAAATATTTTATGTTTTGGTTAGTTTTTAATCAAATCACAAACAATGTTTTTTTATCTTTTTTGAAATGGAAGAAAAAAACAAATCCACTAAAATACCTTTAAAATTCACTTAAATCTTCTAAATCCAAAATATCATAAATTCCACAAAAGCCTTACAAATCATGATTTGAATATATATATATATATGATCTTACATTATAAATATTAAGCTTTATACCTACATGGTTCTCTACCAAAGTATGAATATTAGAGATAAATTTTAGTGCGATATAAACTTAGTAAAGAAGAGATATGTTTTTTGTGTTCTAATTAAGAAGAAACCGCGTAATCTTATCAAGAATGACGCATCACATCACTCACAACTCCTTTTTCTTATTTTCTTCTGTTGTTTTTGCTTCCAAACATTTCTCTCTAGTTTCCATACAACCAACCTTTTCACAATCTTATAAAATCATTCTCATCTTTCCAAGAAACACACACACCTTTGATGGAATGAGATGACGAACTGATGAATAAGTTGACGTGCATGCGAAGATTAAGTTATCAGGAATAATATCTCGTAATGTGTACGTACATTCCACTATATATTTATTTATATGTGGTTTAGAAGTTGACGTGAATGATAAATTAGGATATATGGTATAATCCAAACAAAATTAATTATGTACGAACAAAAATATCAATATGTCTTTTTGTGGGAGATATAAACATAACAAGACATATATCAAGTTGTAGGTAGTTTCCTCTTGTCTTATTTAGTCCAGATTAAATTGCGTTCTACACGCTTTTTTTGGACTTTGGCTTGAGAGTGTATGTATTGTTTGTATCACAGAATGGTCCCGACCAAAGAAATATATATACACAGCCCAAAATTATTTCAAAACTTCTTTTAAAACTCTTAACAACATATTTCAAAACTTCTTTCATATTATCATATATAAGAAGAATATGAAGTAGAGGTTTTCAAATAACATAGTTTACTTATAGCATTGTTTTATTTAAAATCTAATATGGATTTTGAAAACTGAAAAGAAATCATCAAATAAGTTATACACAAAATTTTTAACTAGTATTTATAAATTAATGAATGAATAACACATGTTTTCGATCTACAATAATAATTATAAATATATATATAATTAAATAATATTTCAATCGAGTTGGCCCAAATTACCTCATAAGATATTTAATATAATGTATTAAAAGATGAACAATTTTTTGCAAAAGAAAGAAACAAATATTACTAGTAGATAAGTTTAACGAATAAATATTGACCATCCAACGAAGAAATATTCTAGATGTATCTAGATTGTAGATTGTATATGGATAACTTAAGTAGTTAGCTAAGTAAAACTCATTTGCTCAATCCATGAAGAATATTATATATAGTACGTTGAAGAGTAAACTTATCTAGATACGAATAACATCGAAGACCCAAACAAAAACTAAAGATAAATAAAATAATAACTTTGTTCTTCTAGACTAGACTACAAATATTGTATATTGTGGTGGAACGCACGAAGAACATTCCTTTTATCTGAACTAACGTACAACGACTTTTCTGAGTCAGTCTCCTTTTAAAGCTTTTCACGCGGTGACGCAACTCGTGACGCGGTGACACTGATTTTTCTATTTTCTACACACCTCATCAGCTTACTTACGCAGCAAGCCACAAAGGCTAGTTATGTATTTTACTATAAAACCCATATCATCACACAAGTTCTATTATATAAATGAGAGAGTAGTACTGATCATCGTCGTCACACAACAAACACGTACAAAAAACTTAACCCTAGAAAGTGATCATTACTAAGACAAATCCAAAATGGTTGCGAGAAGTGAGATTGTGGAAGATACGGTGGTGGAATGTCTCATGTTGTTACCGAGAGTTGGAGAATACGGCGGAGGAGGAGGAGAGAAACGCGTTTATAGATGCAAGACTTGTCTTAAAGAGTTCTCTTCGTTCCAAGCTTTGGGAGGTCACCGTGCAAGCCACAAGAGACTCACTAACAGTGACGATTCATCACTTCTTGAATCCTTGTCGTCTCATAAGAAGACTAAAGTGACGTCTCATCCTTGTCCGATATGTGGAGTGGATTTTCCGATGGGACAAGCTCTTGGTGGTCACATGAGGAGGCATAGGAACGAGAAAGCATCAGTGAAGACATTGGTTACACGATCTTTTTTGCCAGAGGCGACTACGACGGTGACGACTTTGAAGAAGTGTAGTAGTGGGAAGAGAGTGGCGTGTTTGGATAACTTGGAGTTAGATTCGATAGAGAGTTTGGTTAATTGGAAGTTGGAGTTGAATCTTCGTATTGGTTAGGTTTTAAGTTTCATCTTGTTAGTCTTCGTTGGATCCATATATTGTACCGATCGATGTGAATATTATTTTACCATCCGAGATTATTTCTTGTACTGTTTACTAAATTTTCTTGGTTTGTATAAATGAACCTTTAATGGTTGAGCTATGAATGGTTTTAAGTAGTGCTGAAACTATAATATTAGTGTGGTCAACTAGAACATAACGAACCCATTATGGAAGAAGAAGAAGAAGAAGAAGAAACATAGACGAAACTAAGCTAAAGGAAAAAATGAATTGCCAAAACTTTGAAATTTAGTTCTTAATTCTCTCCTAGTTACTTCTTCAACTTTGTTGTTCTTCTTTAGTTATTATAATCTCACAATACTTATGTAACTATTGTGATAATTAGTAAGTTAAGATTCCTAAATGTTATCTTAAGGTTTATAGACTAATATTTAAAAACGTATATAAAATTCAAATCGGTTGTCGTCAAACATTGAATCATATGCATTAACGCATTGGGTATTCCAATAATAATGGGTCAAATATAAAATGATGAAGGTTCAAAATTAAACAACCAAAACTAGCAAATTAAATAATCAGGCAAAAGATGCTTCTAAAAGTCTATGTTTTGTAAACTTCGACAATCAAATAACATATACTGATAATTCAAATGTTTATCTTAATTACATACATAACTTTATTCAATTAATTATATGTTTTCGATCTATTTGCATATGAATACAACTTTTGCTTCTGAACGTTTCTCTCTAGGAACCACCCCTTTGTTTTTCATGCCTTTCTATTATTTATTCGTCGTCTCTACTTGTCCCTCACAAAACACGTTACTGTGAAAAAATCTTAGATTCTTGAATGAGATGATCACCTTAATAAACTATTACGTAGGTAAATTTATTTTATCAAGAAGATTATAAAGTGTTTATCTGTGCTTTAATTAGAAGATGATTGACATGAATATATATATTTCTAACTATATAAAAATGAATTTATCCAAACATGCATATGTACTCTATAGAAAAATATACTGAGTTATTTAACCAAAAAGAATCTACACATGCATGTACCTTTGACTTAATAATAAGTTTATTTTTTTTAATTTTTTTACAGTGAATATTATGGATAAGTTGCCAAGTACATAGAATTTGCACCATCCACATCGACAAGATTTATAAATTAAAAAAAAAAAAAAAATCTATAAGGCGGCTTAATTATGAATACAATCAGTAGAGAATAATGAGTTATACATTTAACCAACGATTTATTTCCATTTATTCGAGTCTCCTAAGCATGATTAATTACCATAAACACCACTTACACTAACTTACCCACCACGTCACGAAGGGGTACTTTCGTCACTTAACGTTACGTCATAAACCCTATAAATAGGTGAGTAGTGTCTCCCAAAACACGCACGAGACACACAACACCGACACTAGCAAGAAAAACAAAAACCCTAGAAGCGTCACTTAACTCTCGATGATTGCGAACAGAGAGGAGTGTATTGATCCGTCGACGGCAGTGGATAAAGCGGCGAAGTGTCTGATGTTGTTAACGAGAGTTGGCGGCGACGACGGAGTAGGAGGAGGAGGAGAGAAACGAGTTTTCCGATGCAAGACTTGTAAGAAAGAGTTCTCTTCGTTTCAAGCACTAGGAGGTCACCGTGCAAGCCATAATAAACTCGCTAACAACGGTGACTATACGACGTCGTCACTTACTGGATCACCTAAGAAGAAAACGCCGAGTAAAACGACGACGACGTCCACGACGACGATTCATGTTTGTCCGATTTGTGGGTTGAATTTTCCGATGGGACAAGCACTTGGTGGTCACATGAGGAAACATAGGAACGAGAAAGAGAAAGCTTCATCGAACGAGTTGGTTACACGATCTTTCTTGCCTGAGAACGCAACGTTTACTACGATGACGACTTTGAACAAATCGAGTAGTGGGAAGAGAGTTGCGTGTTTGGATTTGCACGACTTAGCTGCTGTGGAGACTGGTGTCAATACTGATTTGGAGTTGGGAAGAAGCATGTATTGACACTTTCGTATTCGTTAGCTTTTTAGTTTTCACAGATTTAACAAACATTTTTGCATAGGGCTTTCACATGGATTTGTTACCTTACAGTCAAAATTTATTTGTATACAGTTTGATATTTTACTATCACAAGATTTTTTTTCTTGTTTTCTATTTTTTGTTTTTTTAATTTATCGTTCTATGAATGCTTTAACTGAAGGCAAGAGAAACATAAGAACAGAGAGGATAATATAAGAGAGAAGTGATATGAGTGATGACCAACATAAACAATGCAGTCACCTGTCATAAAAGAAAAGATAAGCAAGAGAAAAGAAAAATACAAGTTTCGATTAAACCTTCGTACAAATAAGAAGGACAATTTAGAACGAATCAGGAATGTTGGAATAAAACAAAAATTACAGAAGCACCCAACGATATCTTAGTTTGTTTTTTCACTTCACCCCAAACTTTTTTTTTTCGACTTAATACTTCACTTTAAGGCTTTTTTGAACTTCTAAGTTCCACAGCATGCAGACTTCTGTGTGGCTTGTCCGGTTCCAGCAGCCTGGTCTGTTTGGCTTATCTTGATAGTTGCAGGCTGCAATTGACGACAGACACATGAAAACAATGCGTTTTCAGACCGTTGAATGAGCAAAAACGCAAAGATGGGAAAAGGGAAGAGAAAGAGATGTAACAAACCTCTGCCCTGGAGTCGGTGTCTGAAAGCCTCTGCTTAATGTCCCTCCCTATTGAGAAGAAAACCTCTTCCACGTTTAGGTTTGTCTTGGCACTCTGTGACAGCACATATATAGTTAGATAAGTAAGCAATGTGTACTCTAGTTATCTAGTTTCGATGATTAAGAGCATTGTTAGACTTACTGTTTCGAAGAACTTGATTCCATACTCATCAGCAAGAGCCTGACCCTTTGCTGTAGGTACAGCCTGAATAGTGTGACAGGACATAGAAGCTATTAATGTAACGATCAGTCGTGAATAATGTACAGGGATAAAGGGCGTGTGATTCATACCCTCTTGCTTTCATCCATGTCAGCCTTGTTCCCTACCAGGATCTTGTTAACATTATCTGAAGCGTGCTGTTCGATATTACGAATCCAGTTCCTAATGTCTGCAATTACGTTAAGAATCTGGTGTGTAAAAGATATGATCACTTCGGTTAAGGAGTTTTATAGAAACCAGTAAGGGAAAGACTTGATGGAAGGAGTTTTACTGTTGAAGGACGACTCATCAGTGACATCATATACCAGCAAAATTCCCATTGCCCCACGGTAATAAGCTGTAAAAAAATGCAAAAGGAAAAGAATCTTCAAACTGATGTTGAAACAAAGGCAAGGATCAAAAATAAAGTGCCGATTTAGGCCAACAACATCATCTAGACAACACCTAGGAAAATAATCAGCAAAAGAAAGCAAATCAGTAAAGTGACAATGCACAAATACATCCCCTTTACCAATAAGTGGCTATCTAAGACTTCTTATAGGTGTTTGTCGAAAATCTCATCTCGACAACCTTTCTAACTTGACTTATATTGCAATGGTGAATGCTAAGTAAAGTGACCAGCAAGCAGACGTATATGAAAAGATGAACTATAAAGTGCTGAAATAGCACAGCAACACCAATACCTAGCAAAGTAATAAGCCCAACAAAGCAAATCAGTCAAGTGACATTACACAAATACAGTCCCTTTACAAGAGATAATAGCACCTGTAAGAGGCTATTCAGCATTTTGTTAAGTGTTCACCTCCTTCAATTAATACTGGGATGGTTAATGCTCTAAGTACTGATCCAGCAAGCAAAATTACATGAACAGATGAAAACTCACCAGTGGTGATAGTCCGAAACCGTTCTTGACCAGCTGTGTCCCAAATCTGAAGCTTGATACGTTTGCCATCAAGCTCAATCGTTCTTATCTTAAAGTCAATGCTACATCAAGGCCAAAAAAAATAAAAGAGAAACAAGACTCTGTAAAACGTCAAGGAACAAAATCAAAACACACATCACTGAATTCAATTTATCTTCATAACCGAGAGAACACAAACCCAATGGTGGTAATGAAGCTAGTGGTGAAAGATCCATCAGAGAAACGTAGAAGAAGACAACTCTTACCAACACCTGCAAAAACAAACACTGAGGTTACAGAGATCTCTAAATACAAACACCGATCAAAAAAAGAAAAATCAAATCTGTATCACTAAAGTCCATACAACGATCTTATCACAAGCAAAAATAACAAAAACATCACAGTGAATAGATCGATTCAACAAAACACGAATAGATTCAGAAAATTTCAACGGATCCATGATCGAAGAGGTTTTTCAGATCAACGTACGTACCGCTATCTCCAATCAGAAGAAGCTTAATGAGATAATCGTAATCGGCTCTGGCTCTAGCAGGTGGAGCAGCCATTGAATCTAAAGGAAACAAAAACTTCAAAGATCAAAATCCGTAAATCTTAGTTTCATCGAAATCGAATTAGATCAAAACAAAAGAGGAAAAAAAAATGAATCGGCTGCGCGAAGAAGAAGATCATGTACCGGAGCAAGTGAGAGAGAGAGAAGAAGGAACCGATGTAATCGGAGAGGAGCGAAGAGCGAAGGTTATGGCGGACGGCTAAAATGCGCCAGTCCCGATTTAGCTTTTTAGATTTTTCCCGGCTTCTTCTATTTTACTTCGTCGTCGTCTTCTTCTTCTTCTTCTTCTGCTTCGCGTGCACGTTAGCAATTGGAACCGAAGGAGTGCGCACAAAAAAACAAAGAGAGAAGAGATTCTTTTGGAGAGGGCTTGTAGAAATGCACGAAGCCTTATGGGCCTTTTGTTAATTACTTTACAATCCAAATCAGTTATTATTAATTATATAATTTATATTAAACCAAAATTCATTTTTAAAGCTTTAAATCCTGCTTATGGGTCACATAATCCTATGCAGTATCATTAAAAACTGCATTTATTTTTGGTTAAGCATCAAAACCTACATTAAACCAAACTGGATAAAGAATTTAAAAAAAAAAACAGAAAAATTGTAAATTTGAAATTAACTATGTAAACTCAAGTATGAAAAATGCTAATTTTGATCAATATTTGTGCTAATATGATAATCCTCATAACATTGTAAATATGGCTGCCTATATAGCACACGTACGAGTAGACAAAGAAAACATGACTTACCAAAACAATACCAAATGCAAGCACATCACATGCAGAAACAACAAGTACTCCACCACTTCGTCTTCGTCCACGGCTCATGTCATGGAGCATGGTGCTGGCATTGGAACTTCTCTCACTATGGAAAGGTATCCGACTAAAGTCTCTGTTGGAATCTTGCTCTCTGCTTATATCCCGCACCATGATTCTCCTCCGGCGGGGTTTGACTCATGAGGTTGCCGGAAGAAACAATATCTTTCTCTTGGCTTGTTTGAGAGCATACCTATGAACTTATCTTCTAACTGCACATGTCAAATTCTGTTTGTATGCAGTATTGTTCGCTATGGATTGTGAGTTTACATTCGAGGAAGGACCTGAACACCCTCCAAGTTCAGTTTTGTTTGGTACTGATTTCTTGAAGAAGGCATACAGTAATTGCTAGTCAGAGGTGAGTCAACAGTTAATATTATCTTTGTCTAACATCCGGTGGTCACAGTTGGTAATATTGATTGCAGGATCTAGAATTAGCCATGGCGTTGGTGATACCGAGCTGGTTATACACTAAGGAAATGGGAGGTGAAGATGATTAAAACTTGAGACTTGTTTCGGTTTCAGCAAGAGACTTTGTGCTCTCTTTGTTTTGCTTTGAATAATGAGTGTTTGATCCTCAATGCAGAGATTTTAAGGGTATCTAGATGAATTAGGAATTTAATTTAAATCAAAATATTGATTAAAAGTTAAGATATAGTATCTTATATAAGATACAAAACTATGTTTAAAGGCGATGACGTGGCTATTTCTTAGTGGTTGTTGAAATAAACATATAAGAAAAAAAAAATCGGCTCTTATTTGGGATAAGGAAAAAATGAGAAATATTATGCGAGCTTGTATAATACTTCACAATATGATTGTAGAAGACGAATGAGATACGTATACACAGTTTGATGTCAACGAATTCGTACATGCAGATATTCCGGAAATACAAGAGTGAATTTCACCTATTCTACATATATGCCTTCAAATCTCGTCGATATGATGGCCACTATAACTCGAATTCGTGATCGAGCTATGCATAAACAATTGAAGAACGATTTGGTCGAGCACAGATGGACAAAATATTCCACAAATCACGTTTCAATTAATTGTGCTTTATGTTATTTATGCAATAAATTGTATCTCATATATGTTTTAAATTTTTTAATTTTCAAAAAAAAATAAGTTTTAAATAATTAAAATTGTTAATTTTCTTTAATAAATATTTTTTATTCTAAGATACACAACTTAAGAACCTACCAATAATCTTACATAAAAACACAAAACAAAAATACAAATCTTAAACTCTACACTTTTAAAATTGAATTCTAAACTAATTCTAAGATACAAACATAAAATCCTACCATTAAGGATGCTCTAACAATGGTGATTTTTGGGGGTCTTTAAGTTGGATCTCAAAAGAAAAAAAAAATATGGATTAATTGATTTTGAGCCTAATTTTAGACACTTATTTGTTAAAAGTGTCTTATTTAATACACTTTTGTTGGGTTTAGACACTCAGTTGTTTTAAAACATTAAATTAATTATTTTAGACATGCACTAAAAGTGTCATCATTGAACATGTCCTTAGAGCATCTCTAAAGGTGTACTCTTGTCAAGGGTTTTTAAACTTTTTTTTTAAAAAATTAATGATTAAATAAAATTTGTGCAGTTCCTATGATTTTTTTTTTTGTTTTTCACCTACAATAGGGAACCTCATTAAAAGGAAGAAAACCAGATAAAAAAAAGAGAGAGACAAAAACGCTTCCGACAAAAAATTTCACAACCAATCAACATATCTCACGTCATCTAGTGAACCTCCCCTAAAACACCTTATTTAACAACCGATTAATAGCAAATTCTTTTGTTCTAATTTAATTTTAATCAGTTTAAACCTATAAACTCCACTAACAATCCCCCTTTGGAAATGATCTTAATACCAAACATCTTAAGCAAAATATAGAAGATGACAAAAACTCTACAAACTAACAATATTTTTTAACCAGCTAGAGTGTGGGTCCCATTGTATGCTTTGAAGTTTTCCGCGTCATATCACTTCCGCTGCAAGTCTCAACGTTAAGCTCTTCTCAATTTCAAATCGCAATCGCCAGAGAGAGAGAGAGCTTAAATAGTTTTGGTGATCTTTCTTTCCTTCGCTGAATCAACCTCATCTCCTCCATCTGTCATCATATACTTCCGACGAGAAGTCAGGTAATGTCGTATTGTCATCTCTGTTCCGTTCGGTTTCGTACGTCTCTGCTCTTGTGTCAAATGCATGAGTATCAGAGAGAGAGCTTATGTATTTTCGGTGATCTCAGGTTACTGTTGCTTCTATCTTTCGCCTTCTCAATCTCATCCCCTCTGTCATCATAAAATTCCGACCACAAGTCAGGTACCATTTCGTACGTCTCTGTTACGAAAAGTTCCATTTGAATTTAATTTTGTATGTGTGAGTATCAGAAGGAGAGCTTAGAGCATCTCCATCGGCAGTTTGAGAGAGCGTATGTCAAAAAAAAAACTAAAAATAATAATAAAGCATGAGTGAGAAGCAGAAACGTCTCTCGTTTGAGAATCGTCTGAGGAGAGTTTCTGCCACATGTCTTTACTAGATTGGTTATAATACTTTTTTATCTTTTAAAAATTTAATTAAATAAATTATTTAACACAAATAATTATAATATTATTTTTGAGAAACTGTGAGGGTATTACACCGTTAAAGATGCTCTTATGTATTTTTAGTGATTCTCAGATTAGTGTTGCTTCTATCTTTCGCCGTCTCAATTTCATCTTCTCCGTCATCATAAATTTCCAGCGATATATACCGTTCCGTACGTCCGTTAGGAAAACGGTTCGCTTTGATTTTGACTTCATTTTTCTGTGTGTATAAAATAAAGCTTTGATTTTGACTTCGTTATTTTCAGAATTGAGGTTACTGCTTAGTTTTGAATCCTGCTGCAAAAGGTTGTTGCTACGAAACATAAATTATTTTTTCAATTATGTAAAACATAGTCCGTTAGACATAAATAATTCCAGAATCATTCTATATCATTAAGGTGTTGTGTCAGTGTTTTATGTTAGTTGGTGGATGTTTGCGTAATTTAACAATCATTCGTGTAATTTTTAAACATTAGATTAGTTTTCATAACTTAGTAGTTATTAATTGTTTATTTTCCCATTAATCAATACAAATATTTATTTACCTACATTGAGAATATTTTCTCTAATGTGTACAAAATTTCTACTATCCAATTTTCAAAAATTTATATCATGATAGATGCTAAGAGTCAAAAAGACAAGAATTATTTTAAATTACAACTGAATTACCAAATTAAACTACTTAGTATTACTTTATTTTAATAAATAAATATAGTACTAGAAAATTTAAAGATTTAGTTAAAATATATACTCAATTACCCATAATGTACTTTTTTTTCTTTTCGAATTATATTCTATCATGCATTCATTTAGTGAATATCATGTATATTGTAAATGTAGCATATCGACGCAGCAAGTCATGTGGTTAAAAAAAAATGCAATATCCAATAAGTATCACAATAGAATACTCCCAAAATTAACGTTTGTGAAAATCAATTCTTAAACCCATCGATTGCTACAATGAGATTAGGAGTTTGCTAAGAATGATGCATTGAAGAGTGTTAATGGGAAGACATCTTCCATTTTGACACTAGCATGTAGAATTCCATGTTGAATCATTTGAAATTAGTCTTCTTCTTTTTTTACTTTTGGTATAGTTTTTTTTTTGGGTATAGTTAGATAATGATACCTACAATTTTGCCGAAAACTTAGTGTGAATAAAAATATAATATCCCAAAATTCAATATTTAATCCGATTTCCTTTTGATTTATGATTATTCCAAAAAGATTGAATTTTAATGTCCAAAGTTATTCTCTAATTTTTGAAATATTTGTTAGATGATACATCATCTTCAGTTTTGAGAATGAAAATTGAGCTATGTTCGAACCACGATAAAATGTAACGACCACCATGACAAGGACGACTCTTCCAAGTTCAACTCATGCTTCTCCTTACCTTGCCATTGAAATCTCATAAATACTGTAAAACTTATTTTTCTTTTTCAGATTATTATTAGTGTAGTCAAAATTAAGTCCATTTTATTTTAGGCCCATTTTTACTAACTACAGTAATTGAACCTCTCCTTTAACACTTCAATAAGTGTTTGGCTTTTGCTGTTTAATGTACTAATCAGTTCTTGGAGATTTTCTCAAGATTTGAATTTTGTACTGTTACCTAGAAACTCCTTTCTTGGCATAATATCGTCCTAAACACCACTACGCAGGACACTTTGTAGAAATGCTGATTAGGGTCTGAAGCTATATTGATGTAGGTCCTGTAATTTGTGATGATAACGTTATTGAACTTCTTGACAGATGTAGTGAAGTTACATTTGGTTCTTTTGTTTGTTTCTTTGATTTCAGATTGTAGATGGTAGACTAATATTTGTTGAAATTGCCAAGAACGCAGAGGACGTGCCAACGGGTATTAACAGTACGAAAGCCGATCACCACGAGTAATTTGGGTATGAGGACTCACTAGTATCATGTACACTTGTTTACAGAATTGATCTAAGATCATCAGTTCCATGTTTTACATCACTAATGAACACAGATGCAATTTGTTTGTGATGGTGGTTTGATTGTTAGGGTGGCTTTGGCACATACGATTTGGACATGTAGCCGCAACAGTGAGTATGTCAAAACTCATAAGTCGCAGTGTCCTTCACACACATCATCAAAAGCAGTGAAACCAGCCTTTAAGCCTCCTGTCATAGGCCAGACATTCCCTCTGTTTACCTCTCCCTCTTACCCATTATTGGAGGCTGTGCTCTGCTATCACCGAGCTCAACTTCTATATGATTGGTAATCAAAAACATCTTGTTGTTGCTTCGGATTTAGAAAGCTGGTGTAATTCGATGATTAAGTGTTTTGAGTCAGTGCAACCAACACATCTATCAAAAGTTTGTGGTCTAGTTATCATTTTTATCTTTTAAACGTTTGTTCATAATCATTATAATATCACTAATGAGAAGTGTTTTCATTAGCTAATGTTTTAGTTCAAAAATTCAAAATCCTCACACATGCAGTAGAATCGTTTATTTTTATTATCCCTAGATCCAAATGAAGGTAAATAAAACAAGAATGGAAGAACACGTCTCCAAAACTGAGTAAATGACACATTTAACGATAAGTCAAGAAAGATGATTTTGCTTTCATAAATCGCATAAGTCTAACGAATTCCAAAAACTGAAATAAATTTGTCTACACATCTTCTGCAAACTTTTTAAGCATCTGAGTAAAACCACATACAAAACTACTACTTTAACAAGTAAAGTCAATCCAATTACTACTCCCTCCACATAAGTAGAATCAAAATATAGCCCGATAAAGATTGTTGTCGAGAAGCTGCTTCAGTAAAAGAAACCAAGAACCTTGCCACCAACATTCTTTCTCCTTGCTTCTTCGTGATCCATGATTCCCGCCGAGGTCGTCAGAACAATGTAACCAAACTGCGCATAGAGAGATGTGTTCAATGAAGTTGTACAATTGAAAGATAAAGTAAGATTATGTTCTACTAGTAATGGCACTTACACCCTAACAGGAACAACAAAGTGATAATGTTCTAGTAATAATGACATTTAACACACGATTACACCCTAACAGGACCAGCAAATCGAGGCAACAGATCGATATGAGAATGTGCATTAAGTCGTTCATTAACACCAAGAGTACAGAGTAAAAGGCTTATAATCTCTAGACTATAATGACATTGAAGATAAAGTAAGATTATGTTCTACTAGTAATGACACTTACACCCTAAAAGGAATAACAAAGCGATTATGTTCTACTAGTAATCTTAACCCAAGACACCCTAACAGGAACAACTTCAGTAATAATGTTCTACTAATAATGACACTTAACACCGGATTACACCAGGACCAGCAAAGTAAGCAAGAAGATCGATATGTGCATTAAGTTTCTAAATCACAATTGATTGGCACCAAGAATACAGTGTAAAAGGCTTGTAGTGTCTAGACTAACCTGTCTGGAAGGAAGTAGACGAGCAGTCCAACCTTCAATCTCCTTGACACCGACATCAAAACGAGGACTGATGACTCCACACTTGTTCAGCCTTCCATTAAGCTCCACAACAATCTTACCAGACCTGTGGTCATCCACATACTCAAATTCGCCAATGTAACCTATAAAATCCAAGAACAGAACACAAAGCAATCATCATTACACTTGGAAACAGTAATACAATGAAAGCAAAGTAACACAGAGTCAAAGCTAGCTCTGCAAAATCACCATACCGTGCTTTTGCATGACAATAAGGAACTTGATGATAACTTTAGACGAAGGCCTGATCATGACCTGCCTTTTTCCCCTCTTCTCAGCATTGTACATACTCTTAAGAGCATCATTGAGCACACTGATTCTCACCATTCTTCAAAAAATTCAAAAATCTGCAAAAACCATACACCAACAAAATCTTAAGCTTATTCACATTCGCATTGAAACATCTACAGAGGCAATGAATTCGATTCCCACACACTATGGCTCTGAAAATGACACTAAACGAAAGCTTAAAACCTAGATTCTCTGGAGAAACATCAAATTTGGGAAATAAACTAAAGGCATGTTCCAAGATACGATAAATCAGTTCATAGAAGTTGAGAAGAGATGGAGATTCCGACGATTACTAACCTGAAACCTAAGTAGCAGCCGCTCCGACGTCTCTCGCCTTGACCTTGAAGAACAGATTAAACAGAGAAGACGGAACCAAAAATTAGGGTTTTCGCTTTTATCGCTTTCACGGGTTAGATTCATGTTTCATTAGGCCCATTATGCGTAATTAGGCCCATTGTTGCTCGTTATATATTAGAGAGAGTATGCTTAATTGCTTATGTTTAGTTGGTGAATGTTTGTATAATTTAACAATTGTTCGTTTAAATTTCTAAAACATTAAACTAGTTTGCATGTGTCATAATTCATTAGCTATTATTTTTCCATTAATCAATACAAAATATTTATTTGCCTATAATGAGAATATTATCTGATGTGTACAAAATTTCTACCGTCAAGTGTCAAAAATTTGATATCATGATAGGCTACATATTAAAAAAGACAAGAGTTAATTAAAATTTAATTTGAACTACCATATTAAACTACCTCGACCAAAAAAAGAAATTATTAAAATACTAGAAAAATTAAAGAGTTACTTATAAAGCATTTTTAAGTTATGGTATTTTTGTAAAAGTTAAAATTTTGTGCTGTTTTTGGAAAAATAAAATAAAAATTATGATAATTTTTGGAATAAAAACTAAAATTCTGGTATTCAAATGTAATTCTCTTAAATAATCTTATAATAAACAACAAGCATGTTTATCAAATTGGAAGCTAAAATCAGTACAATATCAACATCTTCCAACTTAAATGATCAACAACAAGCATGTTTATCAACTCTCCATCGCAAATGCCAATAAATAAATTCGGGTAGTTTGCCTATTATTAGAAAATTAATTGAACATGTCGAAATAATATTCATCGCAAAAAGTAATGATAAAGAAGATAGGTGATGGTATAAATTGAAGTTATGAAAGTGAAAAATCAGATGACTGGAATAAGATTTCTCTAGACTGCAATTTGTTGGGAACTGACAATCTTGTATCACTATGTTAAATGATTTGTATTACTTTATTTTTTTTTATCTCTTGGTATAGTTAGATAATGATCCTTAAAATTTTGTGGAAAACTTACTTTGAATACCCAATAATATAACATTGCTAAGATTTGATATATTACATTTCTTGTATTATGGTGATAATAAATATATATGTTTGAAAATTTAGATAAAAACTTACAAAAATCTTAACAATGTACTAGTATTTTAAACCAAGTTTAATACCTTTTCAACTACATATCCTTTTTCATATTCGTAAATAACAACCAAATTTTTGTTATTAAATTCGTTTTTTTTTATATTATTAATCCAAAGTCCAAACAATTTGAATTTTCCTATCTAACGTTATTCTATGCTTTTTAAATTATTTCTTAACAAACATCATTTTAAGTTTAAAGAATGAATATCAACCACATAGTAAAATCATGTTTAACAAAAATCATTTTAAGTTATCGAAACACCATAACCTCCTCCATTACATGACCGACGACTCTTCTAAGTTCTAACTCATGCTTCTCCTTGACCTTGCCATTAAAATCTCATAGAACAAAAGTTAAAACATTTTTATTTTCTTATCTTTCTTTTTTTTTTAATTGTATTATTAGTGGGGTATAAATAAAGCCCATTTTATTCTAGGCCCATGAAAAGATAGCTTTCTCAAAGATTTGAAACTCGTAACTAATTTTTTAATGGCCCAATTTAAAAGGTAAAATTCTCTTAGCCGTTCACTACAACGACGGACTTGTTCTAATCTAACGGTGGGTATGATCTTCCACGTCATCAATCCTCGTGAAACAAGAACTAACCAATGAGTATCCAACTCATAGTCGTATATATACATCAGCTACGAAATCGTTTTAACAACACACACAATTCTTGATCTCACGAATCAATCTTCTCCTAAACCTTTCTATACTCTAATACCTTTTCATACTCCTGTGAAGAATGGCTCCAAAGGCAGAGAAGAAGCCGGCAGAGAAGAAACCAGTGGAAGAGAAATCAAAAGCCGAGAAAGCTCCAGCGGAGAAGAAACCAAAAGCCGGCAAGAAGCTCCCTAAAGAAGCCGGAGCAGGCGGCGACAAGAAGAAGAAGATGAAGAAGAAGAGCGTCGAGACGTACAAGATCTACATCTTCAAGGTTCTGAAACAAGTCCATCCCGATATCGGAATCTCAAGCAAAGCTATGGGGATTATGAACAGCTTCATCAACGATATCTTTGAGAAGCTTGCCTCTGAATCATCCAAGCTCGCTAGGTATAATAAGAAGCCTACGATTACTTCTCGGGAGATTCAGACTGCTGTGAGACTTGTTCTTCCCGGTGAGCTCGCTAAACACGCTGTTTCTGAAGGAACCAAGGCGGTGACTAAATTCACCAGTTCTTGAATTTGTGGGATCTTTTGTTGGAATCGATGATTTGGGATTTACGGTGTTTGTTAAAATTAGGGTTTTTTTTTAGAATTTGACTATTAGAAGTTCTGTAATTTTGATTTCTGTTTTGTTATCTTTTGGGTGTAATCGAATCATATCCGATGTTTCTCTTAAATCAATTAAAGTTTAATGTTCTAATAAAAATCATATCTTTGTCACTGCAAATGTATCGGTCTCGCTTCAATTAAACGTCGTTGTGTAGATCGGAATCTTAGTGTTTCTCTCCAAAACGTCGTCGTTTCGTTCGAGTGTTTAACCTAGAAATAGATTTCGTTCTTTATTAAAGGGTTTCTTTCGAAACAGTTTGGGGTTGTTGAAAGATGGCTAAGAGAGTCTCAGCTCAGCTCTTCGTAAGCAGTATGTTATTGTTTTATCTCTCTTTTTAGATTCTTTCTATGTATGCTTGGTTTGGTTTGATCAGATTTATATCTTGTGCAGGGTTATCAGCTTACGCTACAGATCAATCTCTGAGGCAATTGTTCTCTCAGTTTGGTCAAATTAAAGAAGGTGCAGACACGAAACTGAATATGTTTGATGAAGCTGTATTTTTGTTCCTTAGTTAAATTTGGTGATGTGGGTTTGTTTCAGCTCGGCTTATTAGGGACTCAAAAACACAGAGACCAAAAGGGTTCGGCTTTATCACCTACGAATCTGAAGATGATGCTCGAAAGGCAATGAAAAGCTTAGATGGGAAGGTTAGAAAATCCAATTGAAACATCTTTCATTAACACTTGAATAGGTTTGACTTTGTACTGTAATGAGTTTACTTATCGAAAACTCGTCTCTTGGCACAATATTGTCCTTAACCTCAACACCACTAGTCAGGACACTTGTGTGATCCATTGTATTAGAATCTACTGTAGAAATGCTGATTAGAGTCTGAAGATATATTGAAGTTGGTCTGTGTTCATTGTGATGATAACGTTATTGAACTTCTTGACAGATGTACTGAAGTTACATTTTGGTTCTTTTGTGTGTATCTTTGGTTTCAGATTGTAGATGGTAGACTAATATTTGTCGAAGTTGCCAAGAATGCAGAGGATGTGACAATGAATATTAACAGTTCGAAAGCCGATGACTGATTGTAATTTGGGTATAGAGAGACTCACTACTATAATCATGTAGACTTGTTTACAGAATTGATCTGAGATCATCAGTTCCATGTTTTACAACACTAATAATGGATAGAAGCAATTTGTAATGAGTCTTCACTATATGTTTGCTCTTGAGCTGATCTGGGCTTAATTTGTTTAAATACAGTATAAATATCGGGCCTAATTTAGGTAATGGGCTTCAATTTAATAAGCGGTGAGGCTAGTGTAACATGCCGAAGAGCCAATATATGATTCACGTAAGTGTGGAAGAGCCAACTGAGAGATGCCGAAGAGCCAATATGATTCACGTACCTCTCGTTCTTTTTATTTGAATTTTGCAAGAATCTCATTTATTGTAATTTGGCTATTAAATAAATATATATACTCTTTTTTTTTTGTTCACCAAAATATATATACTCTATGCCAAGAAAATACGATATACAATTTTGTTTTGGCATATGATTTTATTTATTTTTTATATGGAAAATTTTCACATTTCTTTTACATTATGCACAAAAGACCCATACCAAATGTGTGTATAAGTGTTCAAAGATTTTTTTGGCTCTAAAAGTCTTAGCTAATAGCTATCAGCATTCATATATGGGACTAGTATTTGAATTATAATAGAGAAGTACTAATTAAACATTTAATTTGTATTGGAAGTTTTGTAGATCTATTAGTAAGATAGGAAACCAACTAAGAGTATTCAAAACTTTTGAAAATGATAAAGTACCAATATGGTTTAGACTTGTAGATAAAATTATGAAGAGTCTCCACTCTCCATCTTCTTAAAACTATATAGGAGAAGAATCATTTTTGTAAACGGTTTAAAGAACCCAAAACTTTTGTCGAACTATATTGCAGTGGTTTGTTTATTGTTTGTGATATTTTTCTCTAATTTTTGGATTATTTTTTATATATACAATTTTAACCATCTAATCTTAAATCGGTATTTAAATTAAAGATTAACTTATTTAAACTAAAGATTAACTTAATAATTTTTATTTATTTCTTCTGAATTAACCAAAATTTATCGAAATTCAAGTTTGTGGACCATCAAATTACTTATTGATTCAATGGTATAATGAGATTTCAAAATTTTAATTCGGAATATCACTTATATTTCTATTTTTATATTTAAAAACTTACATGTATATATTTTTGGTCAATGTTTTAATTAATTTACAAAAAAAAATCAATGATATAATTAAAACACCTACCAAAAAGACTGGGTTGAATAAAATGAATCTAATTATAGTATTGAATTAAAAAAACAATATTCAATAATAATATAATTAATATTGGTTGGACTTCCGAATAAATTGAGGAAGAAAGAGAGAAAAAGAAATTGACAAAGAAAAAAAGGTGACCGTCTTCTTCTCTCTGTCGATTCTCTTAGCCGCCTGAAGAAAAATATCTTCTTCTTCTTCTTCTAAGCACGACTTCGCTCTGATACTAGTGTGTTTCCAGCCATGGTGAGCTCAATTTCTACTTATTTTGTTTATACCTTCAATCCCTCGATCTGTACTGCGTCCGCCTCTCTCTCGATTTGTGTTTGGTTCTCGCTTGCTAAATCTTCTGGTTCCGATTGCTTTTGCTCATTTTTGTTGTTTCGTTAGATCTGTTAATGGACTTTTGGTTTCGTAGATCTCTGAGATTTGGTGTTTTTGTTGATCGTTGTGTGACTGATCTAGGATCAAAACTGTGTGAGAGAGCTTCTCTTTGATAGCGAGAATTCGAAATCAGTTTGATTTAGGGCTTATTCTTGTTGAACATTTATCAATTTTGGTGTTGTTGTGGTTGTTTGATCCATTTCTCCTCGATCACTCACTCTCACTCCATTTGATCTTTAGTTTTTTTTGTGTTGCTTGATGTTGATCTTTAATCACTTCTTTCTTGAACTGTTGGATGTTGTTTCCACTATTGATTCATGAGTTTCATCTCACATTATCTGTCTTTTTCATGTTGAGGTTTGAGAATGTGACCTTAATTGCTATCACGAGTTTATCAATTCAAGTTTTTGAGACTGTTGATTATGTAGTAGTGTGAAAAGATGTTCTGATCTTCATGGTTATATGGGTTTAAAACAGGCTAACGCGGCATCGGGAATGGCTGTGCATGATGATTGCAAGCTGAGATTTCTGGAACTGAAGGCGAAAAGGTCACACCGTTTCATTGTTTACAAGATCGAAGAGAAGCAGAAGCAAGTTGTCGTTGAGAAAGTCGGTGAGCCTGTCCAAACCTATGATGAGTTTGCAGCTTGTCTTCCAGCTAATGAATGCCGTTACGCCATTTACGATTTCGACTTTGTCACTGCTGAGAACTGCCAGAAGAGCAAGATCTTCTTCATCACTTGGTAGCTATTCAATTCTTGTGTCTTCCTTTCTCATTATCTCTCTCTCTAATGGTTTTCATCTTATATATGTACTGTTGTGTTTTTGCAAAGGTGCCCTGACATAGCTAAGGTGAGAAGCAAGATGATCTACGCGAGCTCCAAGGACAGGTTCAAGAGGGAACTAGACGGAATTCAAATAGAGCTTCAGGCAACTGATCCAACCGAGATGGACCTCGATGTTTTCAGAAGCCGTGCCAACTAAAAAAAGTAAACCCGAAAGTTTATTATCCATTTTTCCCTTTGAGAAAGATCTATATGATGTTGTTTCGGAGTGATAATGTTACCAATTTATATTATACATTTTGCTGTGAAGAATCTATGAAACCTAAACAGCTTCCGTTTATATCGCGGTGTTCTTGTGTTCAATGTTGTTCTAAAATGGTGTGTAAGGACCCAAAATCGTCTATTGAAGATGATGAACCCATTTTGGTATCATTTTATGAAATGGATGAGTAAAGTTTCTCTTTAACAACTGTCCAGGACCAGACTGACCTATACAGATACATTAACTAAGAAGATTATGATCGGATTTGGTCGTATTGACCATTCTTTTCATTCATTCTTATGGTTTTGTATCGAAAGAATTATCTTTAAAAATTGGTTGTGTTGACCATATTTGTATATCCCCAAACATGAAGCGGTACCGAATTTGTCCACGAATTTATCACCTAATCGATGACATTTTCAATAAAGCAAGGTAGGGTAATAATGTTTATAATAATTTGTGAAGAGTGAGCAAAATAAAAAAACTTTATTATATATTCTTATCCAAATGGAAAGAAACATATAAACAAAATGAAATACGTTTCCATATTAATAAAATGATTCGGATAGCTTACAAATAACGCTAACACAAAGCCCAAAAAAAAAAAAGAGAAGAAACAGTGAAGAAAAAAAAAAAGACACAAATTCATAATTTTCTCCATTGATTTTTTTTTGTCGACCGGAGAAAAATATCTTTCTTCCGTCTTCTTCATTTTTCTACCAGAATTTTGAAATCGGTTTGATTCAGCCATGGTGAGCTCAGTTTCTTCTTCTCTTTTTAAAGTTTCTTCGATTTCTGAAGCTTTTGATTGCTTTGCTAGTCGATACGAGTTCAAATTCGTTTGCTTCTCGCTCGTTAGATCTGGGATTTGAACTCTATGTACTCGGATCTTTGATGCTTTTGTGTTTGTGTGTGTGTGATCGGAATTTATATATATCTAAGACTTTTAAGTTAATTTGAAATCAAGTATGAGGAATCTGGTGTTTCTTCAGCTTGAAGTTCATATGAGTTGTTATGCTAGTTCGATCCATATATGAGTTGCTTCTTTTCTCAGGAATCGTCACCAATTGAAGTCTAAACTTGTTTTACAATCTCCAAATTGGGTGATCATTGGTTTATAAATTTGTGTTTTTGAGAGAGATGAGCATCTTTTACAAGTGTTTGTGTTGTGTGTATTGGAAAATGATAATAGGCAAACGCAGCATCGGGAATGGCTGTGCATGATGATTGCAAGCTAAAGTTTATGGAACTGAAAGCGAAACGAACATTTCGTACCATAGTCTACAAGATTGAAGATAAGCAAGTGATCGTTGAGAAACTTGGTGAACCTGAACAATCATATGATGACTTTGCAGCAAGTCTTCCTGCTGAAGAATGCCGATACTGCATTTACGATTACGATTTTGTCACTGCTGAGAATTGCCAGAAGAGCAAGATCTTCTTCATCGCGTGGTAAAAATTCGCTGTTTTCAACTAACATATATACATAGTCATGTCCTTTATATTGCTTCAATGTGTTTGTTTTTTTTCGTGTGGCAAAGGTCTCCAGACACTGCTAAAGTGAGAGACAAGATGATTTACGCGAGCTCTAAGGATAGGTTTAAGAGAGAACTAGATGGGATTCAAGTGGAGCTTCAAGCAACCGATCCAACCGAAATGGGTCTTGATGTTTTCAAAAGCCGCACCAACTAAGAAGATAACGAACCGTTCCTTTACAGGGTTCTTGAAATAAGTTTGTTTCTGGAGTGGTTATGTTTCCTCTCTGACAGTTATCAAAACTTTTTTTAACACCTTCCAAAACTTGATTCTATTTGGTATTGTTGTTGTCTATCTTAATGTCTATGAGAAAACTATGAGATGTGTTGCTTTTGTGATGGTTTTTCAATTAGTTTACATGTACAATACTTTGGGAATCAGATTTGTGTTATTTCTAAGGCTTCAAAGCCTTGTCTCATCATCCCATGATTTTTATCTATCTAATCTAAAATGTCATCGAAGCTAGCTAACTTATTAGCTTCTCTTCCATGTAATGTTTGACAATGCTAAGAGATGACAAAATATCAAATTTCTCTTAAAATGTGTGATCACTAGAAATGTCTCTCAACATCATATAATTTTATATCAGTTTGATTATACTATAGTTTATATCTTCTATGAGTCTTGTATCTCCTCTTCCTACCCTAATATAATTTATGTCTTGGATTATTTTTGCTTATTCCTTGTATTTCTCTACAACAATGGAGAGATTAGGATATAGTTAACAACTCATGCATTCAAGACAAAAGCTTAAATTGAAGAAAACTCGTGACAAGATATCACATCTGTCTTGGTCAATAGTCAAAAACTTAGTTTCCCTAAGATGATCAGAAACTCTGTATTCTCTGTTTAGTTTCATTTTTTTCCAATTGAAGAAATTAAAGTCAATTTGAAAGAAAACAATGGAAGACTAAATTCGCTGTATTTTGCTTCTTATATGTTATATTTCTGTGGTCAAATTTCATTTAAGGAAACTTAATTTTGTGATTATCACAAAAAGAAAGTGTTAAACAGTATTTTGATCCACAAGAATATGGGTTATTTTAGCTTGGATATTCAAAAAGATGTCATAATCACAATATAAAATCCCAAGTGTCCCAGTCTCTCAAGTCATAATCACAAATATAAAATCCAAGTTACACAAATCAAAACACTTAAAAAAAATGAGTGGGAACATGCAAAAAACACGTGTCTATGTCTCTATCTTATTAATGATAGTTGTAACATTATCAGTTTTTCAAATCACGAAAGGTAACGATGATGAACTTGCGTTTGCTCCAATGTCAGAAGAAGATCTTGCGTTTGCTCCAATGGGAGATGACGGGTGGCTACCAAAGCCATTGGCTTGTTTGGGAGATTTTAGAAAAGTTCCGAATTGTGTAAAAGCAGTGAAACATTTTCAATTCAAGAATGTTACAAAGGAATGTTGTAGCGTTTTACTCAATCTACCCGAACATTGTTTAGGGGTTTTTTTCCCTGTACGTTTTAGCTATCGCGTTGCGCTTAAAAGCTTATGCGCTGCATTGGGTATCATCAGGCCAGTAATTTATTAAGATAAATGTAATACAGTTTAAGTCATTTTGATAGATTTTATTGTAAAATTCAAATGCATATTTCTTTTCTTGATATTCTTCGAAATCTTCTTCTTCTTCAGCTAAATTCTTATCCTGTGGAAAAAAAATAGCATGGGAGTCAAAATCTGAGGTAGGACTTTCTTGGAATCAAATGGTTAGACGATGAATAATTTTAGTTTTTATTTATGTGTGGCTAAGATGCTTACGTGAATTTTGTATTTGAGATGCATGGAGAAATCTTCAAAGCCTTGACCAGTAGAAAGGTATACTTCACAAGACCAAACATGATCCTCCAATCCTCCTCATCATCAAGTACCTCTGAATCCACTCCATCTGTGAAAACAAAACTAACTAGTTGAGATAAAACAAAAACAAAAAGCTTAATTGATTCAATAAGTATCATGCAAAATTATCAAACATAACACGTACCTGCCATTAGAAAAAGCTTTCATAGACAGAAAGCTCTATAGGAGTGGAGGCTTTTGTTCCAAGAAGATCATCAAGTGGTAGTTCCCGTATAACTTGGACACGGTTAGACTCAAGCATGCCAAGATATGAAATGAAGTTCCTTCCTCTCACCAGATATGAGCATTGGATTATCCAACCAGAGATTTGACTTTGAAGGCCATATGTAGGATCCTGTTTCACAAACCAAAGGATTAAGCTATAAATGCAGCTATAAACGAAAACGGTTTAAACCCATTCTATTAATTAGAATGACATAAGGCCATCACCATCGGTGGATATCTCACCAAGTGTATCTCTGAAATTAATATATATTATTTTTTATTTTAGTTTTATTATGTAATTAAATTTAATTCATAAATAGAGATGAACCAATAAAATTAAAACATGTGGCGAGAGAGGTTCTTTAGAGGGTTGGCAAAGTTCTTTTTAGAGAACCGGTCATCTCTCTTTCCTCTCTTTTTATATATTTTCAATTATTTTAATGGTGAGAGATTGGTCGGAGAACTCCCGTTGGGGGTGCTCTAAGGGTTTATTAACTTACTGGTTCATATGTTAGAAAGAGAGACACCGGAGGAAAAGAGTGCTTGCAGGACCAGCCCCGGCACAACATTATTCTGGTCCCTTGGACCTTCTTAAGAAAAATTATAATATGTTATAAAACTTTCTAAAATTATATGGAGGTTTTTTAAGTAAATTTAATAGTTTTTTGAAAAATTTAGGCTCTTTTACTAAAAGTTTGGGCCTTTTTACTAAAAACTAATAGATGGGTTAATTTGTAAATTTTAAAAGTAAAAGGTATTAATACTAAATTAAAAATCGAATCTATATGGAATATTCCTTTTTAGAGGTAGAAATAGAGAAATACATTGGAGATGGTCTTAAAGATGAGAAACTATGTATTAGTGTCTTTGTTTTGTTTTATTTCTTTCCAATTGAAGAAAGTTAAGAAAGAGAATTACGTGGTCAAATTTCTTTTAAAGAAATTTAATTTGTGATTATCATATAAAAGATGAGAGAGTTAGCTGTTTTATCCAAATTAAAGAATATTTCCAAAATATTTGGGTCACTAGAGTGAGTCATCTAGTTATATCACATCAAATATTAGTCATATTTGAGTAATTCCCCCTTATAAATACTAAGAATGATGTCCCAAGTTTCACAGCATAATCACAATACACAAATCCAAGTTATACAAATCAAACACTTGAAAATGAGTGGGAAGATGTCGTCTATCTCAATCTTATCAATGATAGTTGTAATAATATTATCAGTTTTGCAAATCACGAAAGGTAACGATGATGGTCTTGCGTTTGCTCCAAAGTCAGATGATGAACTTGCGTTTGCTCCAGTGTCAGCTGAAGGGTGGCTACCAAAACCATTTGCTTGTTTGAAAGATTTTAAAAGAGTTCCCTATTGTGTTAAGTCAGTGGAGCATTTTAAGTTCAAGACCGTTACAAGGGAATGTTGTAGCGTTCTGCTCGATCTACCCGACCATTGTTTGGGGGATTTATTTCCTGAGTTTTTAGGCTCGCTTGAAATCTTATGCGATGCATTGGGTATCATCAGGCCAAGAATTTAATTATAAAATATAAAAATGTAATGCAATTGATTCATGTTTTAGACGATTTATAATAAAAATCAAATGTATGTTTCTATTCTATATAGGAGATGATGAGATTCTTGGCTTATTCACAATCCTTTGAATCACCATAATCTGAAGCTAGTGATGTTAAAATTGTGTCTTTTATGTTTCAGTTCAGTTTCAAAAATGTTTGCAATGATCAAATTCTTACCGTCTTGATTTGCTTTCTTTTTTTCATTCTCTATTGTATTCTCTGTTTTAGAGCATCTCCAACCCACCTCTATATTTGCCTCTATACTCTATTTTAAAATTCACTTCTCCTCATTTCTATATCCACCTCTAATATAAAAATTGCTATATTTTACTATATATATATATGAACTCTATTTTTTCCTCTATAATAGAGTATTAGAGTTCAACTTTTTTAATTACAAAAGAATCCTTTAACTTTTAATTTTTTGGTATCTATGATTATAATAAATAAAATTAATACTTTTAAAAATTAATAATATAACAAAATATTTAAAATTATTTTTAAAAACATTTTAAGTTTAAATTTTTTATATATAGAACCAAAATAAATCAATAATGTCTTCTTTTATGTAGAGTTTAACTTTTTTGTTTGTAGAATAATTCTTTAAATAAATAGGTTAGTTTGTAGTTTTTACAAATGTTAAAGTTAGATGGGTTAATTTGTAAATTTTAAAAGTAGAAGGTATTAATACTAAATTAAAAATCTAATCTATATGGAATATTCCTTTTTAGAGGTAGAAATAGATAAATACATTGGGGATGGTCTTAAAGATGAGAAACTATGTATTAGTTTCTTTGTTTTGTTATATTTCTTTCCAATTGAAGAAAGTTAAGAAAGGGAATTACGTGGACAGATTTCTTTTAAAGGAAATTAATTTGTGATTATCATATAAAAGATAGAGTGTTAGCTGTTTTATCCAAATAAAAGAATATTCCAAAATATTTGGCTCACTAGAGTGAGCCATCTAGTTATATCACATTAAATATGAGTCAAATTTGAGAAATTCCCCTTATAAATACTAAGAATGATAGTCCCAAAGTCTCACAGACTCACAGTCATAATCACAATACACAAAATCCAAGTTATAAAAATCAAACACACTTAAACATGAGTGGGAAGATGTCTGTCTCAATCTTATCAATGATAGTTGTAATAATATTATCAGTTTCTCAAATCAAAGGTAACGATGATGGTCTTGTGTTTGCTCCAAAGTCAGATGATGAACTTGCGTTTGCTCCAGTGTCAGCTGAAGGGTGGCTACCAAAACCATTTGCTTGTTTGAAAGGTTTTAAAAAAGTTCCGCAATGTGTTAAGTCAGTGGAGCATTTGAAGTTCAAGAGCGTTACAAGGGAATGTTGTATCGTTCTATTCGATGTACCCGAACATTGTTTGGGGTATTTAGTTCCTGTGTATTTAGACTACCTTACAAACTTATGCGCTCTATTGGGTATCATCAGGCCACCAATTTATTAAATATAAAAATGTAATGCAATTGATTCATGTTGGTTAGATTTTATAATAAAAATCATATTGTATGTTTTTTTTTCTATGAGATGATGAGATTCTTGGCTTATATTCCTTTGAATCACCATAATCTGAAGCTAGTGATGTTAAAATTGTGTCTTTTTATGTTTCAGTTCAATTTCAAAAATGTTTGCAATGATCAAATTCTTAATCTTTTTAGCCGTCAGCTTTGACGCATTCTGATGATTAAGGAATTCAGATTTTCAGATATCACTTCTTGCAATCGTGGAAACCATGGCTGCATAATTAAAATAGAATACAGTTCTAAAACAAATGGTTAACACAAGAAGCCCAAAAAAAAAAATACACAGTAGGTAAAAAGAAATGATACCTTAAGTGTGGACAGCATATCAGACAAGACAGATCTAAAGGATCCAACTTCTCTCGTCCCACGGTCTTACGCTTCATGGTTTGCACAACAAGCTCATCAATCTGATATTCAACAAATGATTAGCCATAACTCATGATACAGAGCATATATCACCAAAAAGGATTGACAAAACATGGAAACATGGCTCAATTAACAAATTGTTCATCTTTTTCAACCATACAAAGGACACAGAGGAGCTCTCAGATAGATTATCAAAAGGACCCAACTCAAGTGTACCTGATGGAGAAAAGATGTAATATCAGAATGTACAAGGAAGAGCTGATCCAACTCATAATCATAATCACCACCTCCATGATCTTCTTCTGTATGATTCATTTCATTAACTGCAAAAAAAAAAAAAACTCAGATAATAAAAATTAACAAGAACATATCAGTTTTTTATTCATATCAGCCTTGTTCATGATTTGTCCATCATACGCTAGGGTTTTCGAAGAGATTGCTATCTTCCTTGGCATCTTATCTGTGACATGCATGGTGACTAGCTTGTTTGGATTATATATATATGGGGACTTATGTATGTTTATTAGCTATGTTTGCCTTTTTAGCTTTGGTTATTACGATGGTCTTCTATTTCTGCTCGTAAAAGCAACCTTATATCATGCATGCACGTACTAGATGGTTATGGTCTTATGGAGATGGATAATGAAGTTTCTTTTTCAAAAATCACATCTGAACCGATCGAATAATGAGATGTGTTTCTGTTAATTTGTTTTTGTGTGATGGATGGTGATTTCTATGATCAAACAAACTTCTTACTTATCTTTGTTTGATCGTCTTTATAATCCAAATCATGCATCTCCTTATACACAGTAAAGCATAACAATAATTTTTTCGGTTTATATGTTCGCAATTGGATAAACCGGCTGGACCGGGTCAAAATATAACGGTCAATGGATGTTTTTTACGATAGTGAGTGTAAAAAAGGCTAAATGAGACTTGTTTGTTATAAGTCGATGGAAAGTAATAAACGGCTAAGATAGTGTTTTTGGGTTTTTGACGTTGGCCTATGTTCTTGTTAATTTGTTTGGATCAGGCCCAAGAAAAGCCCATGTAGAATATAATGTAGCGGGAACGGAGAATTTAACGCCGCGCCAACATACACCAAATATTTGACACGTCAGCGATCCCGCTTTATAAGTTTTCCTAATTTATAAGCACTTCTTACAAACCGTCGATTAAAAATAAAATCAACGGGTAAGATCTTCTCACCTCATCGATCCTCGTTAATATCTAAGAACCAATAAAATCAATTACACGAACTACTATAAAACCAAAACTCATCTTCGTCAAGGAAGATACCAAAACCACATAGATCTGTGCTTCTTCTTCTTCCTTCACCCAGAAAAAAAAAAAACAAAGTCAAAACAATGGCGCCGAGAGCAGAGAAGAAGCCAGCGGAGAAGAAACCAGCCGCCGAGAAGCCAGTGGAAGACAAATCAAAAGCCGAGAAAGCTCCGGCGGAGAAGAAACCAAAAGCCGGCAAGAAACTTCCGAAAGAAGCCGGAGCAGGCGGCGACAAGAAGAAGAAGATGAAGAAGAAGAGCGTCGAGACATACAAGATCTACATCTTCAAGGTTCTGAAACAAGTCCATCCCGATATCGGAATCTCAAGCAAAGCCATGGGGATCATGAACAGCTTCATCAACGACATCTTCGAGAAGCTCGCCTCTGAATCATCCAAGCTCGCTAGGTACAACAAGAAGCCTACGATTACTTCTCGGGAAATTCAAACTGCTGTGAGACTTGTTCTCCCCGGTGAGCTCGCTAAACACGCTGTTTCTGAAGGAACCAAGGCTGTTACCAAATTCACCAGTTCTTGAATTTGGGAATTAGGGTTTGTTCAAATCTTGTTTACGAATTTAGGGTTTCCGTTTCGTTTCTTTCGAATTATCGTTTCCCCAGTTGTAAAGTAAATGTTATGAAATCTCTTATGGAATCAAGATTTGCTTTTTCTTAGCACAATGTTATATTCTTGTGTTCTTCTGTTACACATTACATATATATGAATCTATAAAGATTATGTTGTGTACCTAAAAGAATTTGGAATTGAGTTTATTACTTCCAGATGTGAGCATCGCAAGGGTCACAACCTTCTTGAGCAATGTCTGTGATCTGTACACCGGCGTCGTAAGTTTTACCAGCTACCCAATTAGCCGGAAGAACACTTTGCGACCAAATCATTTTGCCGTCGTAGCCTCCTGTGACGATGAACCTGAACTGTAAAGCTCCGGTTGGTACTTTATCAGTAGACCATACAGCTCCGTGGCTTCTTGTCATGTAACCCCAACGTGACGAACCAACTTGTGCAATGTCTATGGCTACTACTTCTGTTTGACCTCCTTGGTTTAATAGCTTTATCTCTAAGTAGTTTGGCTTTTTGCTTGCTTCTTCTACTCTTACGTTCATGTTCTTGTTCCCGTAATCGCAAGGTACTCTGTTTTTATTTTTGTTTTATGATTAGTGTTGATTGATTAAGGAAACGAAAAGAGTTTTAAGGGTTTTTAAAGAGTTAAACCTTTGGTAATCAATGTCGATGATGCCTTGTTTGAGAAGAGCTCTGTCAGCACCAGTGATAGGTTTAGCCATAGCTCTAAAAGCTCTGCTGCTAAGTACAAGATCGGTTTGGTTGTTCTTGTTTAAGTCTGTGACCATTACAATGGTTCCTTTACTGCTACAAAGCTTTTGGTTCTTGCATCTGACTTGGAAACAAGCTCCACAGCCAACACCGTCTTTGTAGATTGAAGGTGTAGCTGCAGCTATGTGTCCGGCGAAGAAACTCGTAGCCATAGAGCCATAAGCACAAGCTCCAGCTGCAACCCATAAAAACAAAACATCAGAAAAAGAAACAAAACAGATAGTAAAGAGATGAGAATGAATCGCTTACAAGAGAGAGCTGAAGCAGAGGAGAAGTAAGATGCTTTAGAACTGTGAAGACATCGATCACATGCGTTAACAGATGAAGAGAAGACGAAGACGATGACTACAATGAGGTTGAGAAAGCTTCCCATCTTTTGTTTCTTGTTCTTGAAAGAAACAATAATGATCAAAGAAGAGAGATATGTGAATTAGATGAGAAGAGAAGAGAGGACAAATGTAATAGTGATCAAGAAGATTGAAGAGAGATATGTGAATGACATGAGAAGAGAAGAGAGGACAAAGAATGAGATTATATAATAGTAAATAGTGAAGAAGAAGATATTGAAGGAGAGAGAGTTGAAGCCAGCTCAGCGTCTCCATATCTAACACTCACCAGTCACGTCATAGCTGGGTATGTGTTGTGATGTGTAGCTTCCTTAATTACGCGTTTTACTCAACTCAATATACAAAATGTTAAAGTGACATCTTTAATTAAATTAGTTTAGTTTACTACAACCAAAGTAAAAAGGGAACAAGTGTGAACGAGAGAAGATAGTTTTGGTTTTTTTTACCAATGAGTCATGGATGAAGATTATGATGATGACAAAGGCCATTGCACCGACTCTACTTGCTTTTGTACATGTCGGCCTCTTTCTCTTTAGGTAACATAAACATATTGTATAGTATTTTGATGAAATTGATTAATAAACGAAACAACAACCCATAAGTATTTTGTTTCTTTGTAACCTAATCCAATTAATTATTTTTGTAGTTAGCTATATTATGAAGGAACAAACATATACATTTCTTGTTTGGTAATGAAACAAAAATTTCTGAAATGTGACAAGGTCCACAACATATAAAAAAAAAGGAGAAATAGTATGATTATTGGATTTTAGTTGATATGGAAATCTAAACAAAATCATCTTTGGTGATAGAACAAAATTTCTGAAATAGTATGGTTATTGGATTTTAGTTGATATGGAAATCTAAACAAATTCACGTATTATTAGATCATTGTTGTTTAAAATCTTTATAAAAAATGTTGTATTAATTTGTTTAGAAATTTTGATCTTAACTATTTTTTATTAATTATTATTATCATTATTAGAGTTATTTGATATATATGATTACGATGAACAACTCTTACAAACAATGATCCTAATTAGTTTCAAAATATTTTGAAAATGTAAACTATAAATGATCCTAATTGTAGTTTCAAAATATTTTGAAAATGTAAACTATAAAAAAATTTAAATAGCATTTTCTTTATTAATACTTTATAAAATCCATTCATAAGGGAGTAAATAAGTATATCCATAAACACGTCTTAACCTATAAAGTTAATAACAGATTAAAATAAAAGAGAGAGATGGCTTTGTGTAGGAGAGAAAAGATAAGAACAAATTCCAAACCCCCAAATTTCACTTTCTATCTTTTTGTACTAAACCCTTTTCACCACTCTCTCTACACACGTTTTTGTATATAATATTTGGTTAATTAAAATTGATAACTCTACCCAAGTATTTTATTACTATTTTAAACTTATTTTTGTTGTTAAAAAGTCAAAAGAAAATGAGAGATGTTCGTGAACTTAATTTAAAACCATTCCATTAGGTTTTCTAGTCCAAAACAACTCATTTCCACTAATTTGAACCAAAGTGTATAAAGTATACACAAAATAATAATTAGGATGTAGCTAGAGAGCATTAGCATCTCCTCATTTTAAGTGATTGTATCACTAAACCCGTATCTACTTGTGTTGCTATTAATCATATTTATCGGACATATCAAAAGTTTGTTTGTTAAATTGTTGATTTAAGTCGATGAAAAATCTTCCAAAATATTGAATAGAACATATCCATGTGAGAACGACTCTGTCATATCCATGGCATTGATTACTACATGTGATGTGAATAATATACATATCTTCATACTACTCCTTCTCTTATTGTTTCATTGTCGGAACTACATATACAAAATGTAAGATTACGATTGTCTAGAATCTAGATTCTATATTGATCATTGACGATGTAGTTTAATGGAAATGATGCATATGAACAACGTAAAGGAACACTCATGTCTTCTTGAGCTTAGTGCTAAATGAGATTTGGTAAAGGCTAACGTCTAGAATAAGAAGTGTATATCTTTGATACTCTCTCTACTTTTTCTTAAGTGGTGGGGCTATAAAGTATTATATGAGGTGAGCATGACCAATACCAAAACCATATATATTATTTGCCAATCTTAAACCTCTTATGTGAGAGAACTAAAACCTTGAAAGTACTATACAGATACAGAAATTTCTTCAAACTTAGTTTTATTAGCAATCTTCAAACAACTCTTTTACAAGCTTGTTTGATCAGAGTTAACCAACATCACACACTGCGATTTGGCCCTGATCGATTCCTAATCTACCCAGTTTACAAGCACAGCAACAGCTATGCACACTCTTTTGTTCACTCACCAAAAGAACCCACAACGATTCTTCGTTTAAAACTCAGATATGAACACAAAGAACTCTCACACTTTTTTTTCTTAAAGTGCTAACCCTAATAAGAAGAAAGCTCTCTTCTTATATAGGCAACAAAACAACTCGCAGGTCCTCTCTTTATCCAGCGGACACTGCGCAGCTTCTTGTCATGATGTTGACTTCACTAGCTTCCCACTAGCCAACAACAACCACCTTTTGTCTGACAACTTTACATGCTTTTTGCTGTAGCTGTCACTTTTGCCCTTTGACTTCGTTACCAACGTTGGGCACCAAACGTGCTGCTTCTCATCACGATCGAAGTGTTGCGTTGTCAACAAGATGCCAGCGTGGCATCGTGCTTCTAAGAGTCCTTCTGAGCATTTTTCAGGTTCTGCAACTGTTGGTCCTTCAGACACTCTGTTTCTTCAATCTCCCCCTTTTTGTCTGAGTATGTGCCTCAAGCTACCTGCACACGAACAAACAGACACACGCAGCAAAGGCAATACAAAATACAACAGTTTCGTTCCAAATTGATCCAGAGGACTTAGAGAAGGATAGATTAAGAGGACAAGGTTCAGCACATACAATCATTTGAAACAAGCACATGTTTCAAATATACTTAAACATGGATAATTCTAAAATCATCAAATACAACTCACTACTCCCCCTAAACAGAAGATCTACTGAACAAACTAGTCACTATCCGCAGTATCAAGGTTGTCGCTTTCTGTGTGCTCCTTAAGTTTACGAGCACAGACATCAACATATTCTCCCCCTGCTTGAGTGCACAGACTCATATAAAAAACAGGTGTGAAACAGAGAAGTAGACTAAGAACAAGAAGGACTTACTTGAGAATCGTTGCATGATGGTCGTAGCAGAGTGGGCTAGATGAGCAAGATCAGCAGCCAAGGTCAGTGAGGGACCAGAAGTAGGCGCAGTCGCTTCCGGGGTCACAAACATTGTAGGAGTAGAGGACAAGACATCACCAGTCAGAGATGGAATGACCCGCTGAAAACGTAACAGCTGATCAATCAGGTTGGGGAAGATTAAACAATCAGTCGATGAGGCAGCACCCGAGCGAGATGCACACGAGCGAATCTCATCAAACACGATCTTTCCAAAGTTTAAGCGCTCCCCTTTGGCAATTAAGTAGAGAAGAACACATCTGTCAGGGGACAGAGCACGATGATTCGTGGAAGGTAACCAGTTGAAGCAGCTGATTTGATGAAGAACAGTGATGATATCGCCAAGAAGACCGGTTGACACTTCAGCCACAGTTGACACTTGCCCATCAGTAAGGAGAGCAGCCACAGCATCAAGATCTCCGAAGGCCCGAAGTTGAGATGTATTCAAAGGATATGGCTCATTTGGCAGTTGGAAGAGGCGATTGATGAGAGACGGTGAGAACTCATACATGGACCCTCTAACAAAGACTCTGAGAACCTCAGAGTCCCTACCTTCAGCCTCCGGAAGATTGGCATAGAATTCCTTGACCATCGTTTCGATGAAACTGTCAATCTCAGTAACTGTTGGAAGAAGGTCTGCCCTGAACAGGATGGAACGAACATCATCATTTTGTATTTCAGCCGATAGAATCTTCATGGGAATGAAGGCTTGACCATGGAGAAACTGGAATCGCTCTGCAGCTTGAGCAGAGATAAACCGAGACGAGAAAATGGGAGTGGCTGGTCTGTTTAATTCAGGAAACCGTCTAATCAGATCGGCGATGCGACGTCGTTGCAAGATGTACCGGTTGAGGAATTCCGGTGGAGGAGATGACTCAGTAGTATCATCAGAGAGATGAAGTTGTCCTAACGGAACTTGGGCTTCTGAAACTTCAGGAAGACATGCAGAATACGAAAGGGGAACTTGAGCGGAGGAAAGACGGCGCAAAAACCGAGTAAGAGCAGGATAGACTTCTGGGGAAGGAGAAACGACTTTGGATCTTGATTTCTTTGCAGGAGGTGCACCAGATTTGGCACCCGAGAAAAGAGAAGGAATCGCATGACTTGTCGTTGCAGCGGAAGTAGGATGAGCAGAGGACAGTTGCGATTGACCTGGTCGAGATCCATCGTTTGGTTGGGACATGTTTGCAGATGACCAAAAAGATTATCAGATCTGAAAGAAGTAGCCGCTTTAATTGTTGTGGAGAATGGGAGCAAAGGATATAGATGATGTCCTTATAAGTTGCAACCCTAGTGTGCCTGAACAGTACTCAACAAACAGATCAAATCCACACAGAACCAATTAGGCCCACAGATAGGCCCAACCATGGCCCAACACGAGATACAAAATACATAAATACTTATGCAGATAAGAACTGAGACAAAATAACCACCAGAGACAGCCTAGGAGATACACTGACAGGAAATGTAAACAACAAAATCTCAAGGATTGATGATACACACCTGAGTTCAATTCCCAGACTATATGTAAAGATTCCTTTGGACAGAGGTGCATAGCTGTTTACGTTCTTGAGTTACTTGGAAGACAAAGTCTTTGCAGCCCAATGAGATGAAACATACACATTGATCTCTTCAGGCTAGTCTACACTTAGCATACTTCTTTAGATTTCATCCTCAAGATGTGTAGGAGCTGCTCTCACGGCGAGGGGGGTGATATGAGCAGAGAGAAGAGGGATCCTTTAACTTTTACTTTTCTTTTTTTTTTTTTTTTGATAAAGTATATATATACACACGATGTACCTTTGAAGATAGAAAGAAGTATCACCCCTTTCCTGCCTACACTTTTCTGGAGATTTTCTTTTTCTTGCAGCCACTACACATCCGTATCGGACTTCTTCGACAAGTAGTATGCGAAGCAGCTGTTTTCCTGAGAAGATTTGCTGAAAGTTTTTTTTTTTTTTTTGTTTAAAATACAGACACAAAGCTATGCAACCCTGTACAGAGGAACCTGTTGCATACGCCTTAAAGACAAGAATCATTAGTGATCACACAATCCAATAGATTTTTGCAGATTTACAAAACTGTTTAAATCTAATGGTTTAGTGAACATATCAGCAAGTTGTTTTTCTGAGGATACATGAGAGATCTCTATCACTTTGTTCTCAACAAGTTCTCTAACGAAATGATGTCTAATGTCAATATGTTTTGTACGAGAGTGTTGGACAGGATTTTTTGAAATATTTATAGCACTCATGTTGTCACAATACACAAATAAGGTTGAGGAAACAATACCATAGTCAGATAGCATTTGTTTCATCCACATTAATTGCGTGCAGCAACTTCCTAGGGCAATGTATTCAGCTTCAGCTGTTGACAAGGTTACACAGCTTTGCTTCTTACTGTGCCAGGATATGAGGTTATTTCCCAGAAAGAAGCATCCGCCTGAGGTACTTCTTCTATCATCCAGATTACCTGCCCAATCTGAGTCACAAAAACCAGCAAGATTCGGATTAGTTTGCTTAGTATAATACAACCCTCGGTCAGTGGTACCTTTCACATATTTGATGATCCTCTTAACAGCGTTCAGATGAGACAATCTTGGATCGGCCTGATATCTTGCACAGACTCCCACGCTGAAGCACAGATCAGGTCTGCTTGCAGTGAGATACAGAAGACTTCCAATCATAGCCCGATATAGTTTTTCATCAACTTTCTGTCCCGATTCATCTTTGGATAGTTTCACAGTGGAGCTCATTGGTGTTCTGGACGTCTTGCTAGTCTGCATTCCAAATCTTTGAATTAAGCTCTTGGCATAGTTTCCCTGAGATATATGAATCCCATCATCTGTCTGTTTGATTTGCAGACCCAGAAAGTAGTTCATTTCTCCAACCATACTCATCTCAAATTCCTTTGTCATAACCTTTACAAAGGTATTCACCAATTCTTTTCTTGTGCTTCCAAACACAATATCATCAACATATATTTGGACAATAAGAATGTCCACACCTTCTTCATAGACAAACAGGGTTTTGTCAACACTCCCACGCTTGAACCCATTTTCAACCAGAAACTCAGTAAGACGTTCATACCAAGTACGAGGAGCCTGCTTTAATCCATAGAGAGCTTTCTTCAGCTTGTAGACATGATCTGGAAAGTTTGGATCTTCAAATCCTTTAGGTTGAGAGACGTAGACTTCTTCTTGGATCAATCCATTTAGAAAAGCACTCTTTACATCCATTTGAAACATCTTGATGTTTAGAAGAAATGCCATACCAAGAAGCAGCCGAATAGATTCTAGACGAGCTACAGGAGCAAATGTCTCATCAAAGTCTACTCCTTCAACCTGTGAATATCCTTGAGCAACCAATCTTGCTCGATTCCTTGTTACATTTCCATTTTCATCAATCTTGTTCTTGAAAATCCATTTCGTTCCCACGACATTTATGTGAGTAGGTCTTGGAACAAGATTCCACACGTCATGTCGGGTAAACTGGTTTAACTCTTCATGACAAGCTGAGAACCAAAACTCATCTTCAAGAGCTGCAAACACATCTTTGGGCTCCATAACAGACACAAAGCATGAGTGTTGAAGCATTTCTCTGAAGTTAATCTGGACTCCCCGAGTAGTACGATCACCTCTCAAGTGTCCAATAACATCCGATTCAGAGTGATGTCTTGGTACTTTTAACGGAGTGTTTGCAGTTTCACCCACTGTTTCTGATGTTTCACCTTGATTATCGTTACTTATCCTTTCTTGGTCTTCTTCTGGTTTTTCCTGAGTAGCCTCCTCATTAGGATTTTCATCATCTACAGCAACTGGAAACAACTGTGTTGGACTTCTGTCATCAAACACGATATTGACAGATTCCTCTACTCTCTTAAGACGTTTATTATACACTCTGTAAGCCATGCTATTTGTTGCATATCCTAGAAAGATCCCTTCATCACTCCTTGCATCAAATTTTCCAAGATGATCTTTATCATTTAGAATGTAGCATATGCATCCAAAGGTATGAAAGTAGCACAGATTTGGTGTCTTTCCTTTCCAAATTTCGTAAGGAGTAGTGCTCGTTTTTGGTTTAACATAAACCCGATTGATGATGTAACAGGCTGTGTTAATTGCTTCAGCCCAGAACCTAGGTGACACATTGTTTCCATGAATCATTGCCCTTGCCATTTCTTGAAGAGTTCTGTTTTTCCTTTCAACAATTCCATTCTGTTGTGGCGTTCTTGGGGCAGAATATTGATGTCTGATGCCTTGTAGGTTACAGAACTTTTCAAACTCCTCATTTTGAAACTCACCACCATGATCACTTCGGATTTGGACAATGCTTCCCTTTTCAGTTTGCAGCTGAAGAGCCAGAATCCTAAAACTTTCAACTGCTTATGATTTTTCTCTTAAAAATCTAACCCATGTGTACCTTGAAAAATCATCAACTAAAACAAAGGCATACCTTTTCCCATTCAGGCTTTCTGTTTGCATTGGTCCCATGAGGTCCATGTGGACAAGCTCAAGAATTTTCTTTGTTCCAATATTAGCTGTTTTCTTGTGTTGAACTTTGATCTGCTTTCCCTTGCTACATGCCTCACAAACTGCATCAGATTTTCCTTCCAGCTTGGGAATTCCTCTAACCACTTCTGCATTCACAATCTTGATCAAACTCTGTGTGTTAATATGTCCCAGACGTCTATGCCACAGATCTAATTTATACGTTGTTGCCGACAGACACGTTTCAGACTTCTTCCACATATAGCAATTATTTTCTGATCGCACACCTGAAAGCACTTCATTATCATTTTCATCACAGGCACTACAGTTAATCTTAGTAAAAGAAACTTTCAAGCCATCATCGCAGAGCTGACTGATGCTGATCAAGTTAGCCTTTAATCCCTCAACAAAGTAGACATTTTCCAATTGAGGTTGATTTGATTTTGAAATCAAACCCTTTCCTTTTATGTTGCCCTTACCGCCATCCCCGAAGGTGACTTTTCCACTTGACACATTTGTGTAGTCGTCAAGAGTATTTCGATCTCCGGTCATGTGTCTAGAGCAACCACTGTCAAAATACCACGAATTACCATCCGGAGTAGCCGCAGAGGTATACGCAACATGGGCATGCATAGCTGCAACTGTGGGTTCTGTACACACGAGGGTGCAGTTCAAGTTTTGGACATCTCCTGTCTTCTCCTTCAGATGCTCTATAGTGACTTCACTTTCACAACTGTTGTAGACTGCCTCTTCTGTATCGTACATGTCTTGAAGATGTTTGTTAGACACTTCACTCTGCATGTCTCCATAGAGATCTTTCTTTGACACCCACATGTGACAGAACTTGGTTGGTTCTAAGTATCCTCTGTTCAGAGTCCATAGAAGACAGACTCTTTCCTTGAACTTGTAGCATCTGCTCCTTTGATGACCTTTTCTTCCACAGTGACCACATCCATAAAACCTTCTGTTGAACACTCTTCTCGTAGAGTAACTTTTAGTATTGTCTTTTCTTTTCACAGTACTAAGTTTCACCAAGTTATCAATGCCAGACTGTTGATTATCCACTGTTTCTTCTAGCATCCCTCCACTGGTAAACTTCACAGACCTTTTGTTGCACTGTTCTTGACCTTCTTGGTATCCTAATCCTTGATGCTCAGGCCTTTTCAGAATGTTATTCAGGTCGCCCGACGCACTGTTCAACATTCTGATATGCTTATGCTTGTCGTTAAGCTCTCGTTCTAGCATGGTTGCTCTATCCTTTCTTTGTTAAGATAGATGTGAAGATCTTCAGCTTTCTTGAACAAGTCCTGAGTGAACTTATCACAACTTAAGGTAGGAGTGGGAGGACGATTTTTTTCTTCATAGGCACTAGTGATTTTGGCTTCAAGACTCAGCTTTTCTTCCAGAAGTTTAAGCTTGTCTTGACTCAGTTGCATCCAACTGTCATAGAGCGTCCTGTATTCCTTTTTAGGATTCACTTCATCATTTCTGTCTGAATCAGTATCAGAATCTTGCAGTTTGTCAATTTTGGCAGTAAAGACTACAATGCTTAGGCGATCATCTTCAGCTTTATCTCTATGGTTGTTCCTTTCAGCAGTTGACTCGAACGAAGGTTCCCAACCTTTTTCTACAGCAGTCCATGTTTCTTCAACTTGACCTCTGATGAGTTGTGTCATCCTAACTTTCCAGTACCCATATCTTCTTGTATCCAGAATGATGTTCTTGCTTGTTCCTGCACCAACAGTAGTAGGTTCCATAGTTCAGGATCTAACCTGTTTGGAGACGAGAAAGTCTCACAGATCGGTTTCCCGCTTTGATACCAATTGAGAGAACTAGAACCTTGAAAGTACTACACAGATACAAAAATTTCTTCAAACTTAGTTTTATTAGCAATCTTCAAACAACTCTTTTACAAGCTTGTTTGATCAGAGTTAACCAACATCACACACTGTGATTTGGCCCTGATCGATTCCTAATCTACCCAGCTTACAAGCACAGCAACAGCTATGCACACTCTTTTGTTCACTCACCAAAAGAACCCACAACGATTCTTCGTTTAAAACTCAGATATGAACACAAAGAACTCTCACACTTTTTCTTCTTAAAGTGCTAACCCTAATAAGAAGAAAGCTCTCTTCTTATATAGGCAACAAAACAACTCGCAGGTCCTCTCTTTATCCAGCGGACACTGCGCAGCTTCTTGTCATGATGTTGACTTCACTAGCTTCCCACTAGCCAACAACAACCACCTTTTGTCTGACAACTTTACATGCTTTTTGCTGTAGCTGTCACTCCTGCCCTTTGACTTCGTTACCAACGTTGGGCACCAAACGTGCTGCTTCTCATCACGATCGAAGTGTTGCGCTGTCAACAAGATGCCAGCGTGGCATCGTGCTTCTAAGAGTCCTTCTGAGCATTTTTCAGGTTTTGCAACTGTTGGTCCTTCAGACACTCTGTTTCTTCATTATGCTCATTGGTTTAGTCCAAAATTTTTGATTTGTTAAAATTTGAATAACAATATTTATGTAACCTAATGATAGTGTGTTTTATACTTTTATTCATATAACTTCATATAGTTCTAGCATTTTATTAGCCTATACTAGTGATACGTGCTCGTTCCATTGTTCTTATTGATTTCTCTTTGGATCATTGATGGCTCTGATACAGAGTTTGATACCAATTGTTGCAACGGTTTTAAATTGTGTGACATACAAATTAAAAACTTGGACTCTCCCATTTCAACTCATATATATATTGAGAAGATAAAATCCAAAAAAAACAAAAAAAAAGAGAATGGCTTCGCCCGGGTTCGAACCGGAGACCTTCAGTGTGTTAGACTGACGTGATAACCAACTACACCACGAAACCTTTTTGACGATGATACAAAAATAATATGTATAGACCATACTGACATATACACATAAACAAACAAAAGAAAAACAAATACTATTTGTTCAATTTTATGTCATTGTTCTTTGAATTTTATGATAATTGGTTGGTGTTTTCTAAAAATCTTAAAATGATTTTTTATTTCTTTTTCATTATCATCCTCACAATAATATGATATGGCTCCAAAATGGTTGTCACTATTCATTCCAATCATTTTTATTTTTATTAAGTGACAACCATTTGCTTCCAATATGTGTGTTTTTGATGGCTATACAACTTCAGAGATGTGTCTACATCTCTATGTTATGTTGTTTTCTTGTCGGATTCTTTGCTTGTAATGATTAAGTGACATTGACTCTAGCTTTTTGTTTAGCATGATCTTTAGTTCTTGAATGGTGTACCGTTTAGTCGGATACATAGTACATACATATAGATGAACTCCAGTATATATTTATAATTCTATGAAGTGTATATAAGTTTGTTGTATGCCTAAATAAGGAGAAGTATAATGAGTCACTTCCATATGTTACTGCATGTATTACAACTTTCTTGAGCAATGTCAGTGATCTGAACCCCGGAATCATAGATCCTCCCAGCTTCCCAGTTGGCTGGAAGAACTCTCTTCGCCCAAACCGTTTTGCCATCATAGCCGCCTGTCACCGTGACCCTAAACTGTAGAGCTCCCGTTGGTACTTTGTCAGTTGCCCACACGCCTCCGTAGCTTCTTGTCATGTAACTCCATTGTGACGAACCAACTTGAGCAATGTCGATACCTACCACTTCGGTTTGGCCTCCTTGGTACAAAAGCTTTATCGCCAAGTAATATGGCTTTTTGCTTGCTTCTTCCACTCTCACTTGCAAATTCCTTTTCCCATAGTTGCAAGGAACTCTGTTTTTTTTTCATTTCCAAAATGTATTTATTAGTGCCAAACTATAAAACAAGTGACCATAACAAAAAAAAAAAAAAAGAAGTTATGTGTTTTAAGAATCAAACCTTTGGTATTCGATGTCGACAATGCCTTGTTTAAGAAGGTACTTGTCAGCACTACCAACAGGTTTAGCCATAGCCCTAAAAGCTCTATTACTAAGGACTAGATCAGTGTGGCTGTTCGTGTTCAAGTCCGTGACCATCACAATGGTTCCTTTACTTGTACACAACTTTGGGTTCTTGCATCTGACTTGGAAGCAAGCTCCACAGCCAGCACCATTTTTGTATATGGAAGGTGTAGCCGCCGCAATGTGTCCAGCAACGAATCTTGTAGCCATAGAGCCATAACCACAAGCTCCGGCTGCAAAAACCCCATTACAAGACATGAGTAAAGAAATAAACAAGTAGTTATAAGAAGTAATGAGACAATAGAAGAATGTTTAATTACAAGAGAGAGCAGAGGCAGATGAGAAATAAGCTGCTTTAGAACTATGAACACATCGGTCACATGCGTTAACAGATGATGAGAAGAGGAACACTATCACAAGTATGTAGAGAAAGCTTCTCATCTTTGTTCTTCTTAAGAGGAAACAAAAAAAAATATGTATGAGCAAAAGAGAGTGAAATGGTATTAATATGAAAAGAGAAGAGAGGACAAAGAATGAGATTATATAATACTAGTGATGAAGATTGAAGAGAGATAAGCTAGCACACAGAGTCATAGTCATAGAGTCAAGTGTGTATTTCTTTCTAATTACGCGTTTTATTCATAGTCATTAGTCAAATGACATATTTAATTACTTTTTATAGATTTCGTTTTGGTAAAGGTTTCTCTATCTCCATCATTGCTTCTTAACATATGTTTTAAAATCAAGATAACAACTCATTGTCAATAGATGAATCCAATCTCTTTCAAAGGAGATCGAACAAGGGACTGTAAAAAAAGAAAAAAAGAAATGGCTTCGCCCGGGTTCGAACCGGAGACCTTCAGTGTGTTAGACTGACGTGATAACCAACTACACCACGAAACCTTCACGGCAATTTCACAAAACCAATGTATATAGACCAAACTGATATATACACACAAAACATCTCTATGTTATGTTGTTTTCTTGTCGGATTCTTTGCTTGCAATGATTAAGTGAAGTTGACTCTAGTTTTTTTTGTTAAGCATGATCTTTAGTTCTTGAGTGGTGTACAATCTAGTCGTCTACATATATAGATCTTTCTTAGTCCTCTTGTTTCATAACTCCAAGTCTCCAATATATATATAATACTATGAAGGGTATACAAGTTCGTTGTATATTTGTATGGCTAAATAACGAGAAGTATAATGTTTCACTTCCATATGTTACTGCATGTATCACAACGTTCTTGAGCAATGTCAGTGATCTGAACGCCGGTATCATAGATCCTCTGAATTTCCCAGTTGGCTGGGAGAGCTCTTTTGGCCCAAATTTTTTTGCCGCCGGTCACCGTAAACCTAAACTGTAAAGCTCCGGTTGGTACTTTGTCAGTACCCCACGCGGCTCCGTCGCTTCTTATCATGTTAATCCATTGTGACGAACCAACTTGCGCAACGTCGATACCTACCACTTCGGTTTGGCCTCCTTGGTACAAAGGCATTATCTCCAAGAAGTATGGCTCTACCTTTGCGCTTCTTTCTTCAACTCTCACGTTCAAATTCCTTTTGCCGTAGTTGCAAGGAACTCTGTTTTTTTTCATTTCGAAAATGTATTTGTTAGTAACAAAGTAGAAATCAAGTGAACATAAAAAAACCAAGAAGTATACGTGTGTTCCAAGAATCGAACCTTTGGTATTCAACATCGACGATGCCTTGTTTGAGAAGGTACCTGTCAGCACCTCTAACAGGTTTAGCCATAGCCCTAAAAGCTCTATTACTAAGGACAAGATCGGTTTGGTTGTTGATCTTGTTCATGTCTGTGACCATCACAAAGGTTCCTTTACTTGTACACAGCTTCGGGTTCTTGCATCTAACTTGAAAGCAAGCTCCACAGGCAGCACCATGTTTGTAAATGGAAGGTGTAGCCGCTGCAAAGTGGGCGGTATACAATCTTGTAGGCATAAGAGTGCCATAAGTACAAGCCCCGGCTGCAAAAACCCATTACAAGACATGAGAAAAGAAAGAAACAAGTAGTTATAGAAATTAAAAAGTAATGAGAGAAGATGAGAATGTTTACAAGAGACATCGTAGCCAGATGAGAAATAAGCTGTTTTAGAACTATGAACGCATCTGTCACATGCGTTAACAGATGATGAGATGAGGAACACTACTACGAGTAGGTAGAGAAAGATTCTCATTTTTGTATGTTATGAGCAAAAGATAGATTGATATGAAGAGAGAAGAGAGGACAAAGAATGAGATTATATAGTAGTGAAGATGATCAAGATAGATAATATATCTAGCAAACGTACAGAATCAAATCAGAGCGTCAGTTTATATTTCTTTCTAATCAAGTATTTTATTCATATTAATTAATTAGTCAAATGAACAATTTAATTAATAGATCATAAGTAGAGTCAAATGACATATTTTATTACTTCATATAGAATTATTTTTGGTAAAAATGTTAACATGTCGATCTCATCTTTTCTACTTTTTCGTGTGTAAATTATTTGATAATTTTGAAACTAGTTCATAACAACACATTTCCACTAGGCTAATGGTCAAAGATAATGGAGCATTAGGTTTATAAGAACATAAGTAGATGATTTCTTTGTTTCCATGGTCAGGGGGACTTAGGGCTATACAAAACATAAAGTTTACGATTTGTTAAATGTGTACGTCAAAATAAAATAAAAGTAACACTCATGTCTTCTTGAGCTTAGTGCTTATCAAAGATGAGATAAAAAAAAACAAGATGTATTTTTCAAAGCTTCTCATCTTTGTTTTTTCTTAAGAGGAACACTATCACAAGTACAGGTAGAAATAGAATCTCTAGTATTTACCAGAAGAAGTTAAACATATATAATTGCGCAATTTTCCTAAAACCTCTTAGTTTTAAGGAAAATAAACATATGTGTTCAAGTGAGTAATTTACTAATGTTAAAAGGCAAGTAGTAAAGAGGAACTGTAAACAAAAAGATAAAATAAAGAAAAGAGAAAATGGCTTCGCCCGGGTTCGAACCGGAGACCTTCAGTGTGTTAGACTGACGTGATAACCAACTACACCACGAAACCTTTGTTGTCAAAACTTTTAATTTCTTATATTTATAGATCAAACCTTGTTGGCTTCTTTATACGGTTTTAGGTTTAATCTAAGGGTATGTATAAAAAGGCATTGCCTCTCATATATATACTCAACTAGGTTTTTGAAAAATCCCACCAAGCTTCATTCTTTGCAGCCTTATTATTATTATTTTCAATTGTTACCTTGGCAAAGAGTAATCGAAGCTTAACGATCTGATAACAATGGCAACAGCTTCAGTTGGTTTTATGTCTAGGAAAGATCGTAGGAAGCAATTCGAATTAGAGGAAGCTCGTAAAGCTGGTCTTGCTCCAGCCGAGGTAGACAAGAATGGAAAAGAGATCAATCCTCACATACCTCAGTGTTTGTTAACTCCATGGTATGCCAAGTCTCAAGAACAACCTAGTTTGAAGCAGCATCAAGAGAATAGGAAAACTCAAGAACCCGTTTCCATAGAAGCATGTGATCATGAAAGTGGCGCAAAGACTTATCATCATCATCAAGCCGAGAAGTATCGTAAAGGAGCGTGTCAAAACTGTGGTGCAATGACACATGATGTTAAAACATGTATAGAAAGACCTCGTAAGGTTGGAGCAAAACACACGAACAAGAACATTGCACCTGATGAGAGAATCAAGAGTGTTGAGTTGGACTATGATGGTAAGAGAGACCGATGGAATGGTTATGATACTTCAAACTACCGTTCTGTGATGGATAGGTTTGATGCAAAAGAGGATGCACGTAAGAAGTATCTCAAGGAGCAGCACCTTAAGAAACTAGAGGAGAAGAAGAATAGTGATGGAGATGAAGAAGAAGACAACGACTTAAGAGTTGATGAGAGCAAGCAGAGGGATTTTGGAAGAGTTACAAAACGTGTTCGAACAACTGATGGTGGTAGCACAGGAACTGTAAGGAACCTGCGTATAAGAGAAGACACTGCAAAGTACTTGCAGAACCTTGATGTCCACTCAGCTTATTACGACCCTAAGTCTCGATCCATGCGTGAAGATCCTCTCCCACATGAAGATCCGAATGAGAGTTTTTGTATGGGAGATAATCAATATAGAAACAGTGGCCAAGCTCTGGAGTTTAAACAGCTATACACCTATTCATATGAAGCCTTTGAAAAGGGACTACATGACATACATATGCAAGCTGCTCCATCACAAACTGAGTTGATTTATAAGAGGTGTAAGGTTGGTAAAGAGAACCAGAGATCTCAGATGAAGGAGTCAATCATGGCAAAGTATGGTAATGCAGCTGCAAAAGATGACATCCCGAGGGAGCTTTTGCTTGGATAAAGTGAAAGATAAGGTTGAGTATGACTGAGCAGGCTGGAGGATTATATAGAGAGTTCACATGCGGATCCAATGAAAGATTACTGGATCGGTTGAAATAGAGTTATTAGTTTCTTTCTCTTTAACCATGTCACATGAAGAAAACTTATTAAGAATGAGACCCTTGTGTTTGAAGTGTTAGCCAAAATTAAAAACAAAAGACTCTTGTTCTTGATTTCTATGTTCATGCATTCATATCTTCACCCTCGATTTTAATTTCATTCATTACTGTAAACAAAAGTTAATGGCAAAAGAAATATTTTTTATATAAAAAAGAAAGAGAGAATGGCTTCGCCCGGGTTCGAACCGGAGACCTTCAGTGTGTTAGACTGACGTGATAACCAACTACACCACGAAACCTTTATGGCAAGTTTACAAGAAGTGTATCTATCTACAAAAATGATATATACACATAAACCAACCAAAGAAAAAAGAGCTGTGAGTATATATATATCTATGTTCAACCAAAGATAATTTTAGTATACTAAAATTTATTGAATTTTGATTGATTTTGCAAGAAAAAAAAAAGTTGAAATTCGGAGTATATTACGTCAAGTTGATTGATATAGCCAATAGCCATAGATTAAATACTGGAATATTTATAGGTTTTCAATATTGGAAAATAATATAATCTATTAGTTATAAATGTCAAAAAAAAAAGTCAAAAATCTAATATCTTTTAATATTAAACATTTCTTAATAATTTATAAAATAGTTTCTTAATTCATTTTTTTTTTTGTTTATTGATGAAAGAAAATGTTTTTTTATAGGCTAAAGGTGAGTTATCAAAAATTCGTAATTGGATAAAACTCCCAAATTCTCTAATATGTGAACATGTATGATTGGTTGTTAATCGTGCATGTGACTCAATGCTATTGAAACTTGTTGTGTGGTTTGTCTTGTAACTCTAGAGCTAGGTTTGACTATCATTCTTAACTATTGCTACAAAAATTACTCATTCACCATAAACAGATTCTCTTTGAGTCTAATAAAAAAAATTGTCTTATACAAACTGATCTTACAAATGATTTAAGACTTAAAAATACATAAAAACCACGAGATTGAAATTAGAAAAGCATATAGGAAACAAACAATTCCTATAAAATCAATCAGGACACATGACCTATAATAAGTAAATCAGGAGATATATATAGTGTTCACTTGGTTATATCAATGAGTCCCATAACCTTGGTTAGATAGAGGATGCGTTGGTCATCCGAAGCTACAAGAACCTTTGTCTGCTCATCCATCTCAATAGAGAACAACGAGGGCTTAAACATATAGAAGTCTCTATAATTATTAGGAGCACACCAAATTGACCCCAAAGATTCCCAACTGTTAGCTTCCATGTCAAAGACATGAACAAAACCTAGGAAAGTATAGTGTTTCATCTCCCTCACCACAAGACGCTTGCCGTCGTACGCAACCATGTTCCATCTTACAAGCGTACTATCTTCCATAGATACGATACTGATCCTCTTGGAAAGGGTCCACTTGGATTTTTTGACTAGTGTGTAAACAGAGATTGTTTCTTTTGTCCCCGATATTAAAGTTAAGCGATTGGTCTTATCGTCCGCTGCAAAGAGTAACTTCATATCCTGTTTTCGATGGAATCTGGAAGGAATCAGCCGTGCTTGCTCTGTCTCCGGATTGAAAGCTATGATGCTCCCGTCGTTTCTCAACCAGTGAAGAGTGTCGTCCAAGTAAACATGTTTCATCCGTGTCGTGAGATCACTTTTAGAACCAGCGTTGATGGTTGTTTCCGACAGTCTCCAAGAACATCCGTCGCTGATCTCGAAACCGTACAACGTTCCCATCTCAAGAACGCATACGATCTTGAAATTTTTGGTGGTTCGACGATTTACAGCAAAACCAACACACATTGCTCTCTCCGTGCGAGTTATTTTCTCTTTTAGGAGATCCCAACCATATTTATGATCTTCCTTAACTAACATAGGTATAAGCTTTGACCCAGAGTGATCAATGATTCGAAATCTCTTCGTGAGGGGATTTGCTACGAAGAGAGTACCATTGATGTATAGTAAGAGAAGGCCAGAGCATGAGCCGAATATGCTACATCTGTAACTGTAATCCAATTCTATATCTTTATGCCTCACTGACATAGAATCGCATGAAGAAACCAAAGGGTGACAGATGATGCAACTGTCGCCACAACAATGAAGGTTCAACAAAATAGGTTTGATTTTGTACATGGAAAAATATGCGATTTGAAAATCGGAGTCGTCGGATATATAAGATTGGAAATATTTATTTGTGCATCGCATCATTGCCAGAGACTTGAGTTCTAATCTGAAGAGAATATCATCGAGAAGATACAAAGGCAAGACATCCATGATCATATAGAGTGGAATGAAAGTTCAATGATTTTTTTTTTTATTGACCAGCTTGTCATATATATGCAACACATTATATAACATGGAAGGAAATAAAACTTAAATTCAAAGAAAATCTTATCACTGTAAGAAAATTAAAATTATGTAGATATAAAATTTATTAATTTTTGAGGTATGTGAAAATAATATTTTTTAAAAATAATTGGTTTTAATGAATTTATTAAAATCCAAAGATATGTTATAAACTATAGTATCCAAATATAATTAAAATTTTTTTTTCTTTTGTTCTTATGATCTTAATAACAATGGATCAAGCTAATTGTGAAATTCTATCAAATCCATATATATTAACTAAATATACTATTTGTGGTCTAAGAAAGTGAAAATTTAATTTTATTAGTTATGAATTTGAATGTATGCTAGATAGGATATTTGTAATTATAGTTACAGTAATCAAATAAGAATGGATTAAAACTAATTAAAATAGAAATTCTATCAAATGTCTCTTTATTAAAATGATACTATCATATATTTGGTTCATATATAAAATTGGTTTGATTTTGAACATCGAAAAATATGCGATCTGAAAATCGGATCCGCACCTTTTCCTACACTATTCTTCTCCGTTTCCTTCAAGATTTCCTACGAAAATGATATTTATATGAATTTGGTAGGAAACTTTCCTACCACTTTATGACACGCTTTTTCGTAGTAAACTTCCTTCTTATTTCCTACCTGTGGCTGTTTTTGTAATAATTGCGAAGTATTTTGGTAGGAAATATTTTCTTCCAAAAATTTTGTAGGAATTTTCGTAGGAAATCACCATGTTTTCTTGTAGTGGGAGTCGTCGGATAAATAAGATTGGAAATATTTATTTGTGCATCTCATCATTGCAAGAGATTTTAGTTCCAGTATGAAAAGAATTTCATCGAGAAGATACAAAGGCAAGACATCCATGATCATATATAATGGAATGAAAGTTCAATGATAAGCTTGTTATATTAATGTATTGTTCGTTTGCCCGTCGCTGGATCTAATGGAGAAATATAAAGTGACTTTAACTTGCCAAAGCAAAGTTTATTTTATTCACATCACTTATAATTTTTCTTTTATCTACTATAATATTTTTGCAAGAATTTTTTGAGGAAATTTAATGAACATTTATAGCAAAAAAATTAGTGTTTTTCCTTCAAAAATATTATGTTGGAGGAAAGTTTCGAACCCGGTTATATTGATTCAAAGTTACTCTTTTACCACTAGACTACATCAATATATTATTATTATCATGTAAACAGAAAAACAGATCGTATATATATTTGAAAGCAGGTTAAAACGACTTAATATTATTATGCGAAATATATAAGAAAGCAATTATGAAAAATTATGTTTGTTTTAAAATTAACATTTATACACAGGTTGTATGACGTGATGGTTTTGAATCAACATTACTAAAATATTAAAAATATTATTAATTTTATACTTAAAGAAAATATTATAGATCATTAAAATGCATGTCAGATCAAAGTTTCTTACCTTTTGAGTATGATGCTCCTGATCCTTAAGGTCGATAAACACTGTTTAGTAATCTTCTCCCTCAGTATCATACATATACTTATTAGCAATCTGCCTAAGGTTATCTGGTAGATTATCGATTTCAAGCCTACCAATCACGTTAGTAAAAGAACTCGTAGCCGTAAATCCTAAAAAAAAAAAAAAAAAGAACACAAGTTAATAAGAAAGAAAAAATGGAATGTCATCTCGTGTTACAAGCCTGGACACACAGGGCCGCTCCGTGACCTATTTTTTTGAAACATTCGTATTGGACCTCCAGATTTTTTGACATCTTTAGTAAGAAAATAGACCGCAAAACATATTTTGGTTTTGCAAAATTAGGCCCCATATTTTACAAAATTTAAATTCTGTTTTCCATGTTTAAATTTTATCTATTTATTATTTCAAAAATAGGCCTCATTTTCTGAAATTTTAAGCTCTGGTATCGACCTATAAATTTTATCTTTAAAACCTCTGAAAAAAAAAAATATGTTGTATTGGGCCACATATATATGACAGGGCCGGCACTGTGGACACACATGAGCTATTGTACTTGATCATAATTACCCTAGGAACGTCTGTGGAATCGAGACCACCGAAAGGAGAAAGTGTGTGCAAACCAAAGGGAACGTTTTGTATCGTGACCAGACACTTTCTCCTATGTTTGTGACTTGTGTCTATGTTTTACCTATGTCGATGAGCATCTTCTTCCCTTTATGTTATGGTGAAGATGTGAGTGGTCTGACATTTCCAAGGGAAAAATACCAAATATACTAAAGCCGATATTGGCAACAGACAAACAGGTAAAAGCATTTACAATAACACATAACCAAACCGCATACCATATATGATACATCACGTAGCAGTCAGTATATTAGGTCTGCAATTTACCAACCCATTAATGTTCTTCTCACTTTATTAACAAGCTCATTCATAGCAGAAGCACTACCAAGCTCGAACAAACAGCTCTCATCCAGAAGAAATCTGTACACTTCCCATTCTCTGTCACTAGCCGTGTACCTTCTTATTTCAGCCTAAGATTGAATCAAAAGACACCACAGTTCACAGTTAAGAGTTACTGAACATTGATTTTAAGACTTCCGTGAGTTTAGGTTTTGTTTCTTACCGAGAATATGCAGATTCCAAGCACTTTTAGTGAAAGGGTAACGTCATAGAACACTCTTGGTCTGCCTTTACCAGATATCTCAACTGGATTAGCAACTACAAGTTCAGTGTCTGGCCCTCGGTTTGTTATTATGACACGTAAAGGGTGAAGCATTTCAGCTTTCAGACGTGAACATAACGAATTCTGCGTATCAGGATCCACGATCTTGTTCCCATCTTTCAGCTGAATAAATAGATCTAGATCCCGATGACCTTGTGTTTGAGGTGAGAACCTACCATAAGACATCTGCAGAAACAGATCACAAACTAAGATAACACAAAGAAATAGGCAGTGTACAAATATACTTAAAATCTGAAAAAATCTGTATGTTAGTTTTACCATTACCTTAATGTCAAAGTCTTTAAATGTTCTTAATACATCATAGAGAAGGCCTCTGTGATCAACACAGCTTATTCGGAGTAATGTGTGAGCCGGGCTTAAACGGTTGTCAACTGTGATAGTAGAATCCTTCAGCTTTATCATATCATCAGTAAGAAGCTGTACACGATTGTCTTCATAGGTAAGCTCCTCAGACGTAAACAATTCTTCAGCCACTGCTGGAGAAAGAGATGGAATATTCTGATGACATTCATACTCAGGACCAGCTAACTGAAGTTCACAGCTTATACATGCTTCTCCCAAGACAGACCGAAACTTCCCTCGTGTATCCTCTTGGCGCTTTTCTGTATGTAAAAGATCCCTAGCAGACAATACTACGAATCATCATCAGAATACTAAACGGCAAGTCTTAAAGGAGCAGATTGTTTAACTCACTTACTCACATGTTATCAGTAATAAAGAAAAGATCCATAACTCTCCCATCTGGTGTCGTAGTCACCTTCACGGTTTGAATTGAGAGCTCAAGCTCAGTTAGTACTCTAGTAACATCTACAAACAAGATTCTCACACAATCAAAATACCACTCAGTAAGCAAAATCATCACATAATCACCCGATCAGATCTGATAAGTCACAGTACCGTGCAAGAGTCCTTTCCGATCTAAGCAAAAGAACTTCAACAAGTAAACAGGCGTTGATGCAGGACAAGAAGACATCAAATTGAGCACAAAGTAGGTTGAGCAAGACGGGCATACAGATACAAGCTGGTTCTTCAAATGTGACCATCTCAATCTAAGAGAATCATAATAAGGAACCACCCACAATACTATGTAACACCATACTCCATCAGTTGTAACATCTACACACCAAATCAAGGTAAATAATCTAAGCAAATTACAGAGAACAAGATCAAAATTACTCAAATCATTTTGAAGCTAGAGCCAGTTTCTGGAAGAATCATACCTCCTTTTGTGATGTAAAGCCCGAAATCGAGGACGATTCTGCAAATATCGCAACATAAACCAGTCCTATCAGGACAATTCACAGTGATAACATGCGCATCTCCCACCTTCTTCCCCAATTCTATTACGACGGTGTCTTCACTCTCCGGAGCTCCCATTTCTTGAGAATCAATTCCGATCAAATTCACGGCGAGAGCTCACAGAAGAGCTGATGCAAATCCAAGCTTCGTCTCCTCTGGACTCTTCCCTTTCTCTCTAGAACATGAAAGAGATTATATGATTTGACAATTTTCGAAATTTATGTTAAACCCAAATTAACTCGGTTAATTAGACGAAACCCGGTTCGTTACATCTAATACGAACACGTGACGAGATAACCCGATGATCGCACATAGGACCGATCCGGTTAGTCTTTTGATCTACGGTACCTTTGCGACAAACCAAATTAACACCGCAGTTGGGATTTCATATGACAAATTTCAATCAATATTAACCAACCTAATTTGAACCGATCCGGTTATTATAGCTAACCAAGACATTACAAATGAGATTTTACCATTTTGATGACGACGAGGTTGTTCAATGGAAATCAAACAATCATATGGTTGCTGTAGTTACTCAAGAGAATCACAGTTTAAGACTACGAAATTGCAATATTTGTTTTTGTTACGAACACGAAATCGGCAACTACAATAACGAAATTGCAAATACATCCTTCATATTTATGAGGTTTTTGGGAACTAACACCAAATTCTGAAAATTAACATTTCTAGATAAACGTAGAAAAACACAGCAAAAAGCAAACAAATTCAAAACCCTAGCCGCCGAATCCGTAAAGAGTCCTTCCTTGTCTCTTAAGAGCATAAACCACATCCATGGCGGTCACCGTCTTCCTCCTTGCGTGCTCGGTGTAAGTAACGGCGTCACGGATCACGTTCTCCAAAAAGATCTTGAGAACGCCACGTGTCTCTTCGTAGATCAGACCACTGATACGCTTGACACCACCTCTACGAGCCAATCTACGAATCGCCGGCTTAGTGATTCCTTGGATGTTGTCTCTCAGAACCTTCCTGTGACGCTTCGCTCCTCCTTTGCCCAAACCTTTGCCTCCCTTTCCACGACCCGACATTTTCTCAGAAAATTTTGATTTCGCTTTGCGAAACGAATTAAAATTGTTGAGATGTGAGGTGAAATGAGAGAGCGGTGTGTTTGTTATATAGTCATAGGATAAAGTGATCTCAATCTCTGTGATGTTTGAGGATAGTTATTGACCGTCGATTAAGATTTAATCAACGGTTAGTAGAGTCGATCCGCGTGACTCACGAATGTCTCCAAAGTTTTGTTAAATCATAGCGGGAGAATTTTTGCGGTTCCGTTTTTTGTGTGTTTTTCATTTTCCCCCTTCTTTAACACGACGCCGTTTGGATATTTTAAATAAAACGCAGCCGTTTGCTGCGTACTTTGTTCTTTGTGTTGTTCTGTGATGTTGGTAAAAAGGTAAAAAAAACTGTTATTTGTTTTGTATTCATCGAAACTTCATAAAATCATGTGACCAACTTCAATATCTGATAAAATAATTCATATTTTTGATCAATTGTAGCCATGGGAATATGGGTATTCGGGTCGGTTCCGGATCTTTTGGGTATAATTTTTTTTTATACATTTTAAGATCCAAGAAGTTTCGGTTCAGATATCGGTTCGAATTCTTTCGGTTCCAGGTCAGTTCGGTTCTACATTTTTAGAACCGTATTATATCTAAAATATTTGGATATCCATTTGGTTCAGGTAAAATTGACCCGTTTGTATACGAAATGTAACAAAATACCCAAAAATAAAAATAAATGGAAAGTAAAAATAGATTAAATTCTAGATCCGGGTAAACGGGTACCCATTCAATTCTCGGATAATACCCGGATCCGACCCAAAATCCATGGGTAGAGAAGAACAATATCTATCAGTTATTTAGGCAATAACCGAATCCAAACAGAACGGGTTATTTTTGGGTCGGTTCCGGTTTGGTTTTTCGGTTCCGGTTTTTATGCCCATGGCTAATCAATTGGTTGAGGTGTTGTCGTGCAAATTTGATAACTTTCACGCTTTTGTAGAGGTAGAAAACAAACAACGGCTCGGGTTTGATAAAAGCAAATTCACAAGAAGAAACCATTGTAGCCGCAACCTAAACCTAACCAAGTCTAAAAAATTCTTGAATGCAAATGAGATACTTGGTTCGTTCAGAGACAGATGAAAAATCATGTGCAGTTTGGGAGGTGGAGATTGGTCGGGTCCGTGATATGATTTTGATTGATCTTCATCTTCTTGTTGCATTCAAGATACCCAAAACCAAACCTTTCTCTCTTTATCTTTATGGTCCATCCTCAATCAAGTCAGACAACAACTACTCATCATCACACAAACACATCCATATATATAAACTATATAGTGTAGATTGATATTGTAAACAAACAAATAACTGAAATTTTTCTAATCAACCCAATGTTGTTATAGTTATAAAATGAATTAAAAAAATATTTCAACTAGATTTATATTCTTTTTGGTAATCTGATTTATACTATCAAAAGTGATCAGACTAATTAAATAAAATGTCTGTAACAGCATGTGCTTACTAGTTCTTAATCTAATTCTCATTATTCATTAACAAATGTGTTCTAAAAATATAAACTTCTGCAAATACAATAAAGTTAAAAAATAATCAAACCAACCATATTGTACTTGGATTGTTAGGTTGTATCATTCATCTATGTCAATATCAAAGTTAAACTCCTTGATGTCTTTATAAATCTTAATCACATAATTTTATTTTTATTTTATATTCGTCAAAAGTGAGTTCCCTTTATTTAGCTTTATACTATTTAAAAAAGAAAACAAACAATTAAAAATTTGTCTTTTCTTAGAATCTTTTTTTTTTTGTTCCTGCGAATTTTCTGAGCTTCACAAAAATGGCGACTGTTCCTGAACTTGAAGAAGAGAGATTGAGAATGAGAAGCTTCATTGAGGAAGAAGAAGAAGAGCATGAATTGAAGAAGCTAGCGAAGTCATTTCTAGGTTTAAGTTTCTCAGTAATGCTAGCTCATCTCCCAAACGACGCAATCTCTCTCGTCCCGAGGTTAACATCCGAAATCAAAGAGCTGAAACGGCGTCTCGCGGCGGCGGAGGAACAAGTCCGTCAGATGAAATCTCGGCGCGTGGAGGACTCAAAAGCCAACGCGCGCGTGGTCGATATCTTCGCTAGTCACAGGAACGCTTGGCAAGAGGAGGAGAAACGTTTGATGAATCGGATTCACGAAATGGAAGAAGAGAGGGAAGAGTTTATGAATAGGGTTAATGAATTGGAGAGAGAGGTGAGTGAGAGAGATGAGATGATTGGGTTTATGTCTAGAAGAGGTGTTGAGGAAGAAGATGATGATGGAGAAGGACAAGGAGGAGGAGGAGGAGATGAGTCTATTGAACGTTACGGTGTTGATCACCTCACTGTATCTTCATCACCTAATGCTTATGGGATTGACCCAAGTTCCAATTTTAATCCTTTCCAGGTTTTTCTTTTTGACTTTGAGGTTCTTGATTTTGGATTTCATGGTTTTGAGTGTGAAAGGATGTGTTTTGATTTTAGGGTTTTTGGTTTCTGTGTTTGTAGGATGTACAGTATGAATCTTTGGAATCTGTGTACCGTATGAAGCATTTTGTCCCAAGGTATTGAATTTGAGATTGTGTTGTGTGATGATGATCAGTAATGTGTAGTAACCTTTTATCTTTGATAACACAGAAGGGAATCACCATGGAAGATTGATAGTGAAGCGACTGGTGTTTCTGCGAAATTGAGGTTACTTGAAGAGGAATTAGTAAATCTTGAGAAAGTTTGTCGTAGTGACATTTCGAAAGTTCCCTCTTTGCTGAGAAAACAGGCTAAGAGGTATCAAGCTCTTTCGGGGAAGATCGATGATCTATGCAGAAGAATGGTTTTGCTCTCTAAACACTATTTGTAGTTTGCTTATGAACACATAGATGCTTGAGTTTTGTTACTGAAGAGCTAAAAGGGTTTTATGGTTTACTGTTTACAGCAGAGTAGTGATCCGTGTGATGCGACATTAGGACCCGAGTTCAGGACGCAAAGACAAACCGAGTTTCTGCTTGAGTGTTTCAGGCTTCAGCAGCGGGCATCGGAGACAGGGCAGAAGCTAGTTTCATTACAGACAGAAATCTCTAGGAGTAATCAAGGAGATCATCTAAACCAAGCCAAGATGAACACAGGAAGGACGCTGGATTTGATCAAGAACAATTTGAAAGAAGTTCAAAGAAACTTGGAGATTTGGCTGGCTAGGATCATTGGAGATCTCGAAGGCATACTTGCTAGAGACGGGGCTTCGCGTGTTAGGGAATTCTACGTTGCTCGATACCCTTTTGTTCAGTAGAATTCATAATTCTCACATCTTATAAGGCTAACTCGCCATTTTTTTTGTTTCCTTCGGCTTAATGTTATGTATGTGTCTGTAACTGTGGTTAACCTTGTAAAAGACCAGTGTAGAGTCAAGTCTAGGGTCAAGTGTGAACTAAGTGGGTCATCTTTGTAAGTCGCAATGAATTTAATAATGAAGATTAGAATCTCTCAAGTCATAAAAAATAATGTTCACATGTACACAAATGCATAATGTTTTGTTGGAATATGATATGTATATTTTAGTCCAGAGAGTGATCTGGTTTTCACATGAGGTCAAATTAGATCTGATGCATCTTCTGACTTGAGAGACATGTAAATCTCTAAAAAGCTTACAGCATTTCAATGGCAGATAAACAGAGGCAACGTATCTATTTTATACCGAAAAATAAAATGGGATCTAATATAATATATCATCCATTGGACCTACTTTGGCTCTGAGTCTATGAGCTAGAAGGAGAAGATAAGGGTTCACTATCATAACCTAGACGGATTCTGGTCGGCAGAGGTCTAGCTATCAGTCCTTCAGTAACCCAACCCACTGATTCGCTGTCTTCTTTGGCGTGTTCAAACTCTCGTCGCACATAATCCAAAGAAATGTGAAGGCGACCGCCCGGTTTGCAGTCTGAGTAAGTGCTTGCAGGTTCTATCCCAGCATTCTTCTCCAGCCAGTAAAGATAGTTCACTTGAAACAGCGATCTGAGCATGTCTTGTGGTGACGAACTTTCCTTGAGCATCACCTGACAATTAGAAGAGGAGATGAAATGATGAGAGATTTGGCCGGATATTAATGATGAAAATGTCTATTATTGCTTACGCAAAATCTGCCTCTATGTTCGGTAAGGATGTAGCCTTCATTGCGATACAGATCAAAGAGTGCTATTGCTTCTTCCTTGTTGTGGATAACATCACTGAGCTTTGATCCTAGTTGAAGCCGCTCCTCTATATCTGCGGCTGCTGATTTTGCTTCTGATGATAGGACAAAATCTTGCAGCTGAATAAATCAGACAATGAGAATCAGGCTATCCAGCATTATTTTTTTCATCCAAGAAACTTAGGATTTTAATAAGGAGAATGACATCACCTTTCCTGGAGATTTTATGTTTAAAAACCGAACAGCTGGGAAGAGCGGTTCTTCATCATTGACCTCCTTAATCAAAGGAGCTTGGCCGCTGATGAGATACTCACTAAAAACCAAACCTGTATAGTAAACAGAGAAATGTTACTTTCGCTTTTTCAGAAGAATTTGATGAATAAATTCAAACCAATTGGGCAGTTGCAGGAGAGGCATTTACTTGCACGATATGGGTTTAGAGTCCGTAGCTGAATGCATTGGTACGATTTGAGATTGGTATACATATGGATTGCTGTCACAACTCCGAACGCAGCAAGGGCAAGACTTGTAGAGGTTCCTATGCAATTGGCAACCACTATTCCGAGTAGGATACCCATTGACTTGCTAACCATTCCTTGAGCTTCACCCTTGGCAATTACCTACAAAAGAAGCTGTTGATGAATACACTACAGGCCCAGAATGTTGAAAAGAGCAAATAGCTTAGAAGTTTCAATAACATGTAGATAAGTGATAAAGACTTGAATAACTCATTAAAAAGGCCATATCAAACCTCAGCAAAGTTCCTTTGAGAAGCAAAGCCAGCATTGAAGCAACTTCTAGTAGCAGCCTGCAGAAAAGTAAATGATATACTAAAATTTACTACCACAGTAGCCATAAGCACAGATATACACAATGCAGTACTTGAGCTATGCAAATAGAGCTTTCAGACACCGAAAAGAGAACCTGGATCAATGCAGCAGCAGATCGACCAGCCCCAGCACCAGCACCGATCATGACAAAGAACTGAGGGAAGAGCGGCGTCAGCATCTCCATACCAAAAGCAGCATTTTCAAGAAGATCAGCAAATAGCCTCCATCCCTTAGGATGAACATCGAAATGTCGTCCATATTTCGATAACATTATCTTACTAAGATACCCAATTCCATCTTTAAGCACCCAGTTAATAGCTGCAGCTGTAGGAATTGCTCCTTTACCTAACCCAACTGCATAAAGCAAAGACTACCAAAACAACCCAAATATATAAAAAATGATCAGCAAGTGCTCGTAGTAATGCCTAAAAGAGATTGATAACTCAGTCACTTACCTGAGTGGCAAGAACACCGCTGATTTGACTAGCAATACCTTGAACACCTCTCCAGAGAGAGTAATCAAGGTAATCGGAAGTGACACTATTGGGGTAACCTTCAGGGAGAAGGAATTGAGTCAGAAGGCTTCTACATTGAGCTAGAAGATTCTCAGGTGTTAGAGAAGATGATAATTCGAAAGCTGCTTCTTCAGAGACGAACTCATCTTTGACGAAATCAGGAACAAGTCTCTTCCTTTTACTTCCTCTCACTTCCCAAACCGTCTCTTTCTCGGTGCTATCGTCACTATCCGAGTTCTCAGCTTTGGCTACGGCGGAAGCAGCTGATAATCGGAAATGGAAGAAGCAAGACAACACCAATACAAGAAAGCAGAGAAATCTCAAATTGAAAGGAGAATCATCAACGTTATCGCCACCACCATTAAACCACCAACCTCCATCTCCGCCACCACCACCACCGCCGCCATTTCCATTATCACTATTGCCGTTACTTCCTCCGACGTCTCCACTAAACAGTGAAGCAAAACAATTTCTCCTCCCTAGCGAGTGTTTACTAAAGTTATCATTCACTGTGGCGACTAATCGAACGCATCGAGAAAACAAAGGAACCGGTTGTTGCCGGAGTAATTGCCGTGGGAGAAATAAACGCTGCTGGGAAGTAACATCACTCCACCGCCGTGAAGCAACGACTGAAGCGTCTCCAGAAATTAGATAAGAACAACTCATCTTCTTCCTCTCTAAAGACTTCAAATTTAATTTCAAAATCCTAATTTTATAACAAAAATAGATTTTTTTTTTTGTAATTTAAAAATAAATTAGGGTTCTTGGTTTTGTATTAAAAACCGCCAATTTTATCAATTAGGGGTTTTGAAAGATCGTCAATGGCTAAGGAGGTAGAGAGTTTATGGAGAGAAGTGAGAGAATTGAGCTTAGGAACTAAAATCGATCGACTTGAATCTCCACCGTCTCCGGTGAAGTTTCTCCGTGACTACGTGTCTCAGAGCAAGCCTTGTGTAATCTCCAACGCTATTGTTCATTGGCCGGCTTTAAAACACTGGTCGGATCCGGACTACCTCGCCGGAGCTTTGTCGAATGATCTTGTTTCGTTACATCTCACTCCTAACGGCTGCGCCGACGCCGTAACTCCGGTTCAGAGCAGTGGAGATAGAGATGATCTCTGTTTCGCTTCGGCTCATGTGGAGAAAGTTCTGTTCCCGGAAGCTCTTCGTGCTGTTCAATCGTCGTGTAAGGGAAGAAAGGTTGGATATTTACAACAGCAGAATGATTGTTTCAGAACGGAGTATTCGACTGTTGGTTTAGATTGCGACGGCGATATAGCGTGGGCTACGGAGGCGTTTGGTTGTTCGCCGGAAGCTGTGAACCTTTGGGTTGGTACTGATCACTCTGTGACTTCTTTCCACAAAGATCATTATGAGAATCTATATGCCGTTGTTTCAGGGGAGAAACATTTCCTGCTCCTTCCTCCGACTGATGTACACCGCCTCTATATAGAACAGTATCCAGCAGCCAATTACTCTTACCATCGAGTCTGTGAGATTCTCAGATTAAAGTTTAATGAGTTTTGCTTCTGTTAAGTGATGTTAAATGAGATAAAGTTTGAATCTTTTTAGGACACTGAATCGTTTAAGCTTGAGCTTGGGGAACCGGTGAGGCATGTGCCCTGGTGTAGTGTGGATCCATACCCTTCACCAGATAAAGAAGCAAGTGAGAGATTGAAATATCCGTTGTTCTTCAATGGCCCCAAGCCGTTTCATTGTACTGTCAAGGCTGGCGAGATTCTTTACCTGTAAGAAAATTTCAACCCCTTTGCTCTTCAGTTGAGATTTTCTCTCAGAACTAATTTTCCTCAACTTAGTTTGCTAAAGTTTAATCACTAATGTGTCTAGTTCAGTCTTACTTTTGCTTTATAAGAAACAAAGATTAGAAATGGGTGATACGCTTACACAATTGGATTTTCCGGTCATGATTTCGACTCATAATTGATCTGAATTATTGCAGGCCAAGCATGTGGTTTCACCATGTTAGTCAAACCCCTGGAGATGGTGGCTATACCATTGCAGTGAACTATTGTAAGAGTTTTATTTTACTTCCATCATCTGTTTGTCTTCAGGTGGCAAACCAGTATTTTCCGGCTCTCTTTGCCTCTAATAAGCTACGTATGCATCTAATTTGCAGGGTATGACATGCAGTTCGACATCAAGTACGCTTACTTCAACTTCTTGCAATCTTTATCATACAAGTCTTGGAATGAAGACGAAGATTGGGAATCCAGTGATACAGAGGTATGAAGAGATGAAACAACCTTTGTTGCTGAGTTCACGTTTTATCGGTCATAGTAAAAACTAAAAAGTTCAGAGAAGATCTTAACTTACATTATGAAATTTTAGGACTACGGAGATATTGTCTGTATGGTGTTTATTTTGTTACTTGTCATGTACAATGCTTTCTCCACTATTTCTTGAGTTTTATCTCCCAGAAATTATAAAGAATAAAAGAACCATAAAATGATAGAAAAGCGTTTAAGAATCTTGTGAATTGTATCTCTTTTATTGATGACTTCGCTTTTTCTCAGATTGTTCCCTAAATTAATGGTGTATTTCTGAAGCCATCATCTATATAAAAGCTCTTGTGGCTGTGTTTAGTTTGATATGGTCTTTAACTGAAATCTGCTGAGGAATTCAGATAAATCCTCTGGACCCAGCTCCATGGTCAACTCCTTCTCATGAGTCCCAAACAGAACTTTGAAACCGCAAAGCTTCATGCCGATCACATTCCCCAAAATCCAGAACCCATATTCAGAACTCAAACTCCCTGTTGCTGGGCTTCCAATATTTTAGGTTACTGGATTGTCATTCTCCACCCGGAACCGAAGATCTATACTCTTCTATTGACCAGGAACCAACTGACACATGTGAACGCTGTTTGGGCTTATGTGCTGCAGTACATATTATGAAATTTGATATAACTGACCTCGGCCGCCAGATATTGTCATCATCAGCTGTATTGCAATGGATGATTACTAATATGCCACTTCTCTCTTTGTGCTATGTTAAATACCGTAATGTGATGTCTTCTCAAACATGTGCCATGATCGCAGATTTAACATCAGGGAAGACAGTTCACTGCCTATGCCACAAATTGAGGTGTATTTGACAAGATTTTGTGTCTTTCTTGCACCTATGTTGATAATGGGGATAGATTTTGGCCGCGAGTGCGTGTGAATGCCATAAAAACCGGGTTTGAATCAAATGGTTTAATACAAAGTGGCTGGTTGATATGTATGGGAAGTATAGGTTGGTGATAAATGCAGAGAAGGTGTTCAGAGCTAAGAAAAGTTTTAACTGCTGGACGTTATGTTCTCGGGGTATATGCAGAGTGGGTTTCACATTGAGCACATTAAGCTTTTCTATCACATGTAAGCGGGTGCATCAAAGTCCAGGGCACGTTCTTGAATTAGATGAGCCTAATATTGCGACTTTCCTAAATATTGATGTGTATACGCATATATATACTGTTTGAAAACTCAATAGTCACCTTCTTGTCGGCAAAAGGTCAAGAAAATATTGGAGCGCCCAAGTAGTTTCAAGAAGCCAGAATTTTTGTTCAATCAGTGGATTTTGGTGAAGAGATGGGAGGCTTTGTGAATAGATGTCCTGTTGGTTTGTTCTTATGATGGTCCTTGTAGATTAAGGGTTCAGCTTCCTTTGTGGTGATGGGAATGACACTCGTTGCTGCTGCTGCTTTTTTTTCTTTGTAAGATGCCCAGGTGACACTGTAAAGACCTGAGATGATTGCACATCCGCCTAAAATGCTATAAAGAGAGAATGAGAAAAGACCAGAGTTAGTTAGGCAACTTCAGATATTGATGGCTTAGCATAAACCAACAGGGAAAGAAAGAGAGAGAGAGAGAGAGCTTTAAACCTCCCCAAGTAGATCGGGCTTCCAAGGAAGATTCTGGACAAGAAAGCTGAGGCTGCAGGTTGAAGAGGATTATAGAGAGCAACCAAAGAAGGACCCAAGATCTTATTTGACCACGTCAAGAGACCATAGTTAAGTGCAGACGCGATTACTCCCTGCACAGAGGAAGTAGCAGAGTTTACTCATTTAGAGAAATCTAATGACTTAAAAGACTATACAGCAAACATATGCTGTGAGGAGCTTACTGCGTAGACAACTGCAAAGAACTCAGATCTTGTGAGACTCCATTTTGTCGACTCATTGGTCATGAAAAAAGCAGATGTCACCATAAACATGGTGCCAAAGAAATACGAGTATGCTGTGACAGAAAGATTCGCCGGATACTTCTTCAAAACCGGAGCCTGATCATATGTTTACAATGCGGGGTCAGTCCGAAGACAAGAAGATCATTGAAACTGAAGTGTTTAGATCATCTGGAAGCAAAATGACATGCCTGAATAGCAAGAAATGCTGCCATGCAAGTACAATTCCCAATCAAACACAAAACTCCCAGATTCCATCTCCCAAGTCCATTGAAAAAGCCAGACATGAAGTGTCCAGATGTTTCAGGGTGTCTTGTTTCACCATGACTCAAGACGTCAGCCTCTGTTTCCCCAAACAAAGCTGGTCCACGAAACAAAACCATCAGAACCGCCCCAGCAACACAAATCACTGTACCTCCTACCTTAGCTTGACCTTCTAGTTTAAATAAATTCAGTTTCTCTGTTCTGCAGCAACACACCAAATTTTGCAAGACATTGATTGATTCTCTAGTTATGCAATAGTCAGAGAAGTAAACACAGAGACTTGGATGGAGTTGTTACCCCATAATGAGAGCCAAGATGAAAGTAAAAACCGGGATCGATGGCTGAATGGCTGCAGCATAAGTTGGATTGGTGTAATTGAGACCAATAAGGAACAAAAGCTGGTTGCCAAATATCCTAACCACACCAAACAACAACATCTTTTGATGATTGCAATCATAAAGAATAGTAAAAGAGATTTTAGAATCAGACTTACCCAGTTAAGCCAAGGAAGAAGAAAGCTAAAAGTAATCGTCGATTCAAAGGAGGTCTAGTCCTTTTGTCACGGAAATAAGCAAGAGGAGCAAGAATAGAGAGAGCAATGAGATCACGAAAGACGCAAAACACTAGTTGGTTCACACCAACGTTGAGAGCCACTTTGGTAATGACGTGATACCCTCCGTTAAACAATTGCACACAGATCATCGCCACGTGTGCCTTCCAGGCCTCTCTCTCCACCGCATTCTCCATCGGCCGGTGTCTTTTTTTCCGACGATTCCTGTTTCTGGAGAAAGAGATGAAAGCCAGGGTGAAGAGTGGGTAAAGAGTACTAAAATCTTGAAAATTGATTGCTTGATTAGCACTCCTTCTGTTAAAACGTGATTTTCGATTGAACAAGACAGGGGAACAACAAGTGATGACATCATCATGCTTCGGACACAAGCATACATGTTATTGTAATTGATCCTATTTATTCGCCTCTCCATGATCACTCATTTTTCTTAAAATTCCATTTGTAAATCTATATATATATATATTTACGTCATAGTACGTCGTTTCGTGGATCCGTTACTTCTCATGTAACTTGACTCTTACGTAACATGATAGGATCCTCAATTCCTTATGTGGGATTTGATATGGTTGAGAACATTCTCTTGAACGTGCATGAGTCTTTGATTTGTATTTTTGAAAAAATAAAAAAGAAGAAGCAAATAAGTCTTTGTATTTGTCTTCTCTTTGGTCATGGTCTTTATAAGAGCGTTGCTCCTGATTTATTCAATCAATTTATTCAATATATGAATTTGTTTGGCAATTTCTCATCTCTAACCTTTTCTGCCTTTAGGTTTGTTTCAAATATAAATCAGCATCTTTGCCTAGGAGATTTCTTAACGTACTCTTCTTGTGCCAACTCGGTCTTTATAAATTTGTTATTAAAAAATAAAACTAAATTTTTTATTGTTTGATAAAATTCGACATGATAATTCAAATTTAAAGAAAAAAAACATAAAAACACACCATGTAATTTGCAATTTCCATTTTTTTTTTTTAAATAAAGTTTTTCGATTAACTATTATTTACCCTTTTCGATATTTAAAGTATAAACCTTGTAGTTAACAATTTTATTTCATATAATCTCTAATTAAGCTAAAGTTGGGTTAAAAACAAGAAATATGTAAAAGATTCCCAATTATGTAACACTAGTTTTCACTATCTCGAGAAAATTAAAAGAGAAAGATGAGGAATTTTTAGATAGGCTAACTTATATATATATATATATATATATATATATATATATATGTTTGGTATAAATTGTAATCTGAGTATAATTGAGGTAATTATTTTTTGAGTGTTAAAATGTATATATATAGTATGTATATTTTTCTGAATGCTAAAAAAGAATATGTGTATTATTATGGGAAAAAAAAGTCACAAACCACATCCCATACTTCACGTTAATACATTGATTAGTCAAGAAAAAGAAATTTATTTAATGCATGGGAGCTTTAATTTCATGATCTAAATAAATACACAAAACAGAAGAACCTCAAAAAAAGCCTGCATGTACTCATCAGCACCACCACTGCCGCCTGCATGTACTCCTCCACAGCAGCTGGAGTTACCTCCTTCACGGCCGGTTTCATTTCATGGTGAACATTATTTCTTTTTGTCACATTCAAGATTTGCTAAAACAAGAAAATTATATCCCAAATTTTAAATATATCGACAAAAAAACAGCTAAAGCAGCTTATATAGTGGTTTCATATGTAATCTAATGACCAGCTATTTCTGTTGGTTTCATATGTAATCTAATGACCAGCTATTTCTGTGAATACAGGAAAAGGCAGAAACACTTGTGTCATAATCATCGTTGTTGTTGTTCCAATCATTGTTCTTTTTCTTGTGTTCTTAGCTGTTTTTATTAGTGTCCGGGCTAAGAAAACAAGGACGACTTATGAGAGGGAGCTACCTACTGAAGGTATAAAGACACCAAAAATAAACTATCTTCTTCTATGTGTTCCTCTATATCCTATATTGAGCTGTTAGAAAATGGTTTCTACGTACAGAAAGGGATGATATTACCAATGCAGGCTCACTTCAGTTTGACTTTAAGGCAATTGAGGTAGCAACAAATAGGTTTTGTGAGACTAACAAACTTGGTCAAGGTGGATTCGGTGAAGTTTACAAGGTATATGTTACCATGGTTCAGTCAAATCCTAATTAAGGCCACAAAACAAGTTTCAAATCTGATATACTCCATTTCACATTACTTTGAGCATTGAGATGTATGCATGAGAGATGTATACTTCTTTTGCATGAGTAATCTTACACGCATCCATTCCAATTTGCCAACTTAGGATTCTCTTCAAAAAATAAAATATGTTTGTACGTAGGGTATATTTCCTAGTGGAGTACATGTTGCAGTGAAGAGGTTGTCCAAGACATCAGGACAAGGTGAAAGGGAGTTCGCAAACGAAGTTGTTGTTGTGGCAAAGCTTCAACATAGAAATTTGGTAAGACTGCTAGGGTTTTGTTTGAAAAGAGATGAGAGGATACTTGTCTATGAGTTTGTTCCCAACAAAAGCCTCGACTACTTCATTTTTGGTCAGTTTACTTCAATATTTAGCCTAAAATATGTATATATGTTTTCGACAAATGCAAGTCATATATTCTTTTGTTTCTCACATTAGTAAATATATATATGCGTTCACAGACCCGACGATGCAAAGCCAGCTAGACTGGACTAGGCGATACAAAATCATTGGAGGAATTGCTAGAGGGATTCTTTATCTTCATCAAGATTCACGACTTACAATCATACATCGTGATCTCAAAGCAGGTAATATTCTCCTAGATGCCGATATGAACCCGAAAATCGCCGACTTTGGAATGGCGAGAATTTTTGGAATGGATCAAACGGAAGCCAATACAAGGAGAGTAGTTGGTACATAGTAAGTTTTCCATAAATTACTTTTAAGCCACGTAACATATCTATGCTTGCTTAGCTTCTATCTTTAAAGCTTTGAGTTTTTGTCATCACAGTGGCTATATGTCTCCCGAGTATGCAATGTATGGCCAATTCTCCATGAAATCAGATGTGTATAGCTTTGGGGTCTTAGTTCTTGAAATTATAAGTGGTAAAATGAACAGCAATCTCTATCAAATGGATAATGGTCCTGGCAATTTGGTTACATATGTGAGTAGCCTTAAATAAAATTTCCATTATGCTTTATTCAAGAGTGGCCAAAGTTCTAATTACTAAAGTTTTCACTATAGACTTGGAGATTATGGAGCAATGGGTCACTGTTAGAGCTCGTGGATCCATCGTTTCATGATAACTATCGAATAAAAGAAGTTTCAAGATGCATCCATATCGCTTTACTATGTCTTCAAGAAGAAGCTGACGACCGTCCAACAATGTCAGCTATTGTCCAGATGCTAACTACTAGCTCAATGGCTCTCGCTGTTCCTCAACGACCAGGTTTTTTCTTCCGGAATAAATATGAACAAGGAGGACTAGTGGATCTATCTATCAATACGTCCGCTCTTTGTTCCGTGGATGATGCTTCTTCCATTATTACTCAAGTAACTCCTCGTTGAAGACAATATTATTTATAGATATAAAAAGCTGTGATATATATCGTCTATGAAAGTATTCGTTGAAGCTACAAAAATTATATTATTCATTTAATTTTTGTGCTTGTAACTACTTCAAATTTGGTTTCATTTCACTATATTTGACACATTTGGCTTAATCATCCATTTTACTTGAACCCATTCCGTCTGATAAAATTAAATGTTGAGATAATGAGATTGATTGTCTCTTAGAATCTATTAGTTCTTCTGTCAAAAATGTGTTATTGGATCGAACGAGACAGGGGATCAGAACAACAAATGTTGACATCATGCTTCGGACACAAGCATGCATTATACGATAGATCCTAATTACCCGCCATACATATATATAGAACTTTCAAGTACCTGTGAAGTTGTAATAAAGGTTTCTTATTTTCACAAAGTTGTAAAATTTTGCTTAAGGTTATTGAAAGGAGTATGGTCCAAAGGTTTTGGATGGTATGTGTTTGCATGCATTGAATTTGGCTTTTGGCTTGTGAGAGATAATTAAATTCTCTTTTCTCATACTCTTTTTTTACCATTATGTGTTAATACCGTCGGACCAGGTTGTCGGATACGGGTCAACTGACCCGGTTACAATGTAATATCAAATTTTTATTATACGAGTCTTTGTAATTTGTCCTCACTTGGTTATGGTCTTTGAGACTTGAGAGTGTCTATCCATTAGTTGACGAAGTTTATTCGATCGGTATGAATTTGTTTGGCATTTTCCCAACCCTAAGTCCCTAACACTTTGCTTTTGTTTGTATGAAATGTGCCTCATTAGGCAAAGAGGCTCCAGCTATTAACGTACTCCTCTTTCAGTCAAATTAACGTACTTTTTGTGCTAACAAATTTGTTTTAACATCAAATTTGTTGGAGAAAACAAAAACTATATTAAACAATAATAGTTTTTATTGTTTAATAAATTCGATATTATATGTTGCCCATAAAAAGAAATTGAGGCATAAAAACAAAAAGTCGTTTAAGTCGTAACCCATCCTCTACTTCACGTTAATCCACAATAGACAAGAAAACAAATGTATTTAACATGCATAGGAGCTTCATGATCTAAAACACACAAACCGAAGAAGATGAAGTACATGTCTTCTTGTTGTTCTTGGGCCTCCTTCTTCTGTCTCTTTCCTTTTCTCCTTCCTCTTTCATTAGCCATATCCTTATCTCCTTCAGCTCGAGTTCCAGTTCAAAATCCTATTTACATAAACAGTTCTTGCTCAAGTAAAACGTATTCAAGAAACAACACATACTTCACCAATCTCAAAACCCTTTTGTCCTCTCTCTCGTCCCGGAACGCTTCATACTCTACCGGATTCCAAACTGCCACGGCCGGACAAGCCCCTGTCCGGGTCAACGGACTATTCCTTTGTCGTGGAGACGTTTCACAAGAAGTTTGTCGTAACTGCGTCGCCTTTTCTGTCAACGACACCTTAGAATACTGCCCGAACGAAAGAGAAGCCGTGCTCTATTACAATGAGTGTATGCTCAGATACTCTCACCGGAATATTCTCTCGACCGTTACCTATAACGAAGATGCTATTTCTATCATGACAAACAACGCTAATATTTCAGAAACTAATCAAAATCAAGTAGACCAGTTCAGGGATTTTCTATGGTCCGCTCTCAACCAAGCTGCCATTGAGGCATCGGACAGTTCTAGAAAGTTTTATACGAGAAAGACAAGCGCACCCCAGTCAACGTTGTACTTGCTAGTTCAGTGCACTCCTGATCTTACAAGACAAGACTGTTTGCGTTGTCTAAAAAAATCCATTAGTGGCCTGCCTCTTTACAGGATTGGGGGAAGATTGTTTTACCCTAGTTGTAATTTAAGGTACGAGGTATACTCGTTTTACAATGAAAACGCAACCAGAACACCACCACCGTCGCTGCCGCCTGCCTCTACTCCTCCTCAACAGCAGCTGGAGTTACCTCCTCCACCGCGTATTTCAGGTAAACATTAATCCTCTGTTGATTACATGTTAGTGTGCCTTTTTTCTTTGAGATATTCAAGATTTGCTCAAACAGCTATTTTTGTGAATACAGTAAAAGGCAGAAACACCTATGTCATAATCATCGTTGTTGTTGTTCCAATGGTTGCTCTTTTTCTTCTGTTCGTAGCTGTTTTTTGTCTTATGAGAGGCAGCCACTTACTGAAGGTAAAGACACCAATGATAATAATCATCCATGTTCACTTGACCATTCCTTGATAAGATAATCCAATGCCTAGTCATGGTATAGGCTATATACTAAATCCTTGATCATATGTCAATATTTTACCAACTCTTTTTTTTTTGTTTTTTAATGTTGACATTTATACAAAGGAACTAAAAGTGGAATTACATATTAAGCTCAACCTAGACTTAACTATATGGCTGCCAAGAGAGATTATAGTCATAGAGATAACTATTTTTCCACAGTATCGGTCATCATAGTCACTATTGACGAGTACTTAAACTTGAAAATTACCTGTTGCATGCTTCATCCTCAATCTCTACATCATTCTAAATCTTGATTTGCAACTGCTAGCTAAAGAATCTTCTCCATCGTATAATAAGGCCATTGATAAATCATCTTGTTCCACAACATGGAGATAAACGAGAGGAGTAAGGATGGAGACTTGGAGAGAGGGATGAGATCACGAAAGCCGCATTCAGAAGACAAGTTGGTTCTAACGCCTCTATCTCTCTCACCATCGGCCGGTCTCTTCTTTTCCCGACGATTCGTATTCCCCGAGAGAGAGAGAGATGCGAGAGTGGGTATAAAGACAAAATTAAATGTTGAGTTTGATTGCTTTATATATTGTCTCTTATTAGAATCTAGTAGCTCTTCTGTCATAAATGTGATATGGATCGACACGAGACAGGGGAACAACAAATGTTTGACATCATGCTTTGGACATAAGCATGCATTATACGATAGATCCTAATGACCCATCATTCTTAAATTTTGCATTATTATTACTATAAATACACATATAGAACCTAAAAATTTGATCTAATTAACATGGCTAAAGTCCTAATAAAATATAACCATATATTCGAGGAAAGAATACAAAATATACTATAAGATACTTAAAAGCATTTTATATTAGATATATTTTTTAAACATTTTATAATACAAAAATGTAAAAATTAAAGTAATTAAGAATTACTAAAAATTATCCAAAACATTGGGTTAAATACAAAAGTAATTAAACCCTTTCCAAAGTTTCTTGCTAAAGTAACTCAAGTGTTCTAAGAAATTACTAGACCATCTTGGTGTATGTTTGCTTTGGTATTGTAGTTTTTGGGTCTTTTCCGGTGATCAGATCTCTCACTATATAGCCGTTTGTCACAATTAGAAATGGTTACTTAAACCTAACATTGATACTAAAACACAAAAAATGTGAATTTTAATCAAATTGTCACAATCCAAGTTTTTTAATTAACCAATTTCTTTTCAGATTTTGACAACTTGTGCATTTTGGATAATAATTATGCCCTTCAACTCTTGCATATCGATTGATTTTCGGGGGTTTTCTTGGAATGTAAACTCCAACTATCATAAACTTAATTAAGACCAATTTATTTTCAAAAACCTGTTATAACTAAGCTTTTACAATAAAAAATCAGCAAACTTTTAGACTATATATATAATCCGGTTTCCTTTATTCGGTTTATTTGATGTAATTTATCTTGGTTTACTAATTTGGTTATTAGCTTGTATATATTCAGCATATTTATATCATTCTTTACAGCTAATGAGAAGAAACTTTATTTACATTTGTTCTTCTAATACAAACGAAACGTGAAACTAGTATTGGAAATGAAAATGTGTAAATGTAATGGTGGAGGCAAGGAATCAAAACCTTCTGAAACAATGCATGTGAGTGAATCACTACTAGAGTATATTTACTGAATTAAAAGAGTTGAAGTAAGACACAAGCTACTGCAATACTTTTGAGTAGAGTGTCTTGCAAGCGAAATGTATTGAAATACATGTGATGTATGCAGTAAGCATATGTACGTATACATACTTACATGCAAAGAGAACTATATAATACATAATATACAAGACTAAACTCATTTATTACCTCGACAAACTCGTATAATAAACTCAAAAATTTGAGATAAAAATTGTGTTACCTTATTCTCATAATCATCCCTTGTTAATAAGAACATCATTAAGCTTTAATGATGTAACTCTAGTTTAATCTCTCATAACCTTTTCCCAACAAATATTGAAACCAAACTATCGATACCATAAAAGTAAGAAACCCCACATGAGTGTTTGGTACCATAAAGATGCTGCGTAGATATGAGTGCAAGACTCTCAGCTTGACACACACACACACACTCGTACTCAAATACTATAATATGTGTGTGATGATAAGGAGAGAAGAGAAGAGAAGAAGAAACAAGAAAAAGCAAAAGGGGTTTTAGGAAAAAGAAGACGACCACATGTTGATAGGGATCATATCACATGCTCCTTAACCCCACTCTTATGTAAAAGAAGAAAACACAAAATATTGCCAAACATATATGTATATACATATTTACACCAAACCATATTATAGTTTTGTTCACTAATAGGTTATATTTTATTTTCTTGCTAATTCCAAGAACATTAATTGTGGTCTAACATTGACAATTGGTTGTATATCATATTGAGATTATTTAATTTAAATCATTAAGAAGTCATATTAATAACTCTTAAAAACTAATTTAATCATGTAGAAAATCTAATGTTTTTGATATTTAATTGGGACATATCTATTTTGTATCTATTGATGAACACATTTGACTTTTTTTGTAAGATTTAGAAGGAAAAATAGTTTTTTAGTGCTTTTAATTAATAATATTTGACTATTGTGTCATATCTAAATTATATATATTGTTTTGCATTATATGTGGCTGTCTTTTTCGGTAGATATATTTAGGTGAGATATTAGACTATTTTCACATTAGAGTTTTAAAAATAAATAAAAATAAGCCCGTTAGTTACTAAACTGATATCTCAAATTCAAATTTAAAATTTAAATAGTTCATGTTAATGGGAATGAAACTAATTTTAAAATTGAGTATGAAAAGAAACAAATCTAAAAAGGTTTTAACTTTTCCCCTCATAACGGGAAAGACAAAATTGTCTTCTAATCAAAAAAAGAATTTAGTGGCAGAAAAAAAACAAAATCTAAAGTAATTTAATAACATCATAAACATTAAACAAATAGAAAGAGTAATTTACGCTTAATTCGAGTAGACGATTTGATTTGACGCCGTTAACCATAAAAACATAACATGTTTAGATCAAAATAAACCAAACTTAACCGGTTGTAACACTTAATCAAACCAGATCAATTTTCACAATTTAGTGTTATCTATACACGAGTTAAAAACTTAATTAGCAATGTACTGTACAATAAGAATTTATCTTATATGTGTCATACAAATGATAAAATTACTATGATAATTAAGTGTCAAATCAGAACCGAAATCTCGGTTTGATCCGGTTTTATTAAACCGTTGTATTAACGTCGTTTACAAACTTTCATCTTTTACTTTAGTTTTGTGCCTTTTACTTCATCTTTCTTCTTCTCTCATCTCATCTCTGCTTTGAAAAGAAGGAACATTAAATGCATTTGAAGTCACACACACACACTCTCTCTCTCTCTCCAAGTCTCTCTCTTTCGTATCCGCCATTGTTGTACCCTTTTCATCCTCTGTAAGTCTTCAAATCTCCGGAGTGTGTTTTGCTTGCACGGAATAAAGAAGTACTACTTGATGAATCATTTTCTTATTTTCCAAGATTCTTCTTTTAGTGATCGATCGCTTGATCCGATTTCGTGTCATCGGTCTTGAGAGGAGGATCTGTAGATGAGCTTGGTGTTAGAGTAGCTACATGTTGAAGTAACTTCACCACATTTTGTCAAGTGATTTTGTTTTTGCTGGATTCATGAAATGGAGTCAATTTGAGTCAGAAAGTTGCTAAATTTGGGTCAAACTTTCAAGAAGTTTAGGATTTGAGTATAGAATTTGTAGTTTTAGTTTCTGGGCATCTGAAAAATGTTAACTTTATATGCTTGTTTGGTTTGAGGATGTTGTTTTGGTTCCCCTTGGATCCATTTACTCATTGTGATCGATTTGTTTATGCAGGAGGGGAATTGAAACTGTTGAGGGAACCTAACATGGTAGATAATTTCAGTAGAATGGATTCGATTCAGCAACGAAGAGGTGGGATTGTATCTCCAGCTCAGACACCACGATCAAGTGATAAATCGGCGAGAGAGTCTAGATCTTCTGATTCAAATTCCACCAGTAGAAATGATAAAGAGAAGGGTGTGAATGTGCAGGTCATATTGCGTTGCAGGTTTGGTTTTAGTGCCTAAGCTGTTCTGATTTTTCTGTATTTTTTGTCTCTTTTGGGTTTTGATATTTCTTGATGGGTTTTGGTTCTTTATAGACCATTGAGTGAGGATGAGGCCAGAATACATACACCGGTGGTGATTTCTTGTAACGAGAACCGTAGAGAAGTTGCTGCAACTCAGAGTATTGCTGGAAAGCATATTGATAGACATTTTGCTTTCGATAAGGTTATAGAGTTGATATATTTGTATTAAGCCTGTTTTTTTGTTTATGTTTGTCCCTCCATTGTCTCATTTTTCTCTCTGAACTACTTAGGTTTTTGGTCCGGCATCTCAACAGAAGGACTTATATGACCAAGCTATTTGTCCAATTGTGTTTGAAGTACTTGAGGGTTACAACTGTACCATCTTTGCCTATGGTCAGACCGGAACTGGAAAGACATATACGATGGAAGGAGGTGCTAGGAAAAAGGTTGGTCGCTCTAAAAAAAACCTATTGTGCTTCTGTATGATTCAGTATATCTTTATGTATTTTTGTTAAATAGATATGGTTACTTTTTTGTAGAATGGTGAGTTCCCGAGTGATGCAGGTGTTATTCCAAGAGCTGTTAAGCAAATTTT